TTGTGTTGTGCTGTGTTGTGTTGTGTTGTGCTGTGTTGTGTTGTGCTGTGTTGTGCTGTGTTGTGTTGTGTTGTGCTGTGCTGTGCTGTGTTGTGCTGTGTTGTGTTGTGTTGTGCTGTGTTGTGCTGTGTTGTGTTGTGCTGTGTTGTGCTGTGTTGTGTTGTGCTGTGTTGTGTTGTGCTGTGTTGTGTTGTGCTGTGTTGTGCTGTGTTGTGCTGTGTTGTGTTGTGCTGTGTTGTGCTGTGCTGTGTTGTGTTGTGTTGTGCTGTGTTGTGCTGTGTTGTGCTGTGCTGTGTTGTGCTGTGTTGTGTTGTGTTGTGTTGTGCTGTGTTGTGCTGTGTTGTGCTGTGTTGTGTTGTGCTGTGTTGTGCTGTGCTTTGTTGTGTTGTGCTGTGTTGTGTTGTGCTGTGTTGTGCTGTTCTGTGTTGTGTTGTGTTGTGTTGTGCTGTGTTGTGTTGTGTTGTGCTGTGTTGTGCTGTGTTGTGCTGTGTTGTGCTGTGCTGTGCTGTGTTGTGTTGTGCTGTGTTGTGTTGTGCTGTGTTGTGCTGTGCTGTTCTGTGTTGTGTTGTGTTGTGTTGTGCTGTGTTGTGCTGTGTTGTGTTGTGTTGTGCTGTGTTGTGCTGTGTTGTGCTTTGTTGTGCTGTGTTGTGCTGTGCTGTGCTGTGTTGTGCTGTGTTGTGTTGTGTTGTGCTGTGCTGTGTTGTGTTGTGTTGTGTTGTGCTGTGTTGTGCTGTGTTGTGCTGTGTTGTGTTGTGTTGTGCTGTGTTGTGCTGTGCTGTGTTGTGCTGTGTTGTGTTGTGCTGTGTTGTGTTGTGTATTGTTGTGTTTTGCTGTGTTGTGCTGTGCTGTGTTGTGCTCTGTTGTGCTGTGTTGTGTTGTGTTGTGTTGTGCTGTGTTGTGTTGTGTTGTGCTGTGTTGTGTTGTGTTGTGCTGTGCTGTGATGTGTTGTGCTGTGCTGTGCTGTGTTGTGTTGTGCTGTGTTGTGCTGTGTTGTGTTGTGCTGTGTTGTGTTGTGCTGTGCTGTGTTGTTCTGTGTTGTGTTGTGCTGTGTTGTGCTGTGTTGTGCTGTGTTGTGCTGTGCTGTGTTGTGCTGTGTTGTGCTGTGCTGTGTTGTGCTGTGTTGTGTTGTGCTGTGTTGTGTTGTGCTGTGCTGTGCTGTGTTTTGTTGTGCTGTGCTGTGTTGTGTTGTGTTGTGCTGTGCTGTGCTGTGCTGTGCTGTGCTGTGTTGTGTTGTGCTGTGCTGTGTTGTACTGTGCTGTGTTGTGCTCTGTTGTGCTGTGTTGTGCTGTGTTGTGTTGTGCTGTGTTGTGCTGTGTTGTGCTGTGTTGTGTTGTGTTGTGTTGTGCTGTGTTGTGCTGTGTTGTGATGTGTTGTGTTGTGCTGTGTTGTGCTGTGCTGTGTTGTGTTGTGCTGTGTTGTGCTGTGTTGTGCTGTGTTGTGCTGTGTTGTGCTGTGCTGTGTTGTGTTGTGTTGTGTTCTGCTGTGTTGTGTTGTGCTGTGCTGTGTTGTGTTGTGTTCTGCTGTGTTGTGTTGTGTTGTGCTGTGTTGTGTTGTGCTGTGTTGTGTTGTGTTGTGCTGTGTTGTGTTGTGTTGTGCTGTGTTGTGTTGTGCTGTGTTGTGCTGTGTTTTGTTGTGCTGTGTTGTGTTGTGTTGTGCTGTGTTGTGCTGTGTTGTGTTGTGCTGTGTTGTGTTGTGCTGTGCTGTGCTGTGTTGTGTTGTGCTGTGCTGTGCTGTGTTGTGCTGTGTTGTGCTGTGTTGTGCTGTGTTGTGTTGTGTTGTGCTGTGCTGTGTTGTGCTGTGTTGTGCTGTGCTGTGTTGTGCTGTGTTGTGCTGTGTTGTGTTGTGCTGTGTTGTGTTGTGAAGAGTACAGGGATGCCGTCCGGACTTGCAGACGTGGGATCAGGGAAGCTAAGGCGCAGGCAGAACTGAACTTGGCAAGGGACGTGAAAAACAATAAGAAAACCTTCTACAGGTACATTGGCCAGAAGAGACAGGCCAAAACGGGCGTACCTACTTTGGTAAATTTAAAAGGAGAACTGGCTTCAACAGATGAAGAGAAAGCTGAGGTGCTGAATGAGTTCTTCACCTCGGTCTTCACTGGTGGCCAGGATTCTAGTCTTCTTCACGTCCATGAACCCTGCATCCCCAAACCTCTATGTGGGGACCAAGGAGGTAAATCCCTCCCCACTGTAAGGGCAGAGCAAGTCCGAGAGTACCTCCTTAGACTGAATGAATACAAGTCTATGGGGCCAGATGGCTGCATCCCAGGGTCCTGAGGGAGCTGGCTGAGGTGGTTGCCGAGCCGCTCTCCATCATATTTGAGAAGTCGTGGCTGTCAGGTGAGGTCCCGGATGACTGGAGGAAGGGTCACGTCACTCCCATATACAAGAAGGGGAGCAGGGAGGACCCGGGGAACTACAGGCCGGTGAGTCTCACCTCCGTGCCTGGGAAGATGATGGAACAGATCCTCCTGGACAACATGCTCGATCACATAAAGAATGAGCTGTGATCCGAGACAGCCAGCACGGCTTCACCAAAGGAAGGTCATGCCTGACTAATCTTGTGGCCTTCTATGATGGAGTGACGGCATTGGTGGACGAAGGGAAGGCAACCGATGTCATTTACCTGGACCTGAGCAAGGCCTTTGACATGGTCCCCCACCACATCCTCATCTCCAAATTGGAGGGAAGTGGATTTGATGGGTGGACGACCCGATGGATAAGCAATTGGTTGAAAGGCCGCAGACAGAGGGTGGTGGTCAATGGCTCTGTGTCCAGGTGGAGGCCGGTAACAAGTGGTGTCCCCCAAGGGTCTGTCTTGGGACCGGTGCTCTTTAACATCTTTATTAATGACATCGATGAAGGAATTGAGTGCACCCTCAGCAATTTGCTGACGACACCAAGCTGAGTGGTGCGGTTGATACGGCGGAAGGAAGGGATGCCATTCAGAGGGACCTCGACAGGCTGGAGGGCTGGGCTCGGGTGAACCTAATGAGGTTCAACACGGCAAAGTGCAAGGTTTTGCATTTGGGCCGGAAGAACCCCAGGCACCCGTACAGGCTGGGAGGAGTGGTCCTTGAGAGCAGCTCGGCAGAGAAGGACCTGGGGGTCCTGATGGACGAGAGACTGAACATGAGCCAGCAGTGCGCTCTGGCAGCTCGAAAGGCAAATGGGATCCTGGGCTCCATCAGGAGAGGGGTGGTCAGCAGGGACAGGGAGGTGATTGTCCCTCTCTACTCGGCTCTTGTGAGGCCCCATCTGGAGTCCTGTGTCCAGGTGTGGAGCCCTCAGTACAAGAAAGACAGAGAGATCTTGGAAAGGGTCCAGAGGAGGGCGACTGAGATGATCAGGGGGCTGGAGCACCTCCCCTATGAGGACAGGCTGAGGGAGTTGGGCTTGTTCAGCCTGGAGAAGAGAAGGCTGCGGGGCGACCTCATTGCAGCCTATCAATACCTGAAGGGAACCTACAGCCAGGAGGGGAGTAAACTCTTCAGAAGGGCTGATAACAGCAGGACTAGGGGAAATGGATCAAAGTTGAAGGAGGAAAGATTTAGGTTGGATGTTAGGGGGAAGTTCTTCACAAGGAGAGTAGTTAGGGCCTGGAACGGGCTGCCCAGGGAGGTTGTGGATGCCCCGTCCTTGGACGTGTTCAAGGCCAGGTTGGACGGGGTCCTGGGCAACCTGATCTGAATGTGGATGTTTGGTGGCCCTGCTGGGCAGGGGGGTTGGAACTACATGATCCTTGAGGTCCCTTCCAACCCGGGTGATTCTGTGATTCTGTGCTGTGTTGTGTTGTGTTGTGTTGTGCTGTGCTGTGTTGTGCTGTGCTGTGTTGTGTTGTGTTGTGCTGTGCTGTGTTGTGCTGTGCTGTGTTGTGCTGTGCTGTGTTGTGCTGTGTTGTGCTGTGTTGTGCTGTGCTGTGTTGTGCTGTGCTGTGTTGTGCGGCCCGCAGCGCTGCCCGCTTCACGAGCGCCCCCTGCTGGTCGGTTCGCAGCGGGCGGACTGGCGTTGCGCGCGGCTCGGACCTCAGCTCCGTGCTGGGGGCAGCCGGCAGGGAGATGCTTTCCCAGCTGCCGGATGGCCGCTCACCCGTGGCTGCGCTCGGCTGCTCCGTGTGCGGCTGGAGGCAGTGACGAGCCACGTCGGGCCCTGTGCCGTTCGGTACCACTGTAGTGACACAGGATGGGATCGGTGCACCCCGGCTGCCGCTGGGAGCCGAGCGGCCCCATCGAGGCCCTGCAGGCTGCGCGGATGCTCTTTATAACGCCCCGAAAGGACCCGGCCCCCGCTCCAGGTACCGGCGGAGGGGCTGCACGGACGGACGGCCCGAGCCGGGGCACAGAACAGCCCCGCGAGACGCCCCGCGAGAGGACTGCGGGCCCCTCGACCCCTCGCAGCGAGGTCGTCCTTCTATTGGTTCGCACCGCCATCGCTCAAGAGATCTGAGCGACTCCATTGGCTAATTCCGAGAGGGCGGGAAGCTTAGCGCCCTCCCCGCGCACCCCGGGTCGCGCCCTCGCCGCCGCCTGCCGCGCGCACGCGCGGGGCGGGAGGCCGGATATGGGGTGCGCGCGCCGCCGGGCGGCGGCGCGTGCGCAGAAGCCCTCCGCGACCGGGTGGCCGTGCGCCGCGCATGCGCGGGACGGCGGGCGCACGGCCGCGGCGCTGAGGGGAGGCGGCGGGAGGAGGAGGAGGAGGAGGAGTGGGGGGTGCGGCGCGGGGCCGGGCCGCAAAATGGCCGACAGGTTCTCCCGCTTCAACGAGGACAGGGACTTCCAGGTAACGGCTGCGGCGTCCCGGGCCGGACGGGCCGTGTGCGGTGGGTCGGGGAGCCGGCAGGCCGCACGCAGCTCGCGGGGCCTGAAGCGTCGGGCCGGGGGGGAACAAAAGGAACGGGAGGAGCGGGGCGGGGGGGGCAGGGCGGGGGCGGGGGGCGACGGGACGGAAACGGACGGGAACGGACGGGAAACGGGAGCTGGGGGACGGGGGGGAGCTGACGGCGGTGATGGCGGTGATGGCGGTGATGGCGCTGACAGCAACGGGAAAGCGAAGGAGCTGAAGGCGCAGGGCCCGGCTCGGTGTGCGGAGCGGTCCGTGCTGCTGGGGAGCGGCGCGGCGGGAGCTGATGATGTGCTGCAGGGCTGGGAGCTCCGTGGGCGGGATGGGAGGAAGTGCGGGGGGGGGGGCGGCACCTCACGGCAAGACACGGCGCTGCGGGGGGTGCGGGGGGCCGCGGGATGGTCAGGGGCTGCAGCACCAAAGGCAGGCTGAGGGAGCTGGGTTGTTCAGCATGGAGAAGAGAAGCTGCGGGGTGACCTCAGTGCAGCCTGCAGTGCCTGAAGGGAGCCTGAAACAGGAGGGGAGTCAACTGTGCAAGGGGAGATGGCAGCAGGACGAGGGGAAATGGTTGAAGTTGAGGGAGGGCAGATGGAGGTTGGATGTCAGGGGAAGTTCTGTGCTGTGAGAGCGGTGAGGGGCTGGAACAGCTGCCCAGAGAGGCTGTGATGCCCCGTCCATCCCTGGAGGTGTTCAAGGCCGGGTTGGATGGGGCCCTGGGCAGCCTGGGCTGCCGTGAAATGTGGCAGGGGGTTGGAGCTCCGTGATCTTTGAGGTCCCTCCCAACCCGGGCCATTCTGTGACTCTGTGCCCCTCCAACCACAGCCGTCCTGTGAGCTGTGCTGCCGTTCAGAGCTGGGCAGGGAGGAACCTGCTGGGTTCAATGAGGGTGAGTGCAGAGCTCTGCACCTGCAGGGAAACCAGCTCAGCAGCAGTGCAGGTGGGGGCTGAGCTGTGCAGGGAGCCGTGCACTGAGGACGTGGGGGTTGCGGTGGGCAGGGGCTGGCTGTGAGCCGGCAGCGTCGCCTGGGGCCCTGAGGTGCACTTATGGAGTGGTCAGCGAGGCGAGGGTGGTTCTGCTCCCCCCTGCTCTGCCCTGGGGAGGCCACATCTGGAATATCTGAGCTCTGGGCTGCTCAGTTCAGATCATCTGCAGAGAGCGGGGGCTGTGAGATGGGGGCTGGAGCATCTCCTGCCAGGGGAGACTGAGCGAGCTGGGGCTGTTCAGCCTGGAGAAGAGGCGGCTGAGAGGGGACCTCAGCTCTGTCGTACACCCTGAGCTGCGCGCTGTGAGCCCACGCGCGGGGTGACTTCGTTAAACTCCCCCTAATTAGCACTGACACGGTGCGATTCCGCTTGCAGGTTCCTTTTCCGGGCAGGCAGAGGTTGGGCTTGAAGACGCATTTCTTGTGATGGTTCCCTCAGGAGCGGAAGGCGGGGGAGCCTCCCAGTGGGAGCTCTGCAGAGCAGGGCGGCGGGCAGCTCCTGGCTGTGCGGTGCACAATGTGTGCACACGTGGGTTCAGCTCGCCTTGTTTTCCTTCCTTTGCAGGGCAGCGTGGCTTCACAGCAAGTAATGGCAGCGGCAGAACCTGCTGGTGTGTCAGTGTGTGATGTCAGAGGAGAGGCAGCACAGCCCCGCACGGCGAGCTGCTCGCAGACAATGGCTGCAGATGAGGGCTGCGTCCGTGCTGGGCGTCGCGCTCTGTTGTTTCCCGTGGGCTCATGTGAGGGGGGCCTTGTGCCACACTAGGCTGATTCTGATTCCTCTGTGAGTGCCGAAGCGAGGGGATGGGTTTGTTTTGTGTGTGGAGCCTGTGGGGGAAATGGGAAACGGGAAGAGACTCGGAGTGGCAGTGAGCCCGCAGTGAGGGATGAATTATAGAGGAGCCGCTCAGGTGTCTGCGTGGAGCCCTGCTGCTGGGCTGGGGGTTGTGGCTCAGCGCCGTGCTGCGGGGGGCCCTGCTGCTCCTTCCTCCCTGTTAGCTGCTCGTGGAGGTGAATTCTGAGCTCGTGTTTCCCGGTGTTCAGACCGAGGTTGCTGGAGGCAGAGCCCTGCGTGGGGCGCAGGAGGACCTGCGGCGCTGTGCTCAGCGGGGGGCTGTGAGGCACCAACGCTGCTTTTGGTCGTCGGTGCAAAGCGCTGCTCTCAGCTGTGGCAAAACTCAGACTGTCGGTAGGAAGTCAGGGCTTTGTATGTAGGCTCCCTTTGTAGGGCTGCTGAAAAAGCCTTTTCAACCAATTTGTAGCATCTTGGTTGAGGCTTTGGCAGGTGGGCTTGCTGGACTGGAAGGCTGGGCTCAGCCACTGCGCTCGGAGCTGGGCTGGGGTCAGCGGAGGAGCTCTCGGGCTGCGTTCTTTGCGGTCTGCTCGTGGTCTTGTGATCTCAGCGAAGCCAAAGATGTGCAGAGCCCCAAGAAAGGAAGAGAAACAAAAGGTCGGGAGCGCAGTGTGCGGGTCAGAGGATCCTCGTCGCTGGGGAGGAGAGGCAGATGCCTTTGGGTTAGCGATGCAGCAACAGGAAGCTGTCCCAGGATGGGAAAAACAACACTGAGAGCTGCTCTGGTTTTGTCAGTTGTTTCTTTTCTGCTGGAGACGGGCTGGGAGGGCTGGCTGGGCAGTGGTGAGCTGGGGCAGGGCCTGAGCGGCACGGAGCTGCCGGGGTGTTGGTTGGGTTTCTGTGCTCCTGATTTGCTCCAGGGAGGTGAGGACAGGTTGTGGGCTGCACGTGGCTCTGCGCTGTTAGGGGGAAAGGGAAACCAGCAGCACAACAGGAGGGGTGGGAGGGGGGCAAGGGGTCAGTGGGGAGATGGGGGATGTGCGACTGCAGGGCCGCGGCTTCCCTTTAGTTGTAGCAGGGCTGTACTGTGTGCGCAGTGAGTTCCTGTGGTGACACGCTGTGCTGTTGTCCAGCTGTGCTGCAGCTGGGAGCAGAGCCCCGTGCAGGTCGGCAGGAGGAGCCGCAGCAGAGCCCTGCAGGGCTGAGCGCCCCGCATCGCAGCAGGTCGGTCCCTGTGGGGTTTGCCCTGGGCACAAAGCGGGGCTCTGCGGCTCTGCGTCCCCAGTGCAGGCGTGCAGACGTGCTGCTCTCCTTGTGCAGCTCCCACCACAGCCGTTCTCAGCCCGTCTTCCTGCAGCGGTTTGGGCAGGTGGTTCTTCTGAGGCTTTGGCCGTGCAGAGCTGGGAAGCCAGGAATCCACGTGAGGCCGTGCTGCCATCACAGCCAGGAGCCACTGCTGGCCGTGGGGCTGCGTGCTGCTGTCAGAGCGGCGCTGGGGGCTGGGAACTGCAGGAGCCGCCCGCCTCTCCCTTGCAATTAAGGGTGCTCCTTTCAAAAGCTGCCAATTGAAATTCCTGTGTCGTAATTGCTGTTGTTGTATCAGCTGGAGAGGTTTTCTCTTGAAGCGCTCGGCCGTCGCTGCCCTGTGTTTGCCTACATGCTGGGTTTGCTGCCACAGACGCTGAGCTGCGCTGCGCCCCGTGGGCAGGAGGAGCTCCGCAGGGCGCTGCGTGGTGCGCTGGCTTCCCTGCACGTTGCTGCACGAGGATCCTGCTGGCCTGTCGGCTCGGTGCGGCGCTCGGCACGCAGCAGCAGGAGGGTCTGACTGTGGCCGAGCGTCAAGTCGGGCTTCCCAGCTCCCCTCAGCAGCTCGTGCTGCCCTTTGCAGAAGCCCTAACGTGGTCCAGGAGAGCTGAGGGTTGGTGGAGCCTGTGAGCTCTGGCAGCAGGACTGTGGCACCTCGTGTGTGTGCTGGGCTGCGCTCTGCCCGGCTCCTCGCAGCCACTGTGGGCTTCTTTGGCCCCTTTTGGCCTTCCCTTGTTAGCAGAGGTGATGGGGGTGAGCAGGGCTGGCTGCTGGCAGGGCGGCCCTGGTCGGCAGCAGGGCTGTGTGCTCAGCAGCCGTGGTAGGAGCTCCTTCTGGTGCTCAGCAGCGCTCCTGTGACTGTTTTGCCTGTGGTGGCGATGGTTCTCTTTGCTCAGAGCTCCCCTCTGTGGAGGCGCGGGTGGCAGTGATGGCACTGTGTGCCCTGTGCTCACAGCCTCGTTTGCCAGGAGCGCTGTGTTCTCAGCGTGTTTGGGGTTTAATTAACGGTTGGATTGAAACGTCTCCCTCTGCTCCATTGTCTCGGGGCACGGTGGCACAAAATGGCTCCGTTTGGAGTGCCAGCTCCCTCGGAGCGCAGCGAGGCGGCAGATGGAGCTCTGTGGCTGCAGGGCTGCCCCCCCCTTGGCTCCCAGGTCCCGGAAGGGTGCAAATGCATCAAGTCAGGCCCAAGGCGGGAGCAGTGGGGGATCGCTGGCTCTCACACGAGCTTGGTTTGCTTGTGGGCTGCTTTGCATTTGGCTTGGATGGGGTTCAGTCTTTGGATTCGCTTCCGGGAGGGGACTTTTGTTTTTGTCAGCAAAGCCTGGGATGGGCCAGGCGTGCTTGGGAGCCTCGCTGAGCCTTGCTGCCTTCACATGGAGCAGGCAGGGGGTTGGGCAGCCCAAGTGACCCGGCTGGCACAGTCAGAGCTGGCTGCAGGCAGCGAGTCATGCTGGGAAGTCAGAAGGGAGAAAAGCCAGCACTTTGCGTTTGCTGTGTTTGTAACGCTCCTCACCGAAATGCTTTGCGGGTTGCGTTCTTGGATTGCTGCTCTGCTGTGAGGGGCTGCAGGGAGGATGGCTCAGGGCAGCTGGTGTTTGGGCACGAGCACCAGATCGCTTTCTCTTGGCACTGGGTCTCTGGGGCTGCCTGGCCAGCTGGGAGCACAGCACAGGGGGGTTCGGGGGCTGCCCTGTGCTCTGCCAGCTGCACTCAGCTGGGATTAGCAGCAGCCCTTTCTCACGTTTGCTTCCGTGAGCATTCCTTGCAGCAGAAGCTGGTGCTGGTGGAAGGGAGCAGCGATGCTGTGTTCCCAGCAGCGGCACTGGGTGCTCCTGGGCGGTGCTGGGCTGCGAGGCACTGGGGGCACTGGTGGGGGGTGGCTGCCCCGGGCGGGATGCTGTGTGCAGCACTGGGAGCGCTGGCTGCTGGGGGTGCAGCGTGAGCATCTCCTGTGGGCAAAAATGGTTCTCTGCCTTTGTGGTCTTAGGAATTTGCAGCTTCGGAGCGGCCACAACGGAGATGGTTGTCCTGAAATGGCTGCCGGTGCTGCTGGCTGCTCTCCTGGCTGAGCCCCAGCGCTCAGCATCTCACAGAGCAGGGCAGCGTGCTGCTGCTTGCTTCCGTCCCTGCTCTGTGCCCAGCGCAACGGGACAGGAGAGCTGCCCTGCTTTGCTGCGGTGGTGCGGCGGGCGCACGGCCCTGCTTTGGGCAGGCACGGCTCTGTGCTGCTGTTGCTGTCGAGCGCTGCAGAGCTCCGCAGCAGCTCAGCGCAGGGCCAGAGCTGCACCTCAGGGCAGCCGGCTCCAGCCGGCCCTGGGGCGGCGCTGCCCCAGCGTGTGGGCAGCCAGAAGTGCCGCCGTCTCACGTGTGTGATCTCTCACAATGTGTGCAATTCACGTTGGGCCGCGTTTCAGGAGCCTTCCTGACAGCCCACGGGCCGAGCCGGGCCTGCGCTGAGTTTGGTCATTTCTGGTAAAAATGGAGCGAACAAACCTGAGCCCAAACCTGCACGTGAAACGAGAGCTGTGGGCCGAGGCCGCGTTCTGTGCCGTAAAGCTGACCGTGCTCTTCTCTCGCAGGGCAACCACTTCGACCAGTATGAAGAAGGGCACCTGGAGATAGAGCAGGCGTCCCTGGACAAGCCCATCGAATCGGTAAGGCTGTGCTCAGCACCGGCACCCTCCTGCCCTGTGCTGGGCCCCGGGCGCGTTGCTGTGGGCAGGAGGGGCGAGCTGCATGCTGAGCTTTGTGTGTGCAGGGCTGCCGGCTGCCAGCAGCCATCCTGCACCGTGCCGTCCGAGTTCGGTGCCGTACTTCAGCGCTGTCCTCAGCCACCCAGAGCCGTTAGGTTGTTTTATATTTCTGCCAAAGAATCAGTTTAATTCTTAGCAGAGCCGCAGGATAGCGCAGCAGAGTGCCTGCTGATCCCCTGTCGTGTTTTGGCTGACGGTGGGTTGGGATGCACCTGGCGGTAGGGAGCACGGCTGTGGCAGTGCAGCAGAGCTGCCCCACGGGGCCGGAACTGCGGCCAGGATTTTTAAGTGTTGCTTTTGTGTGTTTTGTGGCTTTTTTTTTCTTTTTTCTTTTTCTTATGAATGTGGAGAACACAGCCATAAAACGGGGCAAGCCTCAGTTTTGTGTAGTTTTCCCTTTTAAAGCTTTTTGGAGCCTTTTAAGTCCTGTCTCTGCCAGCCGTGGGCGCAGGGCTGTGCTCACCTGCGGGCCTGGCATCCAGCTTTAGCCCTGCAGCCTCAGTCAGTGCAGCAGCAGTAGGAGAGGAGGAAATGAGGTGAGCGCTGAGCTCACACAGAGCTCTGCTCGGAGAAACCGCTGCTGTTAGAGGCAGGAGCTCTCAGGTGTTCCCTTTCCCACCTAAGAAACGAAGCTGCTGAGGCTGCTCCGTGTCCGTGCCCACTTAGAAGCACTCAGAGTTAGCGAGGGCTCAGCGTCTCCTCCCTGGTGTGTAGGTCGGTGTTGTGTGTGTTTGTGTGTGTTTGGATGTTTACCAGAATTTACACAACTTGGGGTGTTCGACGTTTTTCTTCCGCAGCAGTTGGTCCATAGTAGCTAAGCAGCCCCGATCTGGTTTGTATTGCACGGTCTGCCTTTTTTAATTTCTTCTCTAGGGTTTCCTTTCCCTTTTCTTATTTCTGTTCTTCTGGTCCAGTGAACACTGCGTATAGTACCTCCTGTCTTCTGTGCTGGCATGATGCTAGATCCAGGCATGGCAGTAATCGATGACGCATGAGATAATGCTGCAGAGATGGGGTTTGTATTCAGCGTTGTCCTGAATACCTCAGTCGCGCTGTGTGGCGCAGGGCTGCGATGGAAGTGCTGACAGATCCCAGGAAGCACTCAGGCTCGTTGCTGCACGCAGCGCTGATGGCGGCGCAGGTGGCGGCCTGGTGTCAGGAGGTGCCCGGCTCTGAGCTCCGTCCCCAGCTGGGGGCTCGTGGGGTCCCAGCGCGTCCGCAGGAGCTGCACGTGGACGGCGGCGCCTGGTGCGTGCTGGGCTTCTGCAGGCACAGCCTGTGGCCGCGGGGGCTTTGCTCAGCGAGGAGCCGCGGCAGAAGGCTGCGAATGAAGTGGCAGCTTTAGCATTGAATTCAGCCCTGCTCAGCGTGGGGCCGCTGAGGTCCCTTCCAACCCCAGCAATCCCAGGGCTCCGTGCTGCCATCCGATGGGGGCGGCGATTCGCAGCTCAGGGTCGGTTTAACACCTCGCTTTGGCCTCGTGGTTGAGCTGCGCTCCATCTGATGGCTGTCGGCTGGGCGGCCGTCGCCCCGCGCTGCTGCGCTGAGCCTTTGTGGCTCTGCCCTCGGCCTCTGCCCTCTGCCCTCACACTCAGCACCGCCTCCATCTCCACGTCGTCTTCATACAAAACGCTGTTGGTTCTCGGAAGACGACCTGCAGGTGGAAAGCAAGAATAATGCATCAGGTTTCCCGCTGCCAGTGAAAATGTTTCCCGCCCTCTTAATGACCCACGGGCTGAAGTTAGCAAGTTCCCGGGGGGGGGTTTCCCTGCAGCTCTGCTGTTCTGGCAGGAAGGCTGCTGGCACCTCGTGCTGCCGGCCCAGCAAACACAGAGCGTAGCCAAAGTGCCATGGGGAATCCATCTCTGCAGCATTATCTGGTGAGAGGCGCTGACCGTACTGCTACAGCATGCAACTCGGAGGTGGCTGGAAACAAAGGTCTGGGAGTCTACAGATCGTTACAATGCTGACACGTGTCCTCAATTCGCACGCCGGCGTTTGGCTCCGTGCAGCCCTGCCTTGTTTGGGCCTCGGCCACGCGCGGCTCCAAGCACAGCACAACATGGCAGCAGGGCCGGCCCGGGCCCGGAGATGTGCGCAGCCTCAGCCAGAAGCGATTTTCCATTCCTAAATTGAAAGTATTCCCCATCAATGGACTCCTCATAGCTCCGAGAGCGATATTTTCGCTTCCCCCGCAAGTGACGGCGCCTTTGTGCTGCTCTGAAAGGTGCTGCACACACGCTGGCGGCGTCGGCGCAGCCACTGCTGCTCATCCTGAGCCATGGAGCCCTCGTGCAGCATCTCAGCTCGCAGAGGGCTGTGCTGGTTGTGAGCACTCAGCGTGCGCTCAGCTCAGCAGCGGCGACGCGTGGCTCCTCTCCTAGGGCCCGTCCTCCCCACACTGCACTCCTCGACCCCGGTCCCGTGGCTGTGAGTCCTCGGCTCTCCTCCCCACACAGAGGCGGCACGGCGCCGAGGTGAGCGGTGCTCAGCAGCACGCTGCTCCCTGCCCTCGGCGCAGAGCCGTGCTGCCGGCCCGCTGCCTGTGGTCGCACCACCTGTACAGATCTGTGGACTCCACTGGTTCCAAAGTGTAACTGGGAGAGGCTGCTGGTTTGACATTTAGCAGCAGCCACGTGTGGACAGCGCTATAAATAACGTGCTTCTTGAAGCTGAATGGTGTAGCATTACTATTTGGCTTTTCTCTCTGGTCTTCATTGTGTCATCTGTAGTGAGCTCTAGGTTTTGTTTTGGGACTCTTTTCAACCTCTCGTTTGCATGGGTTCACCCCGTAGCATCCAATCCTCGCTTCTGGTCCCGCATACACAGTCAGCACAGCTTACAGCCCACTCAAGAGACTCACGGCTCCCGGTGCTGCCCGGAGAGGAGCAGAGCGCTGCAGCCCTGGGATCCCATGGGAGCCCTGCACGGGGCGCAGCCGGTTCTGGTTCGGCCTCCATGCAGCCCCACTGCACATTGCAGAGCCCCCTCTTGCCGCAGGGCCTCTCCCGCCCCCAGCAGCACCAAACCCCTCCAGTTCTCACACAGATCTTTGTGCCTTTCCCCGCTCGCTCTGGAGCCGGCTGCAGGCCGTGCTGTCACACACGGTCGCGGTGCTGGCTTCCAGCTGGCTTAGCAGCCGGGCACGGGGCACACAGCCCCGCGTTTCCGCCTCGCAAAGCTGCCGTCTGCATGTAGAGACATAGGAGCAAAGGCCCCGGCCCTCCTTGCCCGCCCAGCTCCCATTCCTGCTGCGGTGCGGGCAGCCCCAGAGCAGCAGCGTGGGCACGTGGGGCCCGGCGGCAGGCAGTCGTGTGTCCCGAGAGGGCGCCGACCGGCCCAAGGCCGCAGCTCAGTGGCAGCAGGGCTGGGGGTGAGAGGGGCGCCGTGCCCAGAGCTGCGTGCTGGGTGTTGGGGCGGCCGCCCTCTTGAGTGGCGCTGTAAGAGCGGCGCTGTGTGTATAGCCTGTCAGTGGGTCTGTTCTCCCCTTAACATTCGTCCCCCCTCACTGTGTCAGTCACAACGCACCGCTCTTGAATCTCCAGCTGGTCTTGACTTGTTGAATTTATTTTATGCTTTCACTCTTCTTTAGTAAGTACATTACTTGCAAGCAGTGAATTGAAAACAAAGCAAAAGAAAAACGACCATTAGTGATTGGACAGTTTCTTACTTTGTGTTACATTTAACTGTTCTTTTGACAGCCCAGTTTTTAAAGCCAGGTTCGTATGGAAATGCTTTCACTCCACTTGCACTGCTTTTGGAAATAGCGTCCCGCTCCATCCGTGTCCCCTGGTGCCTCGCTCACCCGCAGTCAGCACAATGTCTCATCCCCGCCTCGTGCTGCTCTCACGCCGCGCTGCTGCAGGCGCCCCCCGCCGGCGGCCCAATTAAAAGCCAGCCCTTAATTGCGCGGTTTTCCACCCGCCCGATCGGCTTTTCCTGGGGAAGATGAGACATTATGCTAATTGTTCCCCCCGTGCACTAATGGTTCCTCGCTGTTATGACTGCTAGGCCTGTTCCATTCTAACACCTTAGTGTTTGGTTAGTTTCCATGTGAGATGCATCACCCAGTCTGTGCTTGAGCTCATTTTATTTAATCGATTTCCTTATTTTGTTTTTACTAACCTCACTGTTTTTTCAGTTTAATATTGGCTGCATGCTAGTTTATATCTATATATACATATATAAAACCCAATCAAGTGTAGTCTGGATTGTGCTCTGATTGCGTTTGGTTTTAGTGGTGGGCAGTGCTGCACTGACAGCTTTCGGTTCTCTAAATCCTGACACGCAAACCAAGCGACTAAACCCAGCGTAGACCTCCGCCAGCCTCCTAATGGTGCTGTCTAGGTGATGGATACGATTGTCTCAGTAGCCTGATTTTATGCTTTTTACTGTCAATTTTGATCGGTACACCTTTCCTCCCCCATTGCTTTCTGTTTTTTTGGTTGTCGTGGTTGTTTTCCTTTCCCCTGACGCACACACGTTGCCCAGCACACCATCAGACAGCGGCCAACCCCGGCCCTGCAACAATTCCAGCCAGCAATTTTTGCCATCGGTCTCTCCCTTTCCTTGGGCACACGTTGCCTTCTCAGTAGCATTTTTTTGCATGCGTATCTATGTAGAAAATCTCTCGTTCATCACATGTTTCAGTGGCGGCGGGAAGGGAAGGATAAATTATTGGAATATTTTTGGTTTGTTCTCTCTGTTCTGTCTGTCAGGATAATATCGGACACCGCTTACTGCAGAAGCATGGCTGGAAGCTGGGCCAGGGCTTGGGCAAGTCGCTGCAGGGTAAGTGCTGCCGTGAGCTCCCACAGAACCTCTGCTCTCCGTTCCTGCGTGGGTCGTTGCTGCCGCCGTGCAGGCAGAGGCACTGCTGGGTTTCTGTGGGGAGGCGCTGCGGGTCGGACGTGGTGCTGCACTGACTGCACGCAGCGCTGCGGCCGGGGCTGAGCTCCATGGCTCCCGAGCGTGTGGGGCGGTGTGGGGCGGTGTGGGGCCGCATGGGGCCGCGTGCCCACGGCCTGCTGGCAGCCGGGCCGCCCGGCTCGCTGCTCCCCTGGCTGCAGTCTGAAGAGCTGGCAGCCTGTGAGTGGCCCTGCCGCCCCCAGCGGCCCCGCAGAGCTGAGGACTGTTGGAGAGGCGCGGGGCTCTGCGCCCTGCAGATGCCCTGGGATGCGGTGGGCTCTGCGGCTGAGGCTCTCTGACCTCTTGGACGGGGCCGCACTGGTGGTTAACGCTCCTCGCTGCCCCTACCTGGGTTCCATTCGGAGTTCTGTGGCTCATGCTGGCCTTCTTACTGTCCCTGTGCCTCGTGCCGGTGTGCAGGGGGCTGCAGCTGCCGCCCTCAGCATCGTGCTGTGGCGCAGCGTTGGCTGCGTGTTCCTCAGCCCGCTTGTCCCTCTGGGTGTCCCTCTGTCACTCTGTGTGGGAGCAGTGAGCCGAGGGAAGGCCGGGCCCGGCGCACCTGCATGAGGCCACGGCCCCGGGGCTGCCGGCAGCTGTGGGGGGCGAGGGGCAGCTGTGGGGACGTGCTGCTGTGTCCTGCTGCTCCGCAGCATCGGGTGGGCTGTGTTGGAAGGGCCCCGTGGGCATCGAGTTCCACCCCTGCTGCTCCGGGCTGCGGGAGGAGCTCCCTGCTGCCGTGCGGCACCGCAGGACGTCGCTCTGAGGGTGTTTCATTCCTTGTCCTGTGGCTTTTCTACCTGAATTGTCCCCAAACCCCAAATCTGCAAACTGAAGAAAGGAAGCAGTGGCCTCCAGTTTGAACTGTGCTCCGGGACCATGGGGAGCGAGGGCATTTGATGTGCGCTGAGGACGGGAGAGCAGAACAAAGACATCTTCTCACTTCCATGTTCTTTTCATCAAAACATCCAACGGAGATTTCTAAAGAGGTTGAGGAGAGAACGCAGGGCTGCCGTGCTGTGAGCACTGCGCTGGAGCCTAAAGGACATCCAATAGTGCAGAACTCAGAGCACTCTGCATTTCTGTTCGCCATGAATACATTACCTGCCGTCCTGCATTTGGCAGCCAGCCCTCAGAGCTGATTCGTTTGCACACGCTGAGATCACCCTCCCCTTGTTTCCACGTGGCTGACCTGAACAAAGCCGGTGCTCCTGCAGCAGGAGCCGTTCCACCCACCAGGGCTCCCCCCAACATCAGCGCAGCTGGGGGTTGCACTGCAGGCAGCGCCTCAGCAGTGGGGAGTTGTGCAGCCACAGCAGGGGAGGCTGCAGGAGGGGCAGAGTGGGAAATCCCTGCTGGATTTCTTCCGTCCCAGCAGGGAGCGCTGAGCTCGGCAGAGGTGGGTCCTCCTGAAGCCCCCTGTGGAGGAGCTTTGCTTTGCTTTGCTCCTCACCCAGCCCAGCTGCAGCTCCTCAGGCTGTGTCACAGAGCTGAGCCACATCTTGATGCTTTCGGGGACCGTGCAGCCCGCTGGGGTCGGTCACAGCAGGGCTGGCGTGGCAGCTGCAGCCCGGAGAAAAGTGCTCAGGGTTCACATTCCAGAGGTGTCGAGTGCTGGCTCACCAAATGGCCGGCAGCTCGTCTGTCCGTGTTTTTCCATTTGGTAAATGCTCTCATCTCACAGAGGAGATGTTTGTGAGGCCCTGGGAACACAGAACAATGCACATCCGAGAAGAACAGCACGAGGAAATGAGGAATTCTGAATTCATTTTGGGGGTTTGGAGCCGTGTGAGAGTATGGAAGAAAAGGAGAAGAACCAGCCGTTAGTCAGTAAGAATTGGGTGGTTTGGCAGCGTCTGTAAGAACTGGATGTAAACATGATCTTATCTGCAGCCTCTGAGTGAGTGCTGGCGGGGATCTGAGGTCGGCACAGACGGGCATCTGCCGCTTGTGTAGCGTCAGTCAGGGCAGCAGGGTGGCAGCAGGGATTTCACGCGCAGGACGGGGCGGCGCTGATGAGGGGCGCTGCGGGCCGATGGCCGCCGTGTGCGCGGCTCCTGCGTCTGCTTCACGCAACGGAGCTCCTGGCGCGGCTCGGGATCTCCTGCGTGGGACTGGGGCTGCCTGCTCCTCACCGAGCAGGAGAGGCATTTCAGGCTTCGTCTGAGCCTCGTGTCTGTCTGCGGCCCCTGCCAGAAACCGGAGATAAACAGGATGAGCTCAGCGGTGCCGCTCCCAGAGGACGGCAGGATGAGAGGCCGCCTTGTTTTCACGCGCCTCGCGCGGCCGGCGGCGCAGGGCTGGGGGGGGAGCGTTGCTCCGGGCCGGCAGGGAGCGTCCAGGGCTGCCGTGAGCAGCAGGCGGCGCTCCCTGCGATGGGCGGCGGCCGGGAGCTCGGGGCGCAGCCGGCCGGGGGAGCTTGCAGAGCTTGCAGAGCTTGCGCGGTCCTTGTGAAAAACGAAGCTCGTCCTCGAGCGGGACGGCTCTGCAAGTAAGTAGGGACGGTGCGTGCTGCGGTCCCGTCCCACGGTGTGCCGGGGTGCTTCCGTGCGGCGCTCCTGCCCTGTTGTCGCTCCTGCCTGCTGTGAGCAGCCGGCGCTGTGCTGCTCTGTGCTCTGTCGCTGGGATGCGCCGCGGTGCTGCCGAGCTGCTGCCCGTGCTGAAGTTGCTCTCGGGGGCAGCTCTGCCTCCTGCCCGCGTGGAGGCGCTCCGTCCGTCTGCACGGCGCCCCCTGCGCGCACGCCGGTGGATGTCCTGTGGTGTTTCCGGGCTGTAGGGGCAGCAGAGCGGACCTGTGGGGCTCACTGCCTGCTCACGGCACCCGCGGCCCTGCGGCGCCATCCAGAGCTGCGCTGCCATCCCGGGCTGCGCTGCCATCCAGAGCTGCGCTGCCATCCGGTGCTGCGCTGCCATCCCGAGCTGCGCTGCCATCCAGAGCTGCGCTGCCATCCGGTGCTGCGCTGCCATCCCGAGCTGCGCTGCCATCCCGGGCTGCGCTCCCTGCCCCTTCCTGAGAGCCCGGCTCCCCGCGCGGTGCGGCAGGAGGCGGCGCTGCGGGAGCGCCGAGCCGAGCGCTGGGATCGGTGCTCCTGATGTCGCTGCCCTGTCACGCGTCCCACCAGGTGAGGTTGGGCCGTCCCACAGCAGCGCGGCGCCGGCCGGGCCCACGGCGCGGTGTTGGGGTGGAGGGGTGAGGAAGGAGCCCGCTGTGGTTGCCCACCTCCCTGCCTGCTGCAAACCGCCTGTTTTCTGCCCCAGTGGTTTCTGCCTAACAAATGGTGTTTCTTTTTTACAGCGTTATGATCCTGGACTTGTTGTGGTGATGGTAAACTTAGCAGTGGTAATTTTTAATTTTCAGACTGAATTACTCCTTTTGTCATCAGTGCACCAATATGTTAGGCTTACTTTCTCTGTTGTAGCCATCATCCTTCTGCTTGGTCTTTCATTTTCCTTTCCTTTCTTTATGCACACTTGTCTGATCCTCGTTCATTAAAGGGTATTGCTAAGAAGGGACGTTTCTGTTTGTGTTAGAACTGCCAAAATCAGTTTAAGCGTCAATTTCTAATACTGTCCAAACTTGATTTTCCCCACCGTGGGCACCAGCACTTGCTACTGCAATTTACAAAGAGATCTTGAAAAACTCTGCCTGCCTTAGAAGGCAGAAGCTCCGCTGCACTGTTTGTGTGCGGGGCTCCACGAGGCGGCACCCGCGCTCTCCATTGCTGGAGAACCGAACCCCAATCCGACCCAAAACGAAGCTGAGATGCAGAATGGTCGGCACGCGCGGCCAGCCATGCTGCTCGGGTTTGCCAGCCCCGCCTGAGACGTTACGAAAGTGATGCTGCGCTTAGGAAGCCATTTTTATAACCCGTCTTTAATTTGGGCCTTTTGCTAAAAATTGCAGTCACTGCTTCCTGTATTATACCATTGGGCCAAAGAGAAACGTGTCAAATGAGGAACAGCATTAAAGCAGCCAAAGGCGAGCGTGGTTCCAAAGAGCCACGGTGCGTCGGCGCGGCGGCCGCGCTTGGAGCTGTGGCCGCGTGCCATGGGCGCCCCTAAAACAACGCAGCCTGAAAGGGAGCTGTGTGCCTGCCTGAGGCAGAGCCGTGCTGGGCTCCAGGGCCCTGGAGAAGCGCTCTGCATCCATCCCAGGAGCTCAGCCCTCAGCGCCCTGCGCCGCAGCGTCGCTTTGGCCTGGGAAGGCCTGCGGATCTCAGAGCCCAAAGGTATAATGGTGTTGTATGTGTGTATAACAAAGCAGGTGTTTACGCCGACCCAGAGCCATGAGCAGGGCTGTAAACATTCTGTTTTCTCACCCAGGGTGTGCGCCGGAGAAGGTAAGTGCTGTTCCAGCAGGTTTACATCGCAACCGACAGCGCGGGTTGGGATGTAACGTACAACAAAACAATCCAAAACAGAGAAAAATCCAAACGAAATTAAAAAGCTGTGGTAGTAAAGTGCTTGCGTGCCCCATTTTGCTTTGTTTGGCTGGTTATGAGTGGATTAAAGATAAGTTGAAAAAACAAATAATAATGAAAACCAAACCCCAACAAAATCTCCAGCGTAGTTTGATTAGTTCCAAGTCAATTCTCTTCGCTAGCAGTCCTTTTCACAGCTTGCAGCCGCGTCGCCCCGCGGCCCCGGGGGAGGGCGGAGGTGGGGGTTCTGTGCTCCTGAGCAGCAGTGGGGTTCAGGTCTGCGAGCTGTGCGTGGAGCGCAGGGGCTCGTTGGCAGGTCCTGGCAGCACACACGCAGCAGGACGTGCTGCACTTGGGCGCTGAGCACCAGCTGGTTCCTCGGCGCCGTTGGAAGGCACGGAGCTGTGCCGCGTGGGGCCGGGGGGCACGGCTGGCTGCAAGCTGTGGGAATGGCTCGTGTTTGGTTCACTGTAGCTTTCTGGTCTCTGCACTCCAAGGCAAGATCTCTAACCACCCAAACCCAATGTGTCGAGCGAGCCGCGGGCACGGCGCAGCCCCTGACCGCCTCTGTGTGTTCCTATTGCAGGGAGGACAGATCCCATCCCAATTGTCGTCAAGTATGATGTCATGGGCATGGGGCGCATGGAGATGGAGGTAAGGCTGCTGGGTGTGGGGCAGGGGTTGAAAGGCCCGTCTGGGTGTCGAAAAGTGCTCTTAAAGCCAGGAAATGCTTCTGTGAGAACCTGCGCTCTGTTGAGCACTGCTGAGCTGAGCTTTGTGCCTCTGCCTGGCAGCTCCCACTGCGCAGAGCTGGAGCTGCTGGTGCTGCACTGCAGGCCAGTGCGGTGAGGGAGAAACCCAGCACAATGAGGGGCCCAGCTTTGAGATTGCACGTTCTGGCAGCGCCTGGTGCAAGAGGGGTCTGTGGGACAAATGGCCATTTTCAACGTTTGTAATTCTTCTTCTGTTTGTTTTAAAAAGCTCGACTACGCCGAAGATGCCACTGAGCGGAGGCGTGTACTGGAGGTGGAGAAAGAAGACACCGAGGAGCTGAGGCAGAAATACAAGGTACTGAGCAGCAGCGTTCCCAAGGCCTGTGCTGGCTGCTGTAACCCCAGCAGGAATGCACTCTTGTTGTTCCCTGGTGTCACTGAGACAGCTCACATGTGAACAAGTGGGTTGCTCACCTCCTGGAGTTGTTTTGCTGCTGAAGAGCTTTGGGGCAGCAGTGCTTTGGTCCCGCAGCCCGCAGTGCTGGGCCAGGCCTGCTGCCTTGTGGGCACAGAGCACACAGAGCCGGCCTGCAGGGGCGCCCCGTTACCAGCTGGCGCTGAGGCATCACACGGTGTGTTAGTGCTGCTGTGCAAAGTGCTGCCCTCTGACAAGGCAGAACGTGGCTGCAGGGCTGAGAAGTTCTTGTTCTGTCCCTGTGTGGGAGGATTGATCGGGCAGCATCACAGAATGCCTGTAGATATGCCATGTTTTAAGGTTAACCAGACTGGTGGTGTTCTCTGGAGTTCATTCCTCCCTTCTGGATGTTCCTTTTTCCCCCGAGACCTCGACTTGCTTGGTGACTTCCTGCTGTATTTGTTCATTTACTTCTGTAACTACTGTGTTTGTGATTACTGCTATCTATTGATTCCTTTGGAGCTGAGTGACAGCACAGAAACCTGGCATGTTTCAGAAACACCGCGGTGCTCCTGTGCTCTGGGTGGGGACAGGAGCTGCTGTGTCAGCGGCACCTAATGACGAAGAGCAGTGCCGTGTGTCACCAAACCCTTCTTTCTGCAGCCGCCTTTTCAAGCCTCCCTGCCAGCATTCAGCACAGGTCCCATTCGGGTCCCTTCCAGGAACTCAGCGGAGCTGCAGCAGTCCCTCCCTGCGTGGATGTTTTCCCTCGTGTGCTTTATTGCGTTTCTGTATTAAAGCTCTGCCAGGGCCGTTTCTTCGCAGCTCTGAGGTGATGCAGCTGCCAGCTGTGTGCGGCAATTCAGCACATCCAGGGGGGGCTGCGGGTCGCTCTGTGCTGGGAAATGCTCCGTCATTCCCTCCCCGCTGTGGGCAGTGATAAGTGAGAGCTGCTCCGCCACAGGATGTGTGCTGCACAGCCTCGCTGGCCGCAGGAAGCGCCTTCTGCCCGGCAGAGCAGCCCGGCCCGCCATCGTCCTGGGCTTGTTTCCTTTCCTGCCTTCATGGGGACCTGCTGCAGCCCCACAGCCCCACGTGCTGTTCTTTCTTAGCGTGGTTTCTCTGCACTCAGCAAAACGGGAGCTTAAATCCTTCTTTATTTAAAAGCAGAGTAGCGCTTGGAGGGGAAATAAAGCCCATCTTGTAGCAGCAGGATGTTTTAGATTTTTCCCCTTCGGGTGCCGAAATATTTTTCGCACAGATCTGGCCTTGCAGCAGCACATCAGCAGTGTTGTGTCTGTGTCCCTGGGGTGGTAAACCGGGAGATTCACCACGTCCCTTGGACACGATCTCATCAAATCAAAAGAAGAAAGCTTTCTAAGTGCGTCTTCTTTTCGGTGCTTGTGGCTCCTCTTGTTCATGGAAGGAGGAACCCTTCAGCTGGTGTTTGCTGAGGACTTCTAGAGAATCTTTCAGATTGCTCCAGAGCGAGTTCAGCTTGTAACTGCTCTTCGTTTTGCAGGATTATGTGGATAAGGAGAAGGCGATTGCCAAGGCTTTGGAAGACCTCAGAGCCAACTTCTACTGCGAGCTCTGCGACAAGCAGTACCAGAAGCACCAGGAGTTTGACAACCACATCAACTCCTACGACCACGCTCACAAGCAGGTAAACAGAGCTCTGCAGGCGGTGCTGCCAGCTCGTCGTGTGCTCTCTGCAGCGTCTCCTTTGCAGTTCATACTTTGATTTCCCCCCGTGTGCTCGTTGTCCTCACTGGGAGCAGGCCCCGTGTTGCTGGCCCAGTCTTGTTGCCCACCATCCCTTTGGAAACAAACCAACAACAGACACACAAACAGAAAGGAGCAGACAGCTGCCGCCGGCTGGTGAGGAAGCTCTGTGTTGAGTGAGGTGTGAGCAGGAGCAGGCTGCTGGAAACTGGGGGGGAACTCCTCCTGAACCGGGTGTGGAGGCTCCTGCTTCACGTCTGCTTTCATAGCGGCACGGCTGTGGAGTCTGACGATCTGCCATGTTTCAGAGTGTTGGGAGACCAGGAAAAGAGGGGCTGTGTCGAAAGGGGAAGTTTCCACATTCTGTGATGTTCATGAGGTCTGTTCTGAATCCGCACAGCTCTGCCTTCAGTCCCCAGCTGGGATGTGGCAGGGCAGTGCTGTGTGCTCGAGTGCTGGGTGGCTGACCGAAGTCTGTGCATTGGCCTCATCTCTTTGGCCATTCATGATCTCACAACAGAGAGCTGTGCTGTGCTCATCTGGGGGTAAAAGTGCTCAGAGGAAATGTTCTGATACTCCTAATGACCGATTTTAACACCGTGATGCTTGGAGCACTGACGACTTGTGGAGGATGTGCTGCAGAGCCTGGCCAAATGGAAGCGAAGCAACAGCTTTGAAATGGGAGTATAGCATTACAGGGCATGAATTTTTAATGTTAAGTATGGGAACAGTGGTTCCAAGCAGATTCACCAGGGGAGCCTTAACAGGAAACGTGCAGCAGGGCGCTTTGTGTGAGCACTGCTATGGTTGGGAATGCAGTCCCAGCAGAGGGGGGCTGGCGTGGCTGTGATACCCGAGAGCAGTGCTGTGTTCTCCATCACCGGGCTGAGATGGAGAGCAGTTGGGTGCCTCTGCTGAGGGGAGGGGGGACCTGGTGGTGGCACGTTTGTGCAGCGTGGCGATGTGCTCTGATCACGGCCTGCTCCCGCTTAATTGGGTGGGTAATTGGGCTGACAAGAGGTTAGGAAGGAGAAACAAACTGCCCCTCGTTGGTATAAAAGGAGTCGTGGTTCAGGGTAGTGGCAGCGCTCCAGTCACCGCAGCTCTGGAAGGGGCTGCAGGCTGGGTGGGATGGCTGGTCCTACAGGAACCCGCAGCGCTGTGGGGAGGTGGGAGCCTTCAGGTTCCTGTAGGTCACCCAGCGTTCCTTCCTAATTAGGCAGTGGTTTGAACAGAGAGGAAGTTGTGCTTTGCTCAGGGAAAGGGCTTGCCCAGCTCCCTGTGGTGCTGCGGTGTGTCAGCATCTGGACGTGCAGCACCCAGAGGTGAGGAAGGCGAATGAGCAGCAGTAGTGCTGTGCCACCCGTGCTGTCTGTATGCTGGAGCAGCCCTTCCTGGCAGTGTGGGGCTGGGGGTGCTGCTCCCCGCTCCCCTGCTCAGCGTGTGTCCTGCTGCCCCACAGAGAGCCGCTCTGCCCCCACATCCCTGTCTTCTCCCCAGTTATAAAGATGCTGTCTTGTATTCCAGGAAGGATCTCAGGATTATTGCCAAACAGGGACGATAGGTAAGTGCCCTGATCCCTGTGGGTTCGTTTGGACAACCTCCACCGCGTCCACACCGAGCAGCAACGGGGAGGTGGTGTTCCTCTGCTTCCTGACCCTGCTGCTCTCGTGGCATCAGGTTGTGTCTGAGCCACCCTCTGCACCGCGTCTCGGTCCATAAGGCAGCAATCCGAGGGGAAAGGGGGAAAGGGGTGAAACTGCGGCGTGACCCCACAGATGCGTGTCCCTCTTGCTGCCATCTCTGCTGGGCTCTTTGTTTCTGGGATCCATTTCTGGTGCCGAGGAAGAGAGATGTAGGGAAGCACCGTTGTGCTGCCAGCACGGTCACTGCTGTGCTGGCTGAGTGCTCCAAATGCAAACCCTGGACTTCCCGGTTTGGGCAGAGCGGTGCTTTCTGAACGCTCACATCTTCAGCACAGCATGGTGCAGGGAAGTTGGGAGTGCCTCTGCCATACTTGGTGTCCAGGGCAGAAACAGCGTGTGCTCACAGCGCGGGGCCACGTGTCAGCATACAGGGACTGACGCAGGGGGGGGTCTGTGTGCCATCGACTCGTGGTGTGTCATCCTCAACTGAAAGGCTTTGCAGGGAAGAAGTGAAGTAAAGCCTCAGCTCCTGGCTGCTTTCCCTCTGCTCTTCTCTCTTTGTGGTTGTGCAAAGAACCCTGGTGGCCCGAAGTGGGCTGTGCTTGTGTTAGCACTCGTGTAAAGTTGTCAGCCAGAGGTTGCCATCCTTGGAGCTCGTGCTGCAGTTCCCTTCCAGGCTGTTGCAGCAGAATGAGGGGTATGGAGTGAGAAGTGGTTTTCTTTAGTGAGGTTGGCAGAGAGAGCGGAGAGCAGCGTTGAGGAGGAGCGGCGCTGCGCTGGCTGTGCTCCATGTGAGCTGCTTCCCCTGCGGCCAGTGCTGGCACCTCGCTGTGCAGCTCCTGTCTGCTGTGAGCAGGCTCAGTAGGGTGGCAGTGTGGGGAGCACAGGGAGCGGCTTCATCCCCTCTGCACGGCATCCTCTTACATAAGTCTCCTTGCTTTTCCACCTGATGCTGAGATAAATCGTTTGCCGCTGTGCCTGACCCCGCAAAGCAGTGTGCGTTGAGCAGTGACATGAGCCCACGAGCGAGCTGTCCCATGTGCTCCGTCCTCCCCTGTTTCTGCAGCTGAATGCTGACCCTACCCTCCGGCTCAGCCACCTTTACACACCGTGATGCTCCCTGGAGCTTCCTGCTGAGGCAGGAGTGTGGCTCTGTGAGCCAGGGGAAGGAGCTGCATGGTGACAGCACTGCGTGGTAACAGCCCTGCGTGCCACGGCCAGAACACAGCCCGTCTCTGCCCCGTCCACGCTCGAGGGCTGAGCAGCTGCAGATTAAGAGCACCTGCTCTTTAGGAGCTCAGTTGCACTCCTTGGTAATTCTGCTGGAAAGGAGGCTGAAAGTGCTGCTGTTAGGGAGTGGAGGAGGGCCTGAGGCAGCGGAGCGGTGCCCATCGCCTCGCTGTCCCTGGGCTCCGCTCCTCAGCTGAGCAGTGAAGCAGCCGCGCTGCCTGTCCTGGCATTGTGCTCAGCCACACTCTATGGCTTGGAGACCTTCCTGCCTCCTCCGGGGTGCGGGGCCTTCAGGAGAGAGTGCTGTCTGCTTCCCAAACCCTGCAGCAGCGCCCAGGGACGCGTTTGGGGTGGGTAGAAGAGGGCGGCCCCGATGCTGCTAAAGAGACAAGAGAACTGCTGAGCACGAGGTGTGAAGGGTTGATGGAGCGGGGCTCTGCTCTGAGGCAGAGGTGCCTGCAGAGGCGGGGGGCCCTGTTGTGTCACAGCGCTCTTCCTGGAAGGGAGTGTGTGCGGTGTGCTGCCAGTAGCAGGTGGGGAGCTAAGGGATTAGAATAACGAACGCTCGCCTCTTGATTATGGGGGGAATTTCTTGAGGGTAAGCCTGGGTTAAATATGGTTTAGCTTGGCTAGCTTTCTGCCAGGGCTGGGAGCTGCAGTTTGCCGAGGAGCTCTGTGTTCCTCGATGTTCTTCTGCTGTGCAGCTGCACCTGGTGCTCTTTCTGCTCCTCTCTGGCTGCACCAGGGACAGCAGTGGCACGGCTGCAATTAATGTCTTGTCTGCTGCTCCTTGCATCGAGAAGTTGCTGCTTCCAGGTACGTGCTGGGAGCAGTTGGTGAAGGAAGGTTCCGTGTTCCGTGTTCGCCGTCCCAAGGCAGCAGTGCGGTGCAGCTGTTGAGATTTTGTTTTTCCACGTTGCCCAGCAAGGTCCTCGCGCCCCAGTGCTGCAGGGTGGCTCCCCGACTCCCCTGCAGGGTCAGCGCGGTGCAGCCGGCACTCGGTGTCCGCGCTGTGCACTGAGGGCCCTCAGCGCCGCGTGCCGCACGGCTCTTGTCTGCAGTCAGCAGCAGCTCGCTGCCGTGTGCTTTGTGCCTGGGAGCTGCGCTGCAGCCGAGTCCCCTGCTGTGTGCAGGCCGTCTGAGCACGCCGAGCTCAGAGCGCAGGGAGACGCGGTGCAGGCAGCCCCCCCACGGCCCGCAGCCCCTCTGCCAGCGCAGCGCTGCTCGGCCCCTTCCTCGGCCAGGAGTTCGGCATTCCACACCCAGCGCCCCGCAGACCCTTCAGCCCTCGCTTGTCCCGGGGAAGCAGCTCTGGGTGGATCGCTTGTGTGTGTGCACCCCGTCCCCTGTCGGCCCCGTAGCTGTGCTGCCCGGCTCCTGCTCCTAGCTGGCGCGCCGGGAGCTCCCCAGTAATGCTTGCTTCCTCTTTCTTCTCTCTCCCACCCTCGTTATATCTTCACTTTCTTTTTTTCTTTGTGATGGGACACTTTCAGATGATGTATTGAAAGCAAACCCTTCTAATTTCGGAGCCCAGATCACACGAGTGAGTTTCTCTCTGCCGGTGTCTGTAGCTGTATTCTTTGTCTGTCCTTCCCTCTGGTTTTGGTAAAGCTCAAACCGTGTTCAGTCACTGCGATTAGGCGAGAGAATCCTCTGTCTTGTCCGACCTCCCCTTTCCACAAAGCAATGTTCTCTTTACATTGGGCTCGGTAATTCCCTGGGCTGGCACGCTGGGTTCGTTAGCTCAGTCCTGCTCTGATGCCATTTGTCTTTGGGGCCCTTCCTGAAATACCTGACGTGAGAAACACCAACGGCTCATACGTGGCATTTCCTGAAATTGGGTCTTTTAAAAGATTGCGCACAGAAACCCCGAACAAAACGGGAGGTGCTTGAGTGCTCAGGGCGGCAGAGGTCTTTCTTGGCAACTTTCTTCACCTTCTGAGTGGTGCTCATAAAAAACAGCCTGGGAATTGTTGCCCGTGTTGGAAGGAGAGCAGCGGCCTCCTGTCGTGCTGCTTCAAACCAGGACCTGCAGAAGCTGTTGTTCGGCGCTGTTCAGACGGGACAGCAGGCGCCCAGCGGTGCTGTGATGGCTGACGCTCCTGGCTCCGCTCTCCGGCCCGCGGCGTTTCTGCCCTGTGAAGCGCTGACCCCCTGGCGGCGCCCGGCAGCTTTTGTTTCCCGAGGAGCTCGGAGCTCAGCAGAGCGGGGCGCTGTTTGTGCTGTGTGTTGTGTTGTTTCTTTGCTCACTGCGATCATTCGCATGGGATTTTTGGCACCTTCTCCAATGTAAGCTGCACATTGCTTTTGTTACCCGGGTGACTTCCACACCAGCTCCTGCTCCGTCCCCTCCCTGCCGCTGCGCTGTTTCTGCTGTACATTTGCACCCTGTGAGAGCATCAGAACAAACAGCCCTTTATTTTTTTTCTTAATTATCGGTTGTTTTGCTTTTTTTCCCTTCCAGAATTTGCTTTTTTGCTTTGAAAGCAGCCTTACCGTGCCGCTAAAGAAAGCTGGTTGTGCAGGCGTGAAGCCGTAGCCCCTCTGCTGCCTCTCCGCTGCGTGCCAGGCGGCAGCCTGCCTGGAGCCGTGTGTCGGGCCCAGCTGCCCCCCGCTCAGGCCGTGGCCCCGGGGGCTGGCAGCACGCTGCGCAGGGCTCCGGCCGTGTTCCTCTGATCCCCGCCCGCTTTCTTTTGCCTCAGAGGTTGAAAGATCTCAAGCAAAGGGAGTTTGCTCGTAACGTCTCCTCAAGATCGCGGAAGGATGAAAGGAAGCAGGAGAGGGCCCTGCGGCGCCTGCACGAGCTGGCCGAGCAGCGGAGGCAGCCGGAGTGGTGAGTGAAGGCGTCCTGCTCGGGTGCTGAGCCGCGGGGGGCTGGGGCTCGGCCCTGCGCTGTGCTTCTGGCAGGAGGGAATGGCCCAGCTGTGCTGCCCAGCAGCGGCCGTTTCCTGCTGTTGTGTGACGGTGCTGGGCGCGCGGTGCTGCTCCTGGGTGGCACTTGGAAGAGGTGAAATGTGACTGCAGGTTTATGAGGACAGGCTGAGAGAGCTGGGGCTGTTCAGCCTGGAGAAGAGAAGGCTTTGGGGGGACATTACAGCCCTTCTAGGACCCAACGGGGCCTACAGGAAAGCTGTAGGGACTACTTAAAAGGGCAGCAGGACGAGGAGAAGTGATTTTCAATCGGATGAGTTTAGATTCAGACTGGATATTAGGAAGAAATTCTTTACTGCGAGGGCGGTGCAGTGCTGAACAGGCTGCCCAGTGAGGTTGTGGGCGCCTCCCCCCTGGCAGCACTCAAAGCCAGGCTGGACGGGGCTGCGAGCAGCCTGCTCAGAGGGAGGCGTCCCAGGCTGTAGCAGGGGGGTGGCAGTGGAGGATCTTAAGGGTCCCTTCCGACCCAAACAGGCGGCCTTCGTTTTCTCTCGTTCCCGCAGCGCTCCGGGAAGCGGCCCCATGTTCAGAACCACGACTGTGGCTGTGGACGAGGAAGGGGGGGACGACGACGACGCTGCGGCCAACAGCGGCTCGTTCCCCCAGACGTCGGGCCCGGGCGGGGAGGTGGGCGCAGACAGGGGTTTCCTAAACGTGGGGCACGTGGGGGGCAGCGCCGGGCCGGGCCAGGCACCCCTGCAGGCAGCGCAGGCCGTCAGCTTTGGCATTAAGGGCGCGCCGGGAGCCCCGCTGCAGAAGATCGGCGTGTCGTTCTCCTTTGCCAAGAAGACTCCGGTGAAGCTGGAGACCATCGCTTCGGTTTTCAAGGACCACGTGGACGAATCGAGTTCTGCAGATGGAGCGAAAGCTGATGAGAAAGGCTCCTCGGATGGAGGGGGCCTGCAGAAAGCCGGGGAGGGCGAAAGCACAAACAGTTCTGACGGCAAGGCGGAGGACGACGACCACGACAAGGACAGCGGCTCTCTGGCCACCACGCTGTCTAAACTGAAAAAGATGAGGCGGGAGGACGGACCGACGGCGGTGGAGCCGGAGTACTACCACTACATCCCCCCGGCCCACTGCAAAGTGAAGCCCAACTTCCAGTTCCTGCTTTTCATGAAGTCCACAGAACAAACGGAAGCTGAAAACGTGAACAAAAAAACCGCAAATGAAGTCAGAAAGGGAAATTCCCCTAAACCCAAACCCGGCAAGCACGTGGAGAAGGCAGCCGAGAGCACGGCCCCGCCGAAGGAGCAGAGTGCTGCCGAAAGCGGCGCTCAGCAGGGCGAGGGGGAGCAGAAGGAGGCCCCAGGAGACGTCGGCGCGCAGGAGAGCGAGAGCCTGGCAGAGAGCGGCCTGCCTGAGCCCGGCGGCGCTGCTGCCCCGAGCTGTAGGGACGCCCCAGAGGGGCCCAGGCCGCCGCCGGGACCCTTCATCCCGGTCCTGAGTAAGGATGAGAGCACCACTCTGCAGTGGCCGTCGGAGCTCCTCATCTTCACCAAAGCGGAGCCGTCCGTCTCCTACAGCTGCAATCCTCTGTACTTCGACTTCAAGCTCTCCCGCAACAAAGACGCAAAAGGGAAAGGGGCCGAGAAGCCCAAGGATCCGGGCGGGCTGTGCAGGGAGAGCATCCAGAACGCCGAGTTTGGAGAGGTGAGCAGAGCCAAGGAGGCGGACGGCAGCGCCGACGGCTCTGGGGGGGCGGAGAGCGGGTCGGTGTCCCAGGGCAAGGAGGGCTGCCTGCAGGGCGAGGGCGACGAGAGCGGGAGGAGCGGAAGCGGCCGGGGGAAGGCTGGCAAATCCCACAAGCACAAGAAGAAAAAGAAGCACAAAAAGTCCAGCAGGCACAAACGCAAACACAAGGAGGAGCCCGAGGAAAAGAGCTGCAAAACGGACCCGGGTGAGGAGAAACCCAGGAAACGGAGACGGCGCCGGCACAAGAAGTTGAAATCCTCTCTTTCTACCGAGTCGGAGCGGGCGCTGAAGGCGGAGCCGTGCGAGGAGCGCGGCCACTTGCAGAAGAAGAAGCGCCGCTCGCAGGAGTCGCAGAGGAAATCTGTGTCGGCGGAGGAGGGCAGCAGCGGGAAGAAGGAGGACAGCGGCGCCTCGCGCCCCGAGCACGGCGCCAAGAAGCGCAGGGCTGCCCGCCGCCGGTGCCCGGGGCCGCGCCGCAGCCGGCGGAGCAGCGGGGACGAGGACGACAGCGACGAGGGCTCAGGCGGCGCGCGCTCGCAGTACAGCGACGACTACGGGTCGGGCAGCGAGCGCTCGCAGAGCCGCTCAGCGTCGGGGCGCGGGCGCTCGTCGCGGCGCTCCTACTCCAGCAGCTCCGGCGCTTCGTCCGACCGCAGCCGCTACAGCCGCCGCCGCAGCTACTCCGACAGCTACAGCGACTACAGCGCGCGGTCGCGGTGCTCCAAGCGCTCGCGGGACTCGGAGGACGACTCCGACTACGGCAGGTCGAAGCGGCGTAAGTACTCGTCCTCCGAAGACTACAGCTCGAGCCGGAGCAGGTCGAGGAGCCGCAGCGGGAGGTCGAGGACGCGCAGCCGGGGCCGGACGCGGAGCAGCAGCTGCAGCCGCGGTCGCGGCAAGAGGAGGAGCCGCAGCGTGACGGGGCGCAGCTGGAAGCGCAGCCGCAGCTACAGCCGCGGGCGCAGCAGCAGGAGCCGCTCGCAGCGCTCGCTGTCCAGGAAGGGCTCCCGCGGCCACGAGAGCCCCGAGGAGAGGAGGCCGGGGAGGAGGGACTTCATCAGGTCCAAGATCTACCGCTCGCAGTCGCCGCACTACTTCCGAGCGGCGCGAGGCGAGGGGGCCGCGAAGAGAGAGGACGGCAGAGGGGAGGAGCCCCGGGGCTCCCAGAGCAGCGGCTCGGGCGCCGGCCGCGCCTCGGAGGGCGACTGCAGCCCCGAAGAGCGGAACTCCGTCACCGCCAAGCTGCTCCTGGAGAAGGTCCAGTCCCGGAAGGTGGAGAAGAAGCCCTGCGTCGCCGATGAGATGCTGGCGGGGGCCGGCAAGGTGGGCATCAAGCTCAAAGACCCCCCGCAGGGCTACTTCGGCCCCAAGCTCCCTCCCTCTCTGGGCAACAAACCCGTGCTGCCCTTGATCGGGAAACTGCCGACCGTGCGGAAGCCCAGCGCCAGGAGGTACGAGGAGTGCGGGATGGAGAGGGGCGAGGAGCTGTCGGATTCCGAGGGGGCGGAGGAGGCGCCGCTGGGCGGGCAGCTGGGGGACGCGGCGATGGGGCTGCAGGACGCGGCTCCGGAGGAGCGGAAGCGCGAGGAGGAGATGCCCTCCGCTCCCCTGGAAGCGCCGGCGCTGCCCGAGTGCTTCGGCTCCGGGGACCTGGTGCTGCCCCACTCCTTCCTCGCGGCCCCGGCCGACGGTGAAGCGCTGGAGCCCGTGGACGGGGGCGGCCAGGCCGTGATGCCGCTGGTCCCCGACGTGGAGCACTTCCCCGGCTTCGTGCCGCAGGGCGGCGAGCCCGGCATGGAGGGGGACCGCGACGGGGGGGAGGACGCCTCGCTCGCGCCGCTGGAGAGCCAGCCCATCACCTTCACGCCCGAGGAGATGGAGAAGTACAGCAAGCTGCAGCAGGCGGCCCAGCAGCACATCCAGCAGCAGCTCCTGGCCAAGCAGGTCAAGGCTTTCCCCGCCTCGGCCGCGCTGGCCCCCGCGGCGCCCGCCCTGCAGCCCATCCACATCCCGCAGCCGGCGGCCGCCTCGGCCACGTCCATCACCACGGTGCAGCACGCCATCCTGCAGCACCACGCCGCCGCCGCCGCCGCCGCCATCGGCATCCACCCGCACCCCCACCCGCAGCCCCTGGCCCAGGTGCACCACATCCCGCAGCCCCACCTGACGCCCATCTCCCTGTCCCACCTCACCCACTCCATCATCCCGGGCCACCCCGCCACCTTCCTCGCCAGCCACCCCATTCACATCATTCCGGCCTCGGCCATCCACCCGGGCCCCTTCACCTTCCACCCGGTGCCCCACGCTCTCTACCCGACGCTCCTCGCCCCCCGTCCCGCCGCCGCCGCCGCCGCCACGGCGCTGCACCTCCACCCTTTGCTGCACCCCATCTTCTCAGGGCAGGACTTGCAGCACCCCCCGAGCCACGGCACCTGAGGGGCACGGAGCCGCCGTGGGGGAAGGGCGTCGTGCTCGGGGGCGAAGCTGGAAGGCAAGGATGGGATTCGTGTTCGCTCCCGAGCAGCCAAAGAAACACGGAGGGGTCGATGGGCGCGCAGGGCGTTCAGCGGGGCCTGCAGTGCGCCGGAGAACGGCTGACGTCGGGACCCCCAGAGCTCCAGTGGCTCCAGCGGACCAACCGACGGCACCCCGGCTTCTGGTGGGATGCCGTCCGTGGGACCCCCGAAGGCCTCCGGTGGAACATCTGACGGACCTGCAGCGGCTCCGGCAGGACGAGCTGTGGGGCTGCAGGGGACCCACGAGGCATCCAGCGGGGCTCCAGCGGGACACGGATGGGCCATAGGGGAGCGCAGCCCTGCGGGGACCTGCGAGGGTCCGGCGTGGATCCAGCTGGACTCCGGTGGGACCCCAGAGGCTGCCATGGCCTCCCAGGGGCTCCGGTTGGACTTCAGTGGGGCATCCAGTGAGCTCCAACGGGACCCCGCTGGGCGCCAGCGGAACATCGGGTGGGATTCCGGAGGGTCCAGTGGGGACAGACGGGCTTCAGTGGGACATGAATGGGACATGAATGGGACATGAATGGGACGCCAATGGGGCTGCAGTGGGCTCCTGTGAGACCCCCAGTGGGACCCCCAGCAAGGCACCCATTTTGTCCCATTGTGCGACGTGCAGCAAAGCCCCGGCCGTCCCCACAGCTCTGCACGGCGCTGGGCCTCCACGACCCCCGGCTGTTGGAGGGGCTCCTCCCGGAAGCCCCCAGCCCCACTGCTGCCCATGGGGGGGGGGGGAGGGGCTTCAGCAGGGACCCCTGTGGAGCTGCGGGAGGAGCGCCGGGCCCCATAATTTATAGGATATCTCTATTTTTGTTTAACGTACAGAATTGCACTGAGGGCAGGGGGGGGTCGGGGTGCCGGGGACCCAGCGCTCGTTAACCTCCCGCTGCTTAACGAGCGCCGGCCTGTATTTAACTGTGTCACATAAGAGAGATATAAATATATATATATGCTGTACATGGGGGGCTTTCTAATAAAGCGACGGTTTGTGGAACGGCGGCTGTGGGTCTGCTGGGGGGGGGGGGGGGAGGGGCTGTGGGGTGGGAGGGGATGGGAGGGGGAAGAATGGGGGGGGGGGAAAGAGCCGGGAGTGGGGGGGAGATGTGAGAGGGGGGGTGGGATCCTGGGGGGGGGGAGGCGTCCTCGCTGTGGGCAGAGCCGCTGGGGGCGGTGGGCGCTGCGGGCGCGGAGCTCCGGGGGGGGGGGGAGGGACGGATGGGGGGCGGCCGGCGCTTCCGTCTGGGCGCGGCGATAAGCGACGGGGGCCGGATGAACCCCCGGGGCGCCCCAGACTTCGGGTCCCGGCTGCCTGCGGGGCACAGCGGGGCTGAGCGCCTTTGGGGCGGCCATGGGGTCCGCGCTGCTGCCGGCGCTGCTGCTGCTGCTGGTCGGGGCGCTGCGCGGGGCCGCCGGCGTGCAGCTGCTGCACGAACAGCACGGCGCGTACCGAGGGCCCGGCGGCAGCTACTTCGGCTTTGCGCTGGACTTTCACGTGGAAGGGGGAAGGTGGGGCGGCGGGGTGCGGGGATGAGGGCGGGGGGCGAAGGGAGGGGGTGTGGGGGATGCGGGGGTCGCGGGGAGGGGATGGGAGGGGGTGGAGAATGGCGGGAATATGGGGAAGGGGCGGGGGGGGATGGGGGATGATGGGGATATGGGGAAGGGATGGGGGAGATGTGGGGGTCGGGGGGAAGGGATGGAGAGGGGGTGGGAGATGAGGGAGATGTGGGGAAGGGGTGGGGGGGGAGATGGGAGGGATGGTGGGGAGACGGGGAAGGGATGGGGGGACGTGGAGGACATGGGGGTCGTGGGGAAGGGATGGGGAGGACGTGGGGGGTTGTGGGGAAGGGGAGTGGGAGTCATGGGGAAGAGATGGGAGATGCGGGGTATGCGGGGATCGCGGGGAAGGGATGGGGGCCACGGGGGGATGTGGGGCACAGGGAGATGTGGGCGCTGCCCCACAGGGTCGGAGTGGCCGTGGGCGCCCCGCGTGCCAACACCTCGCAGCCCAACGTCACCGAACCCGGAGCCGTTTTCCTCTGCTCGTGGCCACCGGGGCCGGCAGCGTGTCAGCTCGTGTCCTTCGACAGCGCTGGTGGGGGGCGACGCCGCGTCACCCCATAGCACCCCATAGCGCCCCATAGCACCCCATATCGCCCCATAGCGCCCCATAGCACCCCAAGTCCCCCCATCCCCGCTGACACCACTGATGGGTGGGGGTCAGCCCCTGTGTCTCCCTGCCCCACTGGCACTGCGGGTGGAGGGAATGGGGCCCCGTGTCACCCCTAATAACCCCATAGCACCCCATAGCACCCGTGTCACCCCGTATCATCCTATGGAGATGGGTGGCGGTCTCTTCCTATGCCCCCTATCCCGCTCGCACCGTGGGTGGGAGTTGGGCCCCATGTCACCCCATATCCCCCTATATCACCCCAAATCACCCCGTGTCACCCTGCGTCAACCCATGTCACCCCGTATCACCCCACCACATCACCCCACATCACCCCCTATCACCCCATGTCACTCTTTGTCACCCCGTATCACCCCATGCCACCCCACCACATCACCCCCCATCACCCTGTGTCGCCCCTTGTCACCCCACATCGCCCCACATCCCCCCACTGACTGCTGGCCGCGCTCCCCCCGTTTTCCCCCCACCTCCCAGGGGACGAACAGGAGCTCAGCGCCGGCGCGCAGCTGCAGGTTCACAAATCGCGGCAGTGGTTGGGGGCGTCGCTGCTGAGCCACGGCGGCGCGCTGCTGGTGGGTGCCGGGGCCCGGGGCGCTCGGTGTCACGGCGGGGCGGGCGCCCACCCCCAGCCGCGCCACCCCGCAGGCCTGCGCCCCGCTGCAGCACTGGAACGCCGTGCGCGGGCACAGGGAGGCGTTCCGCACTCCGGTGGGCGCGTGCTACGTGAGCGGCGCGGGGCGGCGCGGCCTCGCCTGGATCTCGCCGTGCCGAGACGTGCGCATGGCCGCCTCGTACCGGGACACGCAGTACGGTGAGCGGGGAGCGGGGCGGCGACCCCCGGAGCGGGAGGCTGAGGGCCGCCCCGCGTCGGGGAGCTGAGCGCGTTGTGCCCGCAGTGCTCGACCAGCGCTACTGCGAGCTCGGCTTCAGCGCCGCCGTCACCGCGGTGAGAGCGGGGGGACAGGGGGGTAATGGGGACATGGGGACATGGGGACATATGGGGGTAATGGGGACATGGGGGGACATGGGGACATGGGGGGACATGGGGACATATGGGGATATGGGGACATATGGGAGGACATGGGGACATATGGGGATATGGGGACATGGGGATATGGGGGCAATGGGGGTAGTGGGGGTAATGGGAGGACGTGGGGATATGGGGACATGGGGAGACATGGGGACACATGGGGACATGGGGACACATGGGGGTATGGGGGTAATGGGAGGATGTAGGGACATGTGGGGACATGGGGGCAATGGGGACATGGGGGCAATGGGGGGACATGGGGACATATGGGGGTAATGGGGACATGGGGACATGGGGTGGCCACAAGGGCGTCCCTGTGGGGAGCTCCAATGGCCGACACTTGGGCTGTGGCTGTGGGAGCTCTATGGGGCGGGCGGTGGGTGGCACTGAGGTGTCCCTGTCCCCATGGGCGCGGTGTGGGGCGGCCCTGCGGTGGCCGTGGGGCAGCACAGCCGCATCTCCCCACAGGACGGAACGCTGGCGCTGGGGGCTCCGGGGGGGTATTACTTCCGGGGTGAGTGCAGCCCCACGGCGTGACGGCGGGGACAGTGGGGGACAGTGGGTGTCAATAGGTGACAATGGGTGACACAATGGCTGTCAGTGGGTGACACAATGGGTGATACAATGAGTGATACAACGGGTGTCAATGTGTGTCAGTGGGTGACAGTGGGAGTCATGATGGGTGACAATGGGTGCCACGAGGGATGACAAAATGGGTGTCAATGAGTGACAGTGGGTGGTGACAGTGGGGGACAATGGGTGACACAATGGGTGTCAATGGGTGACAGTGGGTGACAGTGGGGGACACTGGGTCTCTGTGAGTGACAGTGGGAGGCAATGGGTGACACTGTGTGACAATGGGAGTCACAGTGGATAACACAGTGGGTGTCAATGGGTGACAGTGGGTGACACAATGGGTGACACAATGGGTGACACAATGGCTGTCAGTGGGTGACACTGGGTGACATAATGGGTGTCGGTGGGAGTCGCAGTGGGTGACAGTGACAATGGGTGCCACGAGGGATGACAAAATGGGTGTCAATGAGTGACAATGGGCAACGCAGTGGTGACAGTGGGGGACAGTGGGTGTCTGTGAGTGACAGTGGGTGACAGTGGGTGACAATGGGTGACAATGGGTGCAACAATGGGAGTCGCAGTGGGTGACAGCGGGTGCCACAATGTGCGTCCCCCCTTCTCCCCCGTGTCCCCCCTTTTCCCCCCACGTCCCTCCTGCAGGGCTGCTGTTCGTGGTTCAGCTCTCCTCCATCCTCTCCCGTTTCCCCAACTCCTCTCTGCTGTGGCCTCACAGCCCCGGCCGCCCCACAGCCGAGCCGGCGGATCCCGACTCCACCGACGGCTACCGGGGTGAGCGGCGCGGCGCCGCCGCCAGGGGGGGAGAGGGGGGGGTTGGGAGCCGAGGGCCGCGGTGCTGACGGCGCCGACATCCGCAGGCTACGCCGTGGCCGTGGGAGAGTTGGACGGCGACCCCAAAACCAAAGGTTGGCCGCCCCTTTGCCCCCCAGCCCCTCCGTGGGGCCGCGACCCCCCGGCCCTGCGCGGCCCAAGGACCCCGCGGGAGCTCAGGGCCGGTTGACCCCGCAGAGTTCGTGGTGGGGGTCCCCAATAAGGGCAGCACCAGGGGCGAGGTGAGCGGCGTGCCGGGCGGGGGGCTGCAATGGGGCTGCAATGGGGCGGGGGGCTGCAATGGGGCTGCAATGGGGCGGGGGGCTGCAGTGGGGCTGCAATGGGGCGGGGGGCTGAAAGGGGAATCGGGGACCGATGTCGCCATGGGGCAGGTGGAGATCTTCAGTGCGGGGCTGGCGCTGCGCCGCGTGCACGGCATCCCCAGTGAGCAGGTACTGCACCCATGTACTGCCCCATAGCACTGCCCCATAGCACCCCACACACCACCCCATAGCACCCGTGTACTGCCCCATAGCACTGCCCCATAGCACCCCATAGCACCCATGCACTGTCCCATAGCACCCCACACACCCACCCCATAGCACCCGTGTACTGCCCCATAGCACTGCCCCATAGCACCCCATAGCACCCATGCACTGTCCCATAGCACCCCACACACCCACCCCATAGCACCCGTGTACTGCCCCATAGCACCCATGCACTGTCCCATACCACCCCATGGCACCCCATAGCACCCAATGCACCGCCCCACAGCACCCCATAGCCCCCCATGCACCACCCCATAGCACCCCATAGCACCCCATAACACCCCATGCACCACCCCATAGCACCCCATAGCCCTGTAACCCCACTCTGCCCCTGGTGCCACCCCCCCCCAGGTGGCCTCCTACTTTGGGCACTCTGTGGCCGTGGCCGATGTCAACGGGGACGGGTGAGGATCCCAAAGCGTGACGGCACCGAGAGCCTCCTGACCCCGTGTGGGGCTGTGGGGCAGCAGGGCCTTGGAGCGACGGGGTTGTGAGGCAGTGGGGTTACGGGGGGTTGGATGTGTGGGGCGACGGAACCGTGGAGTTGTAGCACCATGGGGTCATGGAGCTGTGGGGCGACGGGGCCGTGGAGTTGTGGGGTTATGGGGCTTTGGAACCACGGGGTTCTGGGGCCACGGAGCTGCGGGGTTGAGGAGGCGTGGGGCAACGAAACCATGGGGTTCTGGGGCGGTGGGGTCACGTGGGCACGGAGCCATGGGGCCCGGAGCTGCGGGGTTACGAGGCTGCGGGGCGACGGAACCGCGGGGCTGCGGGGCCACGGTTCGGACGCGCAGGAGGGACGACGTGCTGGTGGGAGCCCCGCTGTTCGTGGAGCGGAGCGCGGACGGGAAGCAGCGCGAGGTGGGGCGGCTCTACGTCTACCTGAGCGGCGCCCGGCGCCCGTGGGAGCGGCGCCCCCAGACCCTGACGGGCACGGAGCCCTACGGCCGCTTCGCCGCCGCCATCGCCCCGCTGGGGGACCTGGACCTCGACGGCTGCGCCGGTAACGGCGGCGCGGAGCCCCGCTCGACCCCGCGGCGCTGCGGCTCCCCGCTGCCTCCCGACCCCCGGCGCCACCCGAACCCGCGTTGCCCCTTCCCCCGCCGCCCCGTTGCCGCCCGCCCGTAACCCCGGCGCCCCGTCGAGCCCCGATGTCCCCTTCCTCCTGTTGTCACCCCGTAGCCCTCGCTGCCCCCTCCACTGCCACCCCGCTGCCACCCCCCCATCACCCCATAGCGCTGCGTTGCCCCTTTCCGTGCCGCCCCGTTGCCGCCCGTCCCATAACTTGGTCACCCCACAGAACCCCGATGTCCCCTTCCTCCCACTGCTGTCACCCTGTAGCTCCCCGCTGCTCCTCCCAGTGCCACCCCCCCGTCACCCCTTCACCCCCCCACTGCACTCCATTGCACCTTTCCATGCTGCCCCATTGCCGCCCACCCCATAACCTCGTCACCCCACAGAACCCCGATGTCCCGTTCCTCCCACTGCTGTCACCCCATAGCCCCCCGCTGCTCCTCCCCAACCCATCACCCCATCCCACAGCTCTCATTGCCCCCTCCCGCTGCCACCCAGCTGCCACCCCCCCATCACCCCATAGCGCTGTGTCGCCCCTTTCCCTGCTGCCCCGTTGCCGCCCGTCCCATAACCTGGTCACCCCACAGAACACCGATGTCCCCTTCCTCCTATTGTCACCCCATAGCCCTTTACTGCCCCTCTCGGTGCCACCCCAGTGCCACCCCCCCTCGCCCCCTCACCCCCCTCCCCATTGCACTCCACTGCACTCCGTGTTGCCCCATTGCCGCCCACCCCATAACCCTGTCACCCCACAGCCCCCCGCTGTCCCCTCCCAGTGCCACCCAACCCATCCTCCCCCCACCTCCCCTCTCGCCCCTCCCCACGCCGCCCCATTGCCCCCCGCCGCCCCGCTCTCAGCCCCTCGGTGCCACCGTCCCGCTGTCCCCGCACCCCAGACGTGGCGGTTGGCGCCCCATACGGCGGTGACGATGGCAGCGGGGCGGTGCTCATCTTCCGGGGGCAGCGGGAGGGGCTCAGCCCGACCCCAGCGCAGCGCCTCAGCAGCCCCTTCCCCGGCCCTGCCGCCTTCGGCTTCACGCTCCGTGGTGGCACCGACATCGATGGCAACGGGTACCCAGGTACGGCCACGACACCCCGATATGGCAGTGGGTACCCTAATATGGCCATGGGTATCCTAATATGGCCGTGGGTACCTTAATGTAGCCATGGGAGCGTTAGTATGGCCATAGGTACCCTAATATGGCTGTGGGTACCTTAATATGGCCATAGGTACCCATATTTATGGCCATGGGAACCCCAGTATGGCCATGGGTACCTTGATATGACTGTGGGTACCTTAATGTGGCCATGGGTACCTTAATATGGCCACAGGTTCCCTAATGTGGCTGTGGGAACCTGAATATGGCCACAGGTACCCTAATATGGCCATGGGTTCCCTAATATGGCCGTGGGTGCCCTGGCACTGGGCACAGCTGTGCCACCCCCAGGAGCCCCCATGTATTCCCACCCCTCTGTGCCCCACAGATCTGCTGGTCGGTGCTTTTGGGGTCTCCATGGTGGCCGTGTACCGGTGGGTGCTGTGGGGTCGGGGGGCTCTGCCCCATAGCGGTGCGTGCTGATGGTGCCGCAATGCAGGGCGCAGCCCGTGGTGGTGGCCCAGGCGCAGCTGAGCGTCCCCAGCGGGCTGAACCCACAGGTGACAGAGTGCGTCCTGCCGGGGAGTGACAGCCGTGTCACCTGGTGAGAGGGGACACGGGTATGGGACACGGCTATGGGACACGGCTATGGGACACTGCTATGGGACACGGCTATGGGACACGGCTATGGGACACGGCTATGGGACACTGCTATGGGACACGGCTATGGGACAACGCTATGGGACACGGCTATGGGACACGGCTTTGGGACACGGCTATGGGACTCGGCTATGGGACACGGCTATGGGACACGGCTATGGGACACGGCTATGGGACACGGCTATTGGACAACGCTATGGGACACGGCTATGGGACACGGCTATGGGACAGGGCTTTGGGACATGGCTATGGGACAACGCTATGGGACACGGCTATGGGACACGGCTTTGGGACACGGCTATGGGACACGGCTATGGGACACGGCTATGGGACACGGCTTTGGGACACGGCTATGGGACACGGCTTTGGGATACTGCTATGGGACACGGCTATGGGACACGGCTATGGGACACGGCTATGGGACACGGCTATGGGACACGGCTTTGGGACACGGCTATGGGACTCGGCTATGGGACACGGCTTTGGGACACGGCTATGGGACACGGCTATGGGACACGGCTATGGGACACGGCTTTGGGACACGGCTATGGGACACGGCTTTGGGATACTGCTATGGGACACGGCTATGGGACACGGCTATGGGACACGGCTATGGGACACGGCTATGGGACACGGCTATGGGACTCGGCTATGGGACACCGCTATGGGACATGGCTATGGGACACCGCTATGGGACACGGCTATGGGACACGGCTATGGGACACCGCTATGGGACACGGCTATGGGACACGGCTATGGGACACGGCTTTGGGATACTGCTATGGGACACGGCTATGGGACACGGCTATGGAACACGGCTTTGGGACACGGCTATGGGACACGGCTATGGGACTCGGCTATGGGACTCGGCTATGGGACACGGCTATGGGTCACTGCTATGGGACACTGCTATGGGACACGGCTATGGGACACGGCGATGGGACACGGCTATGGGACACGGCTATGGGACATGGCTATGGGACACGGCTATGGGACACGGCTATGGGACACGGCTTTGGGACACGGCTATGGGACACTGCTATGGGACACGGCTATGGGACACGGCTATGGGACACGGCTTTGGGACACGGCTATGGGACACGGCTATGGGACACTGCTATGGGACACTGCTATGGGACACGGCTATGGGACACGGCTATGGGACACGGCTATGGGACACGGCTATGGGTCACTGCTATGGGACACGGCGATGGGACACGGCTATGGGACACGGCTATGGGACACGGCTATGGGACACCGCTGTGGGACTCAGCTATGGGACACTGCTATGGGACACCGCTATGGGACACGGCTATGGGACACGGCTATGGGACACTGCTATGGGACACGGCTATGGGTCACTGCTATGGGACACTGCTATGGGACACGGCTATGGGACACGGCTATGGGACACGGGTATGGGACACCGCTGTGGGACTCAGCTATGGGACACTGCTATGGGACACCGCTATGGGACACGGCTATGGGACACGGCTATGGGACACTGCTATGGGACACGGCTATGGGTCACTGCTATGGGACACTGCTATGGGACACTGCTATGGGACACGGCTATGGGACACGGCTATGGGACACGGCTATGAGACACTGCTATGGGACACGGCTATGGGACACGGCTATGGGACACGGCTATGAGACACTGCTATGGGACACGGCTATGGGTCACTGCTATGGGACACTGCTATGGGACACTGCTATGGGACACTGCTATGGGACACGGCTATGGGACACGGCTATGAGACACTGCTATGGGACACGGCTATGGGACACGGCTATGGGACACTGCTATGGGACACTGCTATGGGACACGGCTATGGGACACGGCTATGGGACACTGCTATGGGACACGGCTATGGGACACGGCTATGGGACACGGCTATGGGACACGGCTATGGGTCACTGCTATGGGACACGGCTATGGGACACGGCTATGGGACACGGCTATGGGACACGGCTATGGGACACGGGTATGGGACACGGGTATGGGACACGGCTATGGGACACCGCTGTGGGACTCAGCTATGGGACACTGCTATGGGACACCGCTATGGGACACGGCTATGGGACACTGCTATGGGACACAGCGATGGGACACGGCTATGGGTCACTGCTATGGGACATGGCTATGGGACACGGCTATGGGACACGGCTATGGGTCACTGCTATGGGACATGGCTATGGGACACGGCTATGGGACACGGCTATGGGACACGGCTATGGGACACTGCTATGGGACACGGCTATGGGTCACAGCTATGGGACACGGCTATGGGACACGGCTATGGGTCACTGCTATGGGACACGGCTATGGGACACGGCTATGGGACACGGCTATGGGACACTGCTATGGGACACGGCTATGGGACACTGCTATGGGACACGGCTATGGGTCACTGCTATGGGACACTGCTATGGGACACGGCTATGGGTCACAGCTATGGGACACGGCTATGGGACACGGCTATGGGTCACTGCTATGGGACACGGCTATGGGACACGGCTATGGGACACGGCTATGGGACACGGCTATGGGACACGGCTATGGGTCACTGCTATGGGACACGGCTATGGGACACGGCTATGGGACACGGCTATGGGTCACTGCTATGGGACACGGCTTTGGGTCACTGCTATGGGACACGGCTATGGGACACCGCTATGGGACACGGCTATGGGACACGGCTATGGGACACGGCTATGGGACACGGCTATGGGTCACTGCTATGGGACACGGCTATGGGACACGGCTATGGGACACGGCTATGGGTCACTGCTATGGGACACGGCTTTGGGTCACTGCTATGGGACACGGCTATGGGACACCGCTATGGGACACGGCTATGGGACACCGCTATGGGACACGGCTATGGGACACGGCTATGGGTCACTGCTATGGGACACGGCTATGGGACACGGCTATGGGACACGGCTATGGGTCACTGCTATGGGACACGGCTATGGGTCACTGCTATGGGACACGGCTATGGGACACGGCTATGGGACACGGCTATGGGACACGGCTATGGGTCACTGCTATGGGACACGGCTATGGGACACGGCTATGGGACACGGCTATGGGACACGGCTATGGGACACGGCTATGGGACACTGCTATGGGACACAGCTATGGGACAACGCTATGGGACACGGCTATGGGACACGGCTATGGGACACGGCTATGGGACACGGCTATGGGACACCGCTTTGGCAACACCATCACTGGGATGCTTTATGGGGACACCATGGGGGCACTGTCCTGGGGACAGGCATGGGGGAACCATGGGGACACCGCTTCAGCGTCACCAGCACTGGGATGCTCTGTGGGGGCACCACGGAGATGGAGCCATGTGGGGACACCGCCATCGGGACAACAGCTCGGGACTGCTTTGGGGACACAGCCGTGGGGACAATGTGGGGACAAATCAATGGGGACACCGCTGTGGGGACAGAGCCACGGGGACGCCGCTGTGGGGGCGCTACGGGGGCGACACGGCCATCGGGACGCTGTCACCACCACGGGGTCGCGGTCCCGGGGGCGCTGCGTGGGGACGCCCTTTGGGGACAGCCACAGGACGCCCCCCACGTGTCCCCGCAGCTTCGAGGCGCAGCTCTGTGTCTCCGTGTCGGGACGCCGCATCCCTCGCAGCATCCGTGAGTGCGACGCGGCGGGGGGCCGGGCGGTGGCACCGGCACGGCGCTGTCACCACGCTGTCACCTCAGGGCTGGTGGCAGAGCTGCAGCTGGACCGCCTGAAGCAGAGGGGACACCGCAGGGTGCTGCTGCTGCGGGGACAGCAGGCGGCGTGGCAGCGGGAGGTGACCCTGGAGCCGGGGACGTCGCCGCAGTGCCACCAACTGGCTGCGTACCTGAGGGTATGGCGTGGTGACAGCGGTGTGGGGTGGCGACGTTAAATATGGGGTGGTGGCGTTGGGGGTGGGACAATGACACTGAGTACGGGATGGTGGCATTGGGCATGGAACGGTGACAACGGGTTTGGGGTTGGGACAGTTTGGGACAATGACATTGAGTACGGGATGGTGGCATTAAATATGGGATGATGACATCGGGTGTGGGGTGGTGACACCAGGTGTGGGGTAGTGACAGTAAATATGGGGTGGTGGCATTGGGTGTGGGGTGGGGATGTTGGATGTAGGGTGGTGACATTGGATATGGGATGGTGACACTGGGTTTGGGGTGGTAACACAGGGTTTGGGGAAATGACATCGGGTAAGGGGAGGTGACATTAAATATGGGATGGTGGCATTGGGTGTGGGGTGGGGATGTTGGATGTGGGATGGTGGCGTTGAGTGCGGGATGGTGACATTGGGTTTGGGACAATGACATTGAATACAGGATGGTGACATTAAGTATGGGACGGTGACATTGGGTGTGGGGTGGTGACACTGGATATGGGATGGTGGCACTGAGTATGGGATGGGGACGCTGGGTTTGGGATGGTGACGTTGGGTGTGGGGTGGTGACATGGGGTTTGGGACAGTGACATCAGGTGTGGGATGGTGACGTTGGGTATGGGATGAGGACATCAGGTTTGGGGTGGTGACATCGAGGGTGACGCAGTGACGTTGGGTTTGGGACAGTGGCGTTGAATATGGGATGGTGACATTGGGTATGGGGTGGGGACACTGGGTTTGAGGTGGTGACATCGAGTGTGGGACAGTGATTGAATATGGGCTGGTGACGTTGAGTATGGGGTGGTGACATCAGGTGTTGGGACGGTGGCACTCAGTACGGGATGGGGACATCGGCTACGAAATGGTGACGTCAGGTGGCACTGAATACGGGGCGGTGACTTCGGGTTTGGGACCGTGATGCTGCTTGTGGGGCAGTGACATCAGACATGGGGTGGTGACGTCGGCGTGGGCAGTGACAGCCAGCACCAGGCTGCCCACCCACGGAGCGCCACCGCTGCGTCCCCAGGACGAAGGGGACTTCAGGGACAAACTGAGCCCCATCGTCACCAGCCTCAGCCTGGCGCTGCCGCCCCCGGACCCCAAAGGCCTGGGCCTGGTGCTCTATGGGGACACCCACGTGCAGGCGCAGGTAGGGGGCAGCGGGGAACGCGGGGCCGTGCCGCCCCTCACGGTGCCTTGGGTGTCCCCACGCGTTGTCCCCATGTCCGTCCATCCCCACGCCGTCCCCCCCCAGACCCACATCATCCTGGAGGACTGCGGCGATGACAACGTCTGCGTCCCCGACCTGCGCCTCTCTGCCCACACGTGAGCCCCCTCCCCCCCTCCCCCCCTCAGGACCCCCGGCCCCCCCCCCATTTCCCTCTGACCCGCTGCCCCCAGGCCGGACGCACGGCTGCGGATCGGCGATGACAACGCGGTGACACTGCGGGTCGGGGCCACCAACATGGGGGAGGGGGCTTTCGAGGCCGAGCTGTGGGTGCAGCTCCCGGATGGCAGCTTCTACCAGCGGGCGCTGAGTGACACGCAGGTGGGTGACAGCGGGGCTGGGATGGGGGCGGGGGGACATCGGTGTGGGGTGGTGACACCGAGTATGGGACGGTGGCACTGGGTATGGGATGGTGACAATGGGTATGGGGCGGTGGCACCGAGTGTGGGGTGGTGACATCAGGTGTGGGGTGGGGACATGGGGTGGTGGCACTCAGTATGGGACGGTGACACCAGTTGTGGGATGGTGACTATGAGTATGGGGCAGTGACATCGAGTGTGGGGTGGTGACATTGGGTATGGTGTGGGGTCATGGGGTTGTGACATTCAGTATGGGACGGTGGCACTGAGTATGGGGTGGTGGCATTGGTGACACTCAGTGTGGGGTGGTGACATCGGGTGCGGGGCAGTGACATCAAGGATGGAACAGTGACACTGAGAATGGGGGGACATTGGGTGTGGGGTGGTGACACTGAGTATGGGACAGTGACACTGGATGTGGGGTGGTGGCGTCTGCTACGGGATGGTGACATTGGGTTTGGGGTGGTGATGTCAGATATGAGACAGTGACACTGAGTGCGGGGTGGTGACGTTGGGTTTGGGGTGGTGACGCTGTGGTGTCACCTGATGTCACCGCTATGGGGACAGGAGAAGCTGAGCTGCAACCCCAGGAAGGAGAACGGAACCCACGCGGTGGTGTGCGACATGGGCAACCCCATGAAGGCGGGCACACAGGTGGGTGGCACTGTCACCTCCCGCGTCCCCTCCTGTCCCCCTGTGTCCCCTCCTGTCACCTCGTGTCCCCTCATGCCGCCCTGCAGATCGCTGTGGCCGTGGAGCTGAGTGTCACCGGGTTGGAGGACGCGGGCGATGCCATCACTTTCCACCTGCAGCTCAGGAGGTGACGCCGTCCCCCTGCTGTCCCCCTGCTGTCCCCATGCTGTCCCCATGCTGTCCCCTGCCGTGTCCCCACATGGTGCTGTGCTCACCCCGCTGTCCCCGCAGCAAGAACAGCCCCAGCGTCACCGCGGCCGTGAGCATCCCTGTGGAAGCGCACGCAGAGATGGAGCTGAGGGGGTGAGGATGAGGATGAGGGGCTGCGGGGCTGCGGGGCGGCGGGGAGGTGACCCCACACGTCCCCATGTGCCACCAGCATGTCCCTGCCCGCCACCACCGTGCTGCCCATGGAGTGGCGGCGGGCTGGGGACGGCCGCCAGCCCGAGGACCATGGGGTGCGCGTGGAGCACGTCTACCAGGTAGGGCAAGGCGCAGGGGGGTGGAGGTGGCACGGCCCCAAAGTGTCACCGAGTGCCACCCGATGTCACCCCACAGCTGCACAATAAGGGCCCGGCCACCGTCACCAACGTCACCCTGAGCCTCCACATCCCTGTCACCGCGGGCGGCCGCACGCTGCTGTACCTCCTGGAGCTGGGCACCGAGGGTGGCATCACCTGTGTGCCACCGCCGGACCTCAACCCCATGCAGGTGACGCTCGGGGACGAGCGCGGGGACGGCGCGGGTGGCACCGTGCTGAACGGCTGTCCGTCTGTCCCAGCTGGAGGTGGCCCAAGCCCCGGATGTGGGGCAGAGCAACGGGACGCGGCGACGGGAGCGCAGGGATGTGGGGGACGGGGAGGAGAGCGTCAGTGTGGTGAGAGGGGGACGTGGGGGGGCTGGGGACAGGGGGACGTGTGACGTGTGATATGTGATGTGTGATGTGTGATGTGTGACGTGTGATGTGTGACGTGTGACATGTGACGTGTGACGTGTGACATGTGACGTGTGACGTGTGACGTGTGATGTGTGATGTGTGACGTGTGATGTGTGATGTGTGATGTGTGACGTGTGACGTGTGACATGTGATGTGTGACGTGTGATGTGTGATGTGTGACGTGTGATGTGTGACGTGTGATGTGTGACATGTGACATGTGATGTGTGACGTGTGATGTGTGACGTGTGACGTGTGATGTGTGACATGTGATGTGTGACGTGTGATGTGTGACGTGTGATGTGTGACATGTGATGTGTGACGTGTGATGTGTGACGTGTGATGTGTGACGTGTGATGTGTGACGTGTGATGTGTGACGTGACGTGTGCTGTGCCCACAGGACTGTGGCAATGCCACCTGTGCAGAGGTGTGGTGCCAGGCGGGCAGCATGGCGCAGGGACAGCGCGTGTTGGTGGCCGTCCGCGCGCTGCTCTGGATGGAAACCCTGCAGGTAGTGGCACCATGCCACTGCTGTCCCCTCTGTCCCCACGGTGTCCTTGTGGTGTCCCCATATTGCCCCCGTGGTGTCACTGTGTGTCTCCATGATGTCCTTGTGGTGTTCCTGTGGTTTCCTTATGGTGTCCCCGTTGTGTCCCCATGGTGTCCCCATTTTGTCCCGGTGTCCCATGCTGTCACTGTGTGCCTTCGTGGCATTGCCATCACGTCCCTATGATGTCCTCACAGTGTCCCCATGGTGTCATTCTATGTCCCCGTGATGTTCTCGTAGTGTCCCCATGGTGTCACTGTGTCCCCTCATGGTGTCACCACTGTGTCCCCATGGTGTTCCATGGTGTCACTGTGTGTCTCCATGATGTTCTTGTGGTGTCCTTGTGGATTTCTTGTGGTGTCCCCATAGTGTCCCCATGGTGTCCCCGTGATGTGCCCACTGTGTCCCCTTGGTGTCCCCATAGTGTTCCTATGGTGTCCCCACAGTGTCCTCATAGTGACCCCATGGTGTCATTGTGTGTCTCCACAGCGTCCCCATGGTGTCCCCATGGTGTCACCGTGTGTCTCCATGATGTCCTTGTGGTGTCCTTGAGGTTTCCTCATGGTGTCCCCATGGTGTCACTCTGTGTCCCTGTGGTGTCAGTGTGTGTCCCCATCGTGTCCCCATGATGTGCCCACTGTGTCCTTATGGTGTCCCCATAATGTCCCTATGGTGTCCTTGTGGTGCCTCATGGTGTCACCACTGTGTCCCCATGCTGTCCTCACAGTGTCCCCATCGTGTCCTCATGGTGTTCCCACAATGTGCTCCCACAATATTCCCGTGTTGTCCCCATGGTTTCCCCATGGTGTCCCCATAGTATCACCTCTGTGTCCCCATGGTGTCCCCTTGGTGTCTCAGTGGTGTCCCCATGCTGTCCCCTCTGTGTCCCCCATGATGTCCCCACAGTGGGGCAATGCCACAGCCTTGGCCATATGGCAAACCCCCATGGGGACACCATGTGCCCATCCCCACGTGTCCCCCATATCCCCCCATGTCCCCCCATGTCCCCCCGTGTCCCCAGCAGGACGACCACCCCCAGCACCTCTCCATCCAGTCCTGGGCCTCCTTCAACACCTCAGCCATGCCGTACCACGTCCAGCCCCACGCGCTGCCCCACGGCACCGCCACGGTATGGTGCTGTCCCTCGGGGTCTCCCGATGTCCCCGCTGTGGTGGCACTGTCCTCGTGTCCCCCGTCCCCCCAGGCTGTCACCGAGGTGCTGCGCTCCCGGCCCGCTGCCGTCCCGGTGTGGTGGGTGGTGCTGGGGGTGCTGGCGGGGCTCCTCCTGCTCGCCCTCCTCGTCCTCCTGATGGGGATGGTGAGTGCTGGGGGGAGAGGGGGGGGGACATCACTGGGGACACCTGGGGACACCCCGCAATGGGGCCCTGGTGTGCGGTGCGGGGTCACATTGTCCCCTCCTGCAGATGGGGTTCTTCAAGAGGACGCGGCCGCCGGCGGAGGGGGACACCGGGGAGGGGGCAGCGGAACAGGGACAGGGACAGGGACAGGGACAGGGACAGGGACAGGGCACGGAGATGGGGGACGGCCAGGGGTAGGGGAGGGGACCCCGTGTCCTGCCCCCCCATGTCCCCCATGTCCCATCCCCACCCCATGTCCCCAACGTCTATGGGTTCCCAATGTCCCAGGCACCCTACACCTGCCCCAACGTCCCCATTCCCACCCCAGTGTCCCCAACATCTGTGGGTTCCCAATGTCCCCGTCCCTCCCCCAGTGTCCTCGGTGCCCCACACCTGCCCCGATGTCCCTATAGCCCCCCCCAGTGTCCCTGTCCTATTGTCTTCAACATCTCTGGGTTCCCAGTGTCCCCATAGTCCTGCCCCAATGTCCCCAACCCCTCCCCAGTGTCCCCACCATCTATGGCTTCCCAATGTCCCCGTTCTCACCCCAATGTCCCCAGAGCCCCACACCTGCCCTGTGTCCCCATAGTCCCCCCTTCCCCCAGTGTCCCTGCCCCTATGTCCCCAACATCTTGTAGGTTCCCAGTGCCCCTGTAGTCCCACCCCAATGACCCCATCCCTGCCCCCAGTGACCCCCACACCCTATACCTGCCCCAATGTCCCCAACATCTGTGGGTTCCCAGTGTCCCCATAGTCCCACCCCAGTGCCCCACACTTGCCCCAGTGTCCCCAAAATCTCTGAGATCCCGGTGTCCCCACTCCCACCCCAGTGTCCCCAGCGCCTCACACCAGCCCCAGTGTCCCCACAGTCCCACCCCAATGTCCCTGCCCCATTGTCCCCAACATCAGTGGTTCCCAATGTCCCCATAGCCCCATCCCGCTGTCCCCATCCCCCTCAGGATCCTATTGACCCCCCCCCCCCCCCCCCCACTTCCCCCTCCAATAAATCTCAGCAGTGCACTTGGTGACACTTGGTATCGAGGTGACCCTATGGTGGGGGGGGGGGAAGGAATCCCTATGGGGGCACCCCTGTGGGGCAGGTGCCTCTTGGGGTGTCTCTATGGGGTGTCCTTATTGGGGGCTCCCTATGAGTGTGTCCCCATGGGGGTGTCCTTACGGGGGGTCACTATGGGGGATGCCCCTATTGGGGGGGGGGTCCCTGTGGGGGGGCTGCGTGGGGGGTTGCCGTTGGTGCGTCTCAGTGGGGGTGCCCATCTTGGGGGGTGTCTCTATGGGAAAGCCCTATTTGGGGTGTCCCTATGGAGGGGTTCCTATAGGGGCATGACTGCTGGGGGCCGTGTGTAGGGCTGGAATGATGGACGGGGTCCTTGGGGGGGGGGAGTTACTGAGGGGGGTCCCTGGGGGAAGCCCTTATGGGTGTCCCTCTGTCCTTATGGGGTGACCCAATGGGGGGTCCCTATGGAGAGGGCACCCGAGGGGGGTTCACTATGGGGGTGTCCCTATGGGGGGGCTCTCTGTGGGGGAGACCCCAAGGAGGGGTCGCTTTGGGGGGAGTTCTTATGGGTGTCCCTCTGGGGAGCCCCTATAGGAAGAGTAGCTATGGGGTGTCCCTATGTGAGGGGTCCCTATATGGGGGGGGGGTCCCAAAGGACAGGGTCTCTTTGTGGGGGGGTTCCTATGGGGGAGGGGGTCACTATGGGGCATCCCTATGGGTGTTCACTGTGGGGGGGGGTCCTAAGAGGGGGTTCCTATGGGTGGGGGTCACTGAGGTATCCCTATGGGGTGTCCCTATGTGGGGAGCCCTATGGGGGTCTTTATGGGCGGGGGGCATTATGGGCAGGGCTCCCTATGGGGTGGGTCCCTTTGGGGGCTCTCGATGGGGGGTCCCTATGGGGGGCTTCTATGGGGAGCGGTTCACTATGGGGTGTCCTTGGGGTGTCCCTATGGGGAGGGGGTTCTCTATCAGATGTCCCTATGGAGGGGTTCTATGGGGGGGGTCCTGAGTGGGGGATCACTACAGGGTGTCCCTATGGGGGGGTTCCCATGGGGGAGACCCTAAGGAGGGGGCAGCCCTTAGGGTGTCCATCCCTGTAGGGGGGTCCATAAAGGAGGGGCCTCACTTATGGGGGGAGGGGGGCACGTGGGGGCTCCCTATTGGGGATCCCTAAGGGGGGGGGGTCATTATGGGGCGTCCCTATGAGGTGTTCCTATGAAGGGGGGGTGTTTGGAGGGGAAGACCCTATGGGGGGGCCTCTATGGGTGGGGGTCACGATGAGGTGCCCTATGGGGGGGGCCCTATGGGGGGATCTCTATAGGGTGGCCCTTTGGAGGGGTCCTTACGGAGGTTCATACGGAGGGTCCCTAAGGGGGAGGGGGTCCCTATGGGCGGGGGTCCCTATGGGGTGTCCCTGTGGGAGGGTCTCTATGGGGGTCCCTACTGGCGGGGCTCATTATGGGATGTCCCTGCGGAGGTTCACTATGGAGGGTCCACGGGGGGGGTGTCCTATGGGGGTCCCTATGGACCGGGCTCGTTATGAGGTGCCCCTCCTGGGGGGCCCTTTTGGGGGCGGTCCCTCTGGGGGGTCTCCCTGTAGGGGGCGCGCAGTGCGCGTTCACGCGCGGGTTCGGCGGTGCGCGGCGGTGCCGCCAGGCGGAGCCCGGCCCTCGCGGTGCGGGGTGGGGGGGGGCGGGGGGGCTCGGGGCGGTGCGGGGCGGTGCGGGGCGGCCATGGAGCCGTAGCGGAGCGGTGCGGGCACGATGCGGCCCCGCCGCCCCCCCCCCCTCCTCTTCCTCCTCCTCCTCCTGTCGGCTGCGGGCGGGCGGGGGGCGATGGGTGAGTGCTTTGTGTGCGGGGGGGGGGGCGGCATCGACCCCCGTCGGGGTGCGCGGATGTCAGCGCTGCGGGGATGGGGCGGGTCCCCCTATGGGTGTGGGGTGCGGGGGGGTCCTTAGGCGGTGCTGTAGGGGCTGCGGGGTGGGGGTCCGCGGGGTGATGGGTGGGGGGCGACGGGGAGGGGATGCCGTGCGGTGGGGAGGGGGGCGTATGCTCTGGGGAGGGGAGGGGGCTGCGGGGGGGTCGGATAGGGGTCCCGGGCTGCGGGTGGGGTGGGGGGGCCGTAGGCGGTGCGTTGGGGACCGCGGGGTGGGCGTGGGGGGATGGGTGGGGAGGGGGCGATGGGCGGGGATGGGGTGGGCGGGGGGCGCTGGGGGTGAACGGGGAGCACCGGTGGGGTGGGGGGGGCGCTGGGGGGAGACGGTGAGACGGGAGGGGGCCCACGGGCCGTGGGGGGGGCCGGGGGGCGGCGTTCCATGGGGGCGGTGTGGCCGCGGGTGCCGGTGGGGGGGGGGAGGTCCCCGCCACGACCCCTCCCCGCTCCCCAAAGCCCCCCCCGCGGTGTTCGGGCAGCGCTGCGAGGGGGGGTGGGACCCCACTTTTGTGCCGCGGGACACGTGGTGCCCCCTCCCCCCCTTCCCCCCCCCCCCCTCCCCGTGCCACCTGTCCCCAACAGCGGGGAACATCCGTGCCACACAGCGACAGCTGCCCCCAAGAGTCGGGACCCCCCCGCCCCCAGCCCCAAAAGCGCATCGCTTCCCTCCGCCCACCGACATTCGGGGCCGCCCCGCAACGGGGGATGATTGGGGGGGGGGGGGGCGGGTTGGGGGTCAGGGCGATGCTCGGGGTGGGGGGGGTCCCGAAATCACTCGGGGATTTGGGGGGGGGATGGATGAGGTCGTTGCCATGGTGACGGCAGCGAGCTGAGGATGCTGCGGGCTGCGCGGTCTGTGCGGGATCTGCTGGCGTGGGGGGGGGGCTGGGGGTGGGGCTGGGATCCCCCCCCTCCTGTGCCCACCCGGCCCCATAGCTGTGTGCGGGCACCGGGCCCCGCTGTGGGTTGAGATGGGCAGAATCCCACTGTGTGTGGTGGGGGGGCACATGGGGGTGTTGGGAGGAGGGGGGGTGTCACTCTGTGGGGTGGGGGTGGGTGCCCTGCTGGGCTGGGACCCGTGACCCCATGAGAGGATCCCAGTGACCTTACAGGGCCGGGTCCCACAGCCTTACTGGGCCGCCTCTGCCCCGTGTTGGGGTGGTGCCCAGGACCCCATAAGAAGGCGCCCATGAGCTTATGGGGCGTCCCACCACGTGTTGGAATGGGGCCCACCAGCTTAGCGGGGTGGATCCACCGCATTTTGGGATGGTGCCCATGGCCTTACGGGATGGGTGCTCTGCCTTTGCTGGGCCGGGTCCCACCGTGTTGGGTCGGTACCCATGGCCCTATAAGATGATGCCCAGGGCCTCGGTGGGACGTGGCAGCACCTTAGCGGGACGGGCTCCTCGCAGCCCCACGCTGACCCTACTGGGACGCATCCCGCCCCCCCGTGTCCCCACAGACGTCCTGCTGAAGGTACAGGTGTACGAGAGCGGCGCGCTCACCCCGCTGCCCCACACCAACCTGGAGGTTCTGGGACCCCGCGGCTCTTTGGCCACCGGGACCACGGACCACGAGGGAGGGGGGGTCCTGCCTCTGTCCTACAGCCTGGGCACCTGGGTGCTGGTCAGTGCCACCCGACGGGGCTTCGTCACCTCCACCGTGCCCTGGCGTGTCACCAAACTGCCGCGTGAGTTGGGATCCCCGCCGCCGGGGGGGGATCTGAGCGGGAATGAAGTGGGACTCGATCCCTTGTAGGAGGTCCTGAGCCCCTTTTTGGGGTCCCAATCCTCGACTGGGGGATTCAGGGACCTTTTGTAGGGCTCTGGTCCCTTAGTGGGGTGCTTGGATGCATCCCTGTCCCTTGCTGGGGGACCCTGATCCCTTACTGGGGGGCTTTGAGCCACTATGCGGCCCCATCCCCTTCCTAGGGGGGCCCAGTCCCTTATGGGGGGGCTTACAGCCCTTCTGGGGAGCTCAGCCCCTTACTGGTGTGCTTGGGAGCCTCCCAGTCCCTGGCTGAGGGGCTCTGATCCCTTACTGAGGGACTCACAGCCCTTATGGGGGGCCCAACCCCTTCTTTGGGGGTCCCAATCCCCTACTGGGGGGCTCAGGGCCCTTTTGGGGGACCTCAGCCCCTTGCTGGAGGATCCCAGTCCCATTTGGGGGCTCCCAATCCTTTACTGGAGGGAATCTGATCCCTTTTAGGGGATCCAACCCCCTTTTGGGGGCCCAATCCTTCTATAAGGAGCTCAGGGCCTTTTTGGAGGACCCCAGCCCACTACTGGGGTGGTGGGGGTCCTCCCAGTGCTGTACTGGGGGACCCTGATGGCTTACTGGGGGGCTTAGGGCTGTTATGAGATCCTTTACTGGGGGGTTCTGATCTCTTATAAGGAACCCATCTTCCTACGGGGTTTCAGTCCCATACGGGGGACTTAGAGCCCTTCTGGGGGGCCCAGCCCCTTACTGGGGGGCTCTGATCCCTTACTGGGGCTCTGTGCAGGGGGCAGGGCCCCTTGTTGGGGCTCCATCCTCTTCCTAAGGGATCCCAATCCCCTACTGGGGGTTCAGGACACTTTTGGGGGACCCCAACCTCTTATTGGGATGCTTGGGGGCTTTCCAGTCCCTTGCTGGGGGCTTTAGAGCTGTAAGCGGCCCCCAACCCTTTTGGGGGGGGTTCCCAATCCCTTCCTTGGGGGCTCAGAGCCCCTTTAAGACCCCCAGCTCCTTATTGGGGGACCCCGATCCCTTACTGGGACCCCGCTGCCACGGCAGGCAGTGACGTGTCCCGGCGGGGGGGGCGTTGTTGGCACTGAGGTCCCCTGGGGGGGGTCACCCTGAGCTCAGTGCCAGCCCTGCCCCGGGGCGGCCGTGTCACCACGGGGGGGGGATGGACAGCATCAATGGGGTCACCTTGCCGTGGGGTGGGACGTGGAGCAATCGGGTGGGGGGGGAGTCGGAAGGGGGGGGCGGGAGGGGTGCAGGGGTTGGGGTGGGCAAGGATTGGGGGCACGGGGACCCCCCCTCATTTCCCCCTCCCCCTACACAGTGTACGCCTCCATCAGCCTGTACCTGCAGCCCGAGCGCCCTGCCACCCTCATCCTGTACGAGGACCTGGTGCAGATCCTGCTGGGCCCCCCTGGTGAGTGGGGCACCGAAATGTCCTACAAACAGTGGGGCCCCCAACCCTGAAATTTGCCATAGCTTGTCATGGGGCCGCCACCCCTGGGTGCCAGATAGTGCCATATAGTGCCAGATAGTGCCAGATAGTGCCATACAGGCTGTGGGAGCACCACCCTTGGGTGTCCTACAGCCTGCCGTAGGGCAACCAACCCCAGATGTCCTACAGTTGACTATGGGGCCACCAACCCAAAGCACACTCAGTTGTCCCATAGATTCCCATGGGGCCACCACCCTTGGGTGCCCTACGGTTGACCACGGGGCCACCAACCCTGGGTGACTTAAAACTATGGGGCCACCAACCCATAGCACACTTAGATGTCCCATGGATTCCCATAGGTCCACCACCCCTGGGTGCCATGCAGTTGTCTATAGGACTGCCACCCTTGGGTGCCCTACGGTTGACCACGGGGCCACCAACCCATAGCATGCTCAGTTGTCCCATAGATTCCCATGGGGCCAGTATCCCTGGGTGCCCTACAGTTGACCATAGGACCACTGCCCCAGGGTGCCCTACGGTTGACCACGGAGCCACCAACCCTGGGTGACTTATAACTACGTGGCCACCAAGCCACAGCACGCTCAATGTCCCATAGATTCCCATGGGGCCACCACCCCTGGGTGCCCTACAGTTGTCTATAGGACCGCCACCCTTGGGTGCCCCTATGGTTGACCATGGGGCCACCAACCCATAGCACACTTAGATATCCCATAGATTCCCATGGGGCCACCACCCCTGGGTGCCATACGGTTGTCTATAGGACCACTGCCCCAGCGTGCCATACAGTTGACCACAGGGCCGCCAACCCTGGGTGACTTATAACTACGGGGCCACCAACCCGCGGCACGCTCCATGTCCCATCTCTTGCCACGGGGCCACCGCCCCCCATGCCCTCCAGTTGCCCACAGGGCACAACCCCACAGCTCTGTCCCCGTCCCCCCAGGCGCTCGGGCTCAGCCATGGGCGCAGTTCCAGCGCCGCGCCGCCCGCCTGCCGCGCAGCTCCACGTACAGCCAGCTCTGGGCATCGCTCACCGCCGCCACCGCCCTGCGAGACCTGCGCAGCTTCCCTGCCTTCCTGGGGGCTGACAGCAGCGGTATGGGGACGCCGGGACGGGGGGTGGGGGCGCACGGAGGGTCCTGGCTGCACTGCGTCCAGGGCTGGAGCTTCCAGTGCAACAAAGACAGGGAGCTGTTGGAGGGGGTGCGAGGAGCCACAGAGATGAGCAGGGGCTGCAGCACCAAAGGCAGGCTGAGGGAGCTGGGTTGTTCAGCATGGAGAAGAGGAGCTGCGGGGTGACCTCAGTGCAGCCTGCAGTGCCTGAAGGGAGCCTGAAACAGGAGGGGAGTCAACTGTGCAAGGGGAGATGGCAGCAGGACGAGGGGAAATGGTTGAAGTTGAGGGAGGGGAGATGGAGGTTGGATGTCAGGGGAAGTTCTGTGCTGTGAGAGCGGTGAGGGGCTGGAACAGCTGCCCAGAGAGGCTGTGATGCCCCGTCCATCCCTGGAGATGTTCAAGGCCGGGTTGGATGGGGCCCTGGGCAGCCTGGGCTGCTGTGAAATGTGGCAGGGGGTTGGAGCTCCGTGATCTTTGAGGTCCCTCCCAATCCTGGCCATTCTGTGACTCTGTGACTCTGTCTGCTCACCCCGCTGTCCTCCTCTCCAGCCAATGTCACCTGGTTGGAGCTGTCGCCCGTGGCCGCGCTCGGCGTCCGTCTGTTCACTGGGAACGGCACCGAGGTGCAGCTGGCAGGGCCCGTCCATCTGTCCGTCCCACTCAGCTCCGAGTCCAGCGCCGTCGCGGCCACCAGCGTGCCTGCATGGAGGTTTGACCCCAAAAGCGGTGAGCGGAGGGACGGGGGGGGCAACGGGAGTGGGGTGGGGAGGTGGCGGTGGGTGGTGGTGGTGGCCGTGGGCAACGGGAGCCATGGTGATGGTGGCTGTGATGATGGTGGCTGTGATGATGGTGGCTGTGATGATGGTGGCTGTGGTGATGGTGGCTGTGATGATGGTGGCTGTGATGATGGTGGCTGTGATGATGGTGGCTGTGGTGATGGTGGCTGTGGTGATGGTGGCTGTGATGGTGGTGGCTGTGGTGATGGTGGCTGTGATGATGGTGGCTGTGATGATGGTGGCTGTGGTGATGGTGGCTGTGGTGATGGTGGCTGTGGTGATGGTGGCTGTGATGACGGTGGCTGTGATGATGGTGGCTGTGATGATGGTGGCTGTGGTGATGGTGGCTGTGATGATTGTGGCTGTGATGATGGTGGCTGTGGTGATGGTGGCTGTGGTGATGGTGGCTGTGATGATGGTGGCTGTGGTGATGGTGGCTGTGATGATGGTGGCTGTGGTGATGGTGGCTGTGGTGATGGTGGCTGTGGTGATGGTGGCTGTGGTGATGGTGGCTGTGGTGATGGTGGCTGTGGTGATGGTGGCTGTGATGATGGTGGCTGTGGTGATGGTGGCTGTGATGATGGTGGCTGTGGTGATGGTGGCTGTGATGATGGTGGCTGTGGTGATGGTGGCTGTGGTGATGGTGGCTGTGATGATGGTGGCTGTGGTGATGGTGGCTGTGGTGATGGTGGCTGTGATGATGGTGGCTGTGGTGATGGTGGCTGTGGTGATGGTGGCTGTGGTGATGGTGGCTGTGATGATGGTGGCTGTGATGATGGTGGCTGTGGTGATGGTGGCTGTGATGATGGTGGCTGTGGTGATGGTGGCTGTGGTGATGGTGGCTGTGGTGATGGTGGCTGTGATGATGGTGGCTGTGATGATGGTGGCTGTGGTGATGGTGGCTGTGGTGATGGTGGCTGTGATGATGGTGGCTGTGGTGATGGTGGCTGTGATGATGGTGGCTGTGGTGATGGTGGCTGTGGTGATGGTGGCTGTGATGATGGTGGCTGTGGTGATGGTGGCTGTGGAGGTGGTGGCTGTGATGATGGTGGCTGTGATGATGGTGGCTGTGGTGATGGTGGCTGTGGTGATGGTGGCTGTGATGATGGTGGCTGTGATGATGGTGGCTGTGGTGATGGTGGCTGTGGTGATGGTGGCTGTGATGATGGTGGCTGTGGTGATGGTGGCTGTGATGATGGTGGCTGTGGTGATGGTGGCTGTGGTGATGGTGGCTGTGATGATGGTGGCTGTGGTGATGGTGGCTGTGATGATGGTGGCTGTGGTGATGGTGGCTGTGATGATGGTGGCTGTGATGATGGTGGCTGTGATGATGGTGGCTGTGATGATGGTGGCTGTGATGATGGTGGCTGTGGTGATGGTGGCTGTGGTGATGGTGGCTGTGGTGATGGTGGCTGTGGTGATGGTGGCTGTGGTGATGGTGGCTGTGATGATGGTGGTGGCCATGGTGGAGCTCGGGGTCTCGCCCCGCCATGACGGTGCCTCTCCCCATAGGGCTGTGGGTCCGCAATGGGACGGGGCTGATCCGCAGGGAGGGCCAGCAGCTCTACTGGACCTTTGTGGCCCCCCAGTTGGGCTACTGGGCGGCAGCAGTGCCCTCTCCTAGCCCAGGTAGGACCCTCTGGCTGGGGGGTTGTGGTGTCCCGGGGGTGGCCGTGCCACATCCCAGCTCGGTGTCCCCGCAGGGCTGGTGGCCGTGGCTGCGGGCATGAAGGACATCACGGCGTACCACACCATCTTCCTGCTCACCATCCTGGGCGCGCTGGCCCTGCTCGTGCTCACCCTGCTCTGCCTCCTCATCTACTACTGCAGGTCAGCGCCGGCCGCCCCACGCTGCCCATGGGGTCCTGCAGCCGGCCGTGGGTCACGGTGTGCTTGGCACCCGGGGGTGGCTGACAGCCGGTTCTGGGGCGCACCTCCTGCTTGGCACCCGCAGACATCCCATAGCTGGTTGTGGGTTCCACACCTCCTGGCGCTCACAGACATCCCATAAGTTGCCACCAGCCCTGCCTGTCCTACAGCTGACTATGGGGCCTCCGACTCGTACCGCCCTCAGGCGCCCTATAGCTGGCCACAGGCACCACCAACCCTGAGCATCCTGCGGTTGGCTGTGGGGCCCTACAGTTGACTATGGGGTCTGCTGACCCCAGCTGTCCTATATCTGGTTATGGGACCACCAGGCCTCGGTGCACCACAGTGGACTGCAGGGCCGCCAAACCTGAATGTCCTATGGTTGGCTATGGGGCCACCACCCCTGGGTGTCTTATAGTTGACTACAGGGTCTTCCAACCCCAGATGTCCTATACCTGGCTATGGGGCCACCACTCCTGGGTGCCCTATAGCAGACTATCAGGCCACTAACCCAGAGTATCCTATGTTTGGCTGCAGGACCACCAGCCATGGGTGCCCTATAGTTGACTGTGGGGTCTTCCAACCTCAAATGTCCTATACCTGACTATGGGGCCACCATCCTTGGGTGCCCTATACCTGGCTATGGGGCCACCACTCCTGGGTGCCCTATAGCAGACTATGGGACCACCACCCTTAGGTGCCTTGTAGTTGACTTGGGATCTACCATCCCGATGTCCTATAGCTGGCTATGGTGATGCCCTATAGCAGACTATGGGACCACCACCCCCGTGGGGGCCGTTATGGGACACACTCCCCACATTGTCCCCCCGCCGTCCCCACAGGCGCCGCTGCCTGAAGCCACGCCAGCAGCACCGCAAGCTGCCGTTGTCGGGGACGTTGGACCCCTCCAAGCGGGACCAGGCCACGTCCATGTCACAGCTCAACCTCATCTGCAGCAGCCACCTGGAGACGGCGTCCTCGGGGGGGGACACGGAGGCTCACAGCCCCGTCCTCAAATTCGACAGCTCCCGCGAGGACTTCTTCAAGCAGGTCCCCTCCTCCGCGCCCCAAACGTCCTCCAACGCCGCGCCGCGCCGCTGCCACCCCCGTGAGGACTTCACCCCCAGCGAGGGTCCCCCCGCAGCACCCCACGGAGCCGAAGTGCCGCCGTCCGACCCGCTGCCACCGCCGCCGCCGCCGCCACCGCGGCCGCCGTCATTGGGAGCGCCCATGGGGCCGCCGATGGGGCCAGCGATGGGGCCAGCGATGGGGCCGCCCATGGGGCCGCCGGGGCCGCTGATCCTGTGCGGAGCGCTGGAGGGTCCGCAGGAGGACGTGTACCGCGGCGTGGTGCCCACCCTGCTCATCCCCGCGCGCTACATGCGCCTGGACGGGGCCGCCGAGGGCGCGCAGCAGCTGGAAGCCACCAACCCGGCGGCGGCGGCGAGCGGCTCGAGCCAGGCTGCGGCCCCGGCCCAAGGCGGCGGCGGCGGCCCCGTGGCCATCCCCGTGCTGCTCAACGAGTCCGCGGTGGCGCAGCTCAACGGCGAGCTGCAGGCGCTGGCCGAGCAGAAGCTGGTGGCGCCGCGCGCCTGGTTCGTGTCCCTGGACGGGCGCGCGTCCCACGTCCGCCATTCCTACATCGACCTGCAGGGCGGCGACAGAGGGCCGCCCCGCTCGCGGCCGCCCCCCCCCCCGCGGGCCGCCGTCGCCCGAGGACAGCGCGCTGGCCCCGCTGCTGGGGGGGCCGCCCGTGGGGCGCCGCGGGGCCGGGGGCAGCGGGTGCAGCAGCGCCTCCGAGCCCCCCCGGGATTCCCCCAGCAGCCCCGAGGATGAGGCGGGCGACGGGGGAGACGGCGGCGACGACGGCGGGGACCGCAAGAGCCCCTGGCAGAGGAGGGAGGAGCGGCCGCTCATGGTCTTCAACGTCAAGTAAGCGCGCAGCCCCCATCCTCGTCTCCACCCCCAGCCCTGCCCCCACCTCGTCGCGTCTCCAGCCCGTCTCCGTTCCATCATCTCCATCTCCACCCCGTCTCCTTCATTTCTACCTCCATCCCCGTCTCCCCCCCATCTCCGTTTCTGCCCCCACTCCCATCCCCATTTCGCCTCCTGTCCCCATCCCCATCCTTACTCCCATCCCATCCCAGGTCCTGTCCCAATCCCATCCCAGTCCCCGTCTCCACCTCCTCCCATCCCCATCCTCTTTCCCTCTCCATCTCCATTCTCATGTCCACCCCTCTGCAGCCCCATCTCCGTCCGTCCCCAACTCCATTCCATCCAGTCCCTGTTTTCATCCCCATCCCAGTCCCTGTTCCCATCTCCATCCCCTTTGCTCCTCCATGTTCTCTGCTCCCATCCCCGTGTCCGTATCTCCATCCCACCACGATTTCCATCCACCAGCTCCATTCCCACCCATTTCAACTCCATCCACCCCCATCCCTTTCCAACCCCCATCCCAATTTCCCCCATCCCTGTTTCCACCACAATCTCCATTCTCACCTCCATCCCCATCCCCATCCCCATCCATCCCCCCAACCCCTCTCCACATCTCCATCCTATTCCCACCCCCCCTCCCCTGCCCCTCCTCCATCCTGTCCCCCTCCCACCCCACATCCCTGCCCCATGGGCGCCCAAGTCCCCCCTCCTCTCCCATAGCGCCTTCCCCCCCTCTGCCCCATGGCCATTCCACCCAGGGTGGGGGGCAGTGGATGGGACAGGGCCGGGACCCCCCCACATCCCCCATTCTTAACACAAACCCATTTGTGTCCCCACAGGACGGGGGGGTCTGGCACTGCCCCCCGGGCCAGCGGTGCCTCCAAGCTGCCATAGGGACGGGGTGGGGGGGAGGAGGGCAGAACCCCCCCCCCCAGACCCCACTGTGGATTTTAGATACCATTAATATATAAAATCCCACTGACACATCGCCGCCTCCGCCTCTTCCTCCCCCAAAATCGTTTGGGTTTTTTTTCCCTACAAACCCTTTATTGGGGTGGGGGGCTCACAGCCCCGGGGGGTCACAGCTTCTCGCAGCTCTGCGTGGCGATGTCGCAGGTGTAGCCCTGGGGGCAGCAGTGCTGGTGGTCCTTGCAGCACACGGCCTGGGGGGGAGGACATGTCATGGGGGGGGAGGGACATCGTGCCACCCACTGCCACCACCCCATGCCACCCCCCTGTCCCTGCTGCAGGTGTGCCCCCATTGTCACCCTCGTGTGCCCCCAGGAACACAAACGGAGGGGGGGGGCAGTGATGGGTGCAGGTCCCACTTCCCTCCCGTCCCCAAAGCCCCCCACACACCGGCCTGACCCCAAACCCCCCCCGCCCCACCATTCCCCCCACCCAGCGCCACCCAAACTCCCACCACCCTTCGCCCCCCCCCCCCCCAGCCCCCCACCTGCTCCAGGGGGCAGCACCCCCAGGTGCCCCCGCTCAGCCTGCAGCACGTGCTCCCATCGGGGCAGCTCGTCCTGTCGTCACAGCGCACGTCCCCCCCCCGACCCCGCAGCGCCGGGCTCTTCTTCAGCCAGGGCAGGCGGCCCCCCCCCTGCAGGCACGTCCCCCCCTGGGGGTCGCAGGTGTAGCCCTGGGGGCAGCAGTGGATGTGGTCGGGGCAGCACACGGCCTGGGGGGGGGACAGAGGGGTGTCAGCGCTGACCCTACAGCGGTGGGGCTGCCCTGTGCTTTAGGGGCAGAGGGGACGACTGACCCCATCCCGTGGAGGACAGGGGGACGTCTGTCCTCGTCCCAGCTTGGGGATGGGGGGCATCTGCTCCTGTTCCATTGGGGACGCTGTCCCCAGCCCCCGGGCTCAGGAGGACATCTGTCCACGTCCCAGCATGGGGACGGGGGACGCTCAGCTCCACCCCATGCAGGACATGGGGACAGTGGCTCGTTGTGGGGACGTCTGTCTGTGTCCCATCATGGCACGGGGCACACCAAACCTCGGGGACAACCTTAGGGACATCTGTCCTTGTGCCATCAGGGAACCTAGGGACAAGGGACAACCAACCCCACCCCATGGAGGACACGGGGACATCTGTCCTCGTCCCATCACGGCTCAGGGGAGACCCAACCCCATCCCATAAAGAACACGGGGAATCGGTCCTTGTTCCAACATGGGGAAGCCAACTTTGTCCCTTGGTGGACATGGGGACAATGGCTCTGGTCCCATCACAGGGACATCTGTCCTCGTCCCATCATGGGACCCCAACCCCATCCCATGCAGGACACGGGGACCTCACTCCTCATCCCATCACAGGACGGTGACAATGCCCTCGTCCCACCCGCCCCCCTGGGACCCCCCCACGTCCCCCCGTCCCCCCATCACCTGTTCCAGGGGGCAGCAGCCCCACTCCCCGGAGCTCAGCCTGCAGCACGTGTTCCCATCAGGGCAGCTCATCTCATCGTCACACTTCACGTCACCAACTGAGGACAAGGCCATGAGCCACCGATGTCCCCTCCAGCCCCAGCCGGGGCCGTGGGGTGGCTTTGGGGGTGGCTTTGGGGGTGGCCGCGTCCCCTTACCGCGCGCCACGTCCCGCCCCGAGGTGCACATGGAGCGCTGCAGGTCACACGTGGTGCCTTGGGGACAGCAGTGCCACCCATCGCCGCAGCACACCGCCTGCGTGGGGACAGCGTGGTGACAGCACGGCCGGCACCGAGTGCCACCACCACGGGGGGACGTTTGGGGACACGCTCACGTTCTGTAGGGGGCAGCAGCCGTAGCGCCCCGACGGCAGCTGGCAGCATGTGGCGCTGTCGGGACAGGCGGAGCTGTTGTCGGGACAGGACAGCCGGCGCAGCGCTGCGGGGAGCGGCGGCACCGTCAGCACGTGGGGACGGGGCTGGGGCAGAGACAGGGCTGGGACGTGGGGACGCGGGGACAGGGATGTGTCGTAGCCAGCGCTGGGATGTGGGGACACGGGGACGGGTCGCAGTCGGTGCTGGGACAGGGATGGGGGAGCGTGAGCACATGGGGACGTGGGGACGCGCCACAGTCAGTGCTGGGACATGAGGACAAAGGGACAATATGAGGTGGTGGCACTGAGGCACTGCAGGCCACAGGATGAGTACAAGGGGATGTGGGGACATCATGGGGACATGGGGTCATTCTGTACACAGTGCCAGGACATGGGGACAGGGATGTCATATCCACTGCTGGGACATGGGGACATGGGGACAGGGGTGTGCCATACCCAGTGTCAGAACATGGGGATGGGGACATAAGGACAGGGATGTGTCATATCCACTGCTGGGATGTGGGGACATGGGGACACAGGGACATTCCATACACAGTGCCAGGACATGGGGACACAAGGATGTGCCATGACCAGGGACATGGCTTGGGGAAATGGGGATACAGAAGTGCCATACCCACTGCTGGCACATGGGGACATATGAGGTGGTGGCACTGTTGAGCTGCAGGCCACGGTGTGGGGACATGGGGACAAAGGGACGGGGATGTGCCATACCCAGTGCTGGGACATGGGGACATGGAGATGTGGGGACATGAAGATAGGGCCAAGAGGACAGGGATGTGTCACACCCAGTGTCTGAATACGGGGACATGGGGACATGAAGATGGGGACAAGAGGACAGGGATGTGCTGCACCCACTGCTGGGACGTGGGGATGTGAGGACATGGGGACACAGGGACGCCATACCCAGTGCTGGGACATGGGGACACGAGGATGGGGACATGGGGACAGAGATGCTCCTCACCCACTGCAGGGACGAGGGGCTGAGGTGGCGCCGCGGCACCACGCGGCCTCTTCCACGCTGGGAATTTGGTGGCCATGGCGCCGTCCCCCAAGGGCGACACGCAGCGTCCGCGCTCCAAATCGCAGCTGGTGGCGCGGGGACAGCAGTGCTCCTCATCCCGGCAGCACACAGCCTGCGCGGCACCGACCGCCTCAGCCCCGCCGTCAGCCCCATCCCCGCCGCGCCGCCCCGCGGTGCCCCCGTACCTCCGGCATCGGGCAGCAGCCCCAGGCCCCCCCGGCGGTGACGCAGCACGTGGTGTTTTGGGGACACTCGGAGGCGCCGTCGGGGCACCGCAGCGCCGTCACCGCAGCGAGGGACAACCAGAGCCTCACCGCCGCCCTCATGGCTGGGACGCCTGCGGGCAGCACCGCCCCCCCCGGACCTCGGTTTCCCCGATCCCAAAGCTCTGCCCCACAGCCCCCCCCGCGCCCCCAATCCCACGACGCCCCCACCCCGCAGCTCCCTTGGCCCCATAGCGCTCCCGACCCCTCAACACCCCCCGCCCCACAGCTGCCCCCCCTCCTCAGCTCATTCCATCCCATAAGATCCTCCACCCCATAGCTGCCCTCAGCCCTGAACCCATAGATCCCTGCCACCACACAGCTCCCCCCACCCCACAGCACCCCCATCCCATAGCTCCCCTCACCCCATAGCACCCCTGACCCCATAGCACCCCTGACCCCATAGCACCCCCTACCTTATAGCTCTCCTCACCCCATAGCTCCCCTCACCCCATAGCTCCCCTCACCCCATAGCACCCCTCACCCCATAGCACCCCTCACCCCATAGCACCCCCTACCTTATAGCTCTCCTCACCCCATAGCTCCCCTCATAAAATAACCCCACCCTATAAGAGCCCCTCACCCCATAGCTCTTCCAACCCCATAGCACCCCCCACCCCATAATACCCCCTATGCCACAGCTGCCCCCACCCCATAGGTTCCCCCACTCCACAGCTCCTCCCATCTCATGAGACTCCCCCACCCCATAGCTCCCTTCACCCCATAGCTCCCCCCGCCCCACAGCACAATGATCCCAAAACATCCCCCACCCCATAGCTCCCCTAACACCATAATACTCCCCCCCCCCATAATTCCCTTGACCCCACAGCTCCTTCAATCCCATCGCACCCTGATCCCATAACAACCCCCACCCCACAGCCCAACCTTGCCCCATAAGATCCCCCATCCCATCGCTGCCTTCACCCCATAACACCCCTTTACCCCATAGCTCCTTTGACCCCATCGTTCCTCCAGCCCCATAACACCACCCACCCTAAAACTGCCCCCACCCCACAGCCCCCCCCATTTTTAGGGCCCTGCCTTAAGGTACCCCTGCTGCCCTATGGCTGCTTCCCCCCCCCCCCCCCCCCCGAGAAAAACCGGTCTGGTGGGGGGCAAAGTCCAACAAATGGGGGGGGGGGCGGGGGGGCCCTAAAGGCAAAGGGAGCAGCCCTAAAAGCCAAAGGGGGATCTGGGGAGCTAAGGGGGGGGAGGGGAGTTCTAGGAGTTAGGGGGGGCTACAGACACGGGGGGGCCCTAAAAACCAAAGGGGGTCCTATAAGAGAACAGGGGGCTTTAAAAGCTTGGGGGGGGGCTAAGAGCCAAAAGGGGGGAGGGGGGGTCCTAAAAGGCAGTGGGGGATGGACCCTAAATGACAAGGGGGGGGGGGGGGGACAAAAGGCAGGAGAGGGTCCTACAAGGGGGGGATAAGAGCCAGAGGGGACCCTAAAAAAACATGGGGGGGGCAATGGGGGGGCACTCATGGCCCCGTCCCCAGCACCTCCAAGCCCCCCCTCCTTTCACTTCCTCCCCCCAGCAGGAACCGGGCCCTGGGGGTGGGGGGGGGCTGTTCCCAGTTCCCCCCATCGCCTCCCAGTTCCCCTCCCCACATCTCCCAGTTTCCACCAGCGCCCCCCAGTTCCACCCGCGCACTCCAGTCCCCAGGACCCCCCGCTCCCCCCAGCACTTCCCAGCTCCCCATTTCTCCCAGTTCCCCCCCCCGCTGCCTCCCAGTTTCCCCGCTGCCTCCCAGTCCCAACTCTCCCCATGTCTCCCAGTCCCCCCAGTCCCATCCTCCCACTTTGCCCCAGTCCCCCCCCAGTTCTCCCAGTTTCCCCCCCGCTTCTCCCACTCCCCCCCACCCCTCCGCACCCTGCACGCTCCCGACGCTCTCCTCCCTCCACGCCCCGCCCCTCCTCTCCGCGAGCCACGCCCTCTCCCTCCCCATTGGCCCGCTGCGCCCCCTCGCTTCACTCCCATTGGCCGCCGTCTCTCGGTGGGCATGCACATCAAGCCCCTCCTCTCAAACACGTGCTTCCTCGCTCCATTCCCATTGGTCGCCGCCGGCAGGAGGGCGGGAACACCAGGCCACGCTCCTCCAATCACGTGCTGTAAAGCCACATGACCGCTCCTCCCCCCCCCCTTTCCCCGCTCAGCAGCAGTGCGATGAGCGCGGCCGTTCTCAGGCGGGGGCACAAAGCTGCCGGACCGCCCCCAAATGCCATCGAGGGGTGGGAGGCACCGGGGAACGGGGACCCCGCCGGGCCTGGATGGGGAGGGAGGGCTGTTTTTGGGGGGGTCCTATAGAGCCCCCCTCATTGGGTCTGGATTTGGGGGTGGGGGTCCTACAAGAGCCGCCTTCATTCGACTCGAGATTTGGAGGGGTCCTATAAGAGCCCCCCTCCCCCCCCACTGTCTGGATTTAGAGGTTCCCAGCTGAGCCCCCCAACAGGACCTGGGCTTGGATCCCCCCCCCCCCCCCCCCCGGAAATGCCACGTGCTCCCCAAAAGCAGAAGCGGGAGCACCATGTGTGCGGGGGAGGGGACAGCATCACCGCCGTGTCACCTGCTGTCCCCAGGGCCACAACCACAGACAGGCAGCAGTGTCACGGGGCGTTTATTGGCACCCATGGGGGCATCGCTGGTATCCCAGGGCTCGGGTGGACGACTGCTCCTCCGGGAGGGGGTTGGTGGCACCAGGGGTGACGCTGCAGGAGGCATCGGCGGCACTGGTGGTGGCATCAGTGGCACTGGTGGCGATGCCTATGGTGGCACCAGCGGCACCGGTGACACAGCCGGTGGCACTTATGGTGGCATCGGTTGTGGCACCCAACTGGTACCAGCGGTGGCATCACATGGTGGCATCAGTGACCCTGGTGGTGGCGCCGCCGGTTCCCGGGGCTCAGATGGCCGACTGCTCCTGCCTGAAGGCCTCGGTGCCCGCCGTCCTCTCCGGCTCGGTGGCCATGGCAGCGTGGCGCAGCGCGGCCATGTGCTGCTCGGCGGCCGCCAGCGACCGGTCCACCCAGTCCCTGTCACCGGGTTGGGGACAGGCGCTCCGTGCCACCAGCACCAGGTGGCTGACAGACAGCAGCAGCGCCGCGGCCCTGCGGGGACGTGGGACGGCCGTCACGGCGGCGTGGGGACGAGGAGCGGCTTCCGCGGCCACCGACACCCGAGCGTCCCCCCCCCCCCCCCCCCCGCCGTCGTCACCTGGCGTCCAGCAGCTTGGGGTCCAGCGGGGGGTACATGGACCTGACCACATCGTCCACCCTGGTGGTGGATGGGGATGGGGTTGGTGACGTGGGGACGTGACGGGGATGCGCCGCCGTCCCCCGTCCTCACCTGGGGCTGATGCGTTTGGCCACCACGATGATGTCACCGAGGCTGGAGGGGGATTTGATGCGGGCGCCAGAACCCATGGTCATGGCCACCAGCTTCTCTGTCAGCGTGTGGCAGATCTGTGGGGACGGGGGGGATGGAGGGTGGGGGGCACCAAACGTGGGGACACCGAGAATGGGGACTTTGGGACCGTGGGGACATGGGGGACACCAACAGTGGTGACACAAGGACACTGAGACCATGGAGACACTGGGGACACCAACTGTGGGGACATTGGGACCGCGGGGACACTGAAACCATGGGGATACTGGGACACCCACAATAGGGACGTTGGAACTATGGGGACATTGGGATCATGGGGACATGAAGACCATGGAAACACTGCAGACAGCAACAATAGGGACAGTGGGGACACCAACGATAGGGTCACTGGGATCACGGGGACACTGAGACCATGGGGACATTGGAGATGCCAGCTGTGGGGACACCAAGCAGGGGAACAATGGGGACACCAACAATAGGGGCACTGGGATCACGAGAATGCGGGGGACACCAACCGTGGGGACTTTGGGACCGTGGGGAATTTGGGGAAACCAACAGGGAATTGGGAGCACGGGGACACCAACAGGGGAACAACGGGGACAGCAACTACAGGGACACTGGGGACACCAATCAGGGGACATCAGAGACACCGAGCGTGAGCACATCGGGAACTCCAACCACGGGGACACTGGGGATGCCGAGCACAGGGACATCGGGGACACTGGCATGGGGACGGCGGGGGCGCTCACCTTCAGGATGGCGATGCAGTGTGACACCAGGCCCCTGCGGACGGAGGAGGAGTGAATGGGGACAGAGCCACCCTCAGCCCCGGGGGCAGCGGTGGCACTTTGGGGACAGGCGCTTACGAGGCGTCCTCGATCCAGTCCTCGTTCTCCAGGATGGCCTCGATGTGCGGGTTGGTGATCACCACGTCGTCCAGCTCCAGCTCCGAGGGCTCCGACTGCGTCTCCATGGCCCCGATGAGGTCCACGATGGGTCTGGAGGGGACACGGGTGGCTTTGGGGACGTCTTGGTGCCACCTCTCCATCCCCACTGGGGATCTTCCAATCCCAACGCTACAATGGGTGACGCCTTCCCAGCGCTGTCTGCAACCCTTGGGATCTGCACCATCCCATCTGCACCGGGGGCAACGGGACGAGGACATGGGGACAAGGACATGGGACACCTCTCCATCCTCAGTGGTGTTCCCAAAGGCTTTTCCCAACCTCAGTGCCATCATGCATGACACCATCCCCAACACGTGGGGTCCTCACCACCCACTGGGGACGCACCAAAGGACATGGGGACAAGGACATGGGGACACCCCGGTGCCACCTCTCCAATCCCAACGGGGCTCTTCCAACCCAATGCCATAATGCTGACACATCCCCAGCGCCATCCCCAACCCACAGGGTCACACACACAGCCAGGGCGACACACCGAGGGACATGGGGACAAGGACATGGGGACGAGGACATGGGGACAAGGACACAGGGTCACCCTGGTGCCACCTCTCCATCCTCAGTGGTGTTCCCAAAGGCTTTTCCCAGCCTCAGTGCCATCATGCATGACACCATCCCCAACACGTGGGGTCCTCACCACCCACTGGGGACGCACCAAAGGACACGGGGACAAGGACTTGGGGACAAGGACACAGGACAGCCACGGCGTCCCCGAGCTCACTTGGTGTCATAGGGGTGCAGGAGGTCCTTGGGGCGGCAGTAGCGCTGCCTGCACACCACCACCAGGGCCACGAAGGACGCCAGGAAGATGGTGGCCAAGACCCCGATGGCCACGATGACCACCGTCTCCATGGCTCCCCGTCGCGTTCAGGCGCTGCGCTGCATCTCGGCCCCGGCGGCGCCTGCAGTGGGGCGGGGACCCCCAGAGATGGACGCTGTGGGGCTCTGGGGATCCCGAGGGCAGTTGAGAACCCCAGGCCGGGTTCCTATGGGATCCCCAAACCAATTCCAGTGGGGATCTGGAGGACGCCAAGACCGGGTTGTATGGGGACCCCCAAAACCCATCCCTACGGGGCTCTAAAGGACCCCAAGACCAGTTTCCACGAGGACCCCTGGAGCCAATCGCTACAGGGCTTTGGAGGACAGCAGGAGTGGTTCCTATTGGGAACCCCAAATCTCAGCCCTATGGGAGCCCCCAAAGTCCATCCCCACGCGGCTCTGGAGAACCCCAAAATTGGCTTCTGTGGGGAATCCCAAAGCCAGTCCCTGTGGGGCTGTGGGTGACCCCAGTGCAGGTATCTGTGGGGAACCCCTAAGCTTGATCCTGCTGGGGAACCTCAAAGCCCTGCAGGGCCCTGGTGAACCCCTGAGCCCCTATGGGGAACCCCACAGCCAGTTCCTATGGGACCACCAAGGCCTGGGGACCCCAAGACTGGTTTCTGTGGGGAACCCCAAAGCCGGTCCCTATGGGGCTCTGAAGATCCCCAGGACCAGATTGTAGAAGGTACCCCAAAGCTCCTCTATATGGGGCTTGGGAGGACCCCAAGAGCGATTCCTATTGGGAATCCCAAATCTCATCCCTATGGGATCCCCCAAAGCCCATTCCTATGCGGTTCTGGAGGACCCCACAATTGGTTCCTACGGGGAAACCCAAAACTAGTCCCTATGGGGCTGTGGTCTATGGGGAACCCCTAAGCTTGATCCTGCTGGGGAGCCTCAAAGTGTCGTCCCTATGGGGCTCTGGTGAACCCCGGAGCCTGGCCCCTATGGGGAACCCCACAGCCAGGCGCCATGGGGCCCACCAAGGCCTGTCCCAATGGGGCCAGGGGACCCCAAGACCGGTTCCTATGGGGAACCCCAAAGCCCGGTCCCTATGGGGCACCCCGAAGCCCATCCCCGTGCGGCTCCGGAGGACCCCGACTCCGGATCCCACAGGGACGCAGAGCCCCTGGACCCGCATCTCCCTGCAGATTCCCCAACCCCCGGCTCCCCGCATTTATGGGGACCCCGGAGCCCAATCCCTACGGGGCTCCGCTATGGGGCCCGGCCCCTACCTGCGTGCAGCCGGATCTGCGGGGATCGGGGCCGGGAATGGGATCGGGGCACTTCCGCAGCGCGGCTGCGACCTTTGCACCGTGAGTAACGCAATGGGGGGGCAGGCGGCCGGCCCCACAGCCCCCCCAGCCCCCACCCCCCAGTTCCCCTTCTTTCCCTTTATCCCCCCCCTATCCCCCCCCCCCCCCCCATTTTGCCCTCCATTTTCCCTTTTTTCCCCCTTTTTTCCCCCTTTTTTCCCCTCCCCCCCCCCAATCCCACAGACCTGTACCACTCCGCCCCATCCCCACCTCCCCCCCCCCCCCTAAATAAAGCAGATTTGCGGCCCCAAAGCCGATCCCGCCCCGTAACCCCACGCTGCCCCCAATGTGAGGGGAGGGCTCCCCTCCCTGCCCCAATCCTAAACCCAATCCCACCTCCCCCAATCCCAACTCCCCCAAACCTGGAGCTGCACGCCGGGGCTCTGTGGGATCTATGGGGCGGTGGACGGCCGTCCTCCCCCCGCTGGCGCCGCCCCCGTAGGCACGCAGTGGGGCCCCCAGAGGAACCACGGGGTCCCGAAGAGTCCCTGCCGTGACCCAAAGTGCCCCCAAAACGTCCCCGTTCTCCGGTCCCAAAGTGTCCCCGTTGAATCACAAAGTACCCGAAGTGCCCCCAAACTGTCCCTAAAAGCCCCAATTTGCCCCCAAAGTGCCCCCAGATGCCCCCTACCCCATCCCAAAGTGCCCCCTTGGGATCACAGAGATCCCATTGCGTCCCAAAGTGCCCCAAAGAGCTCCGATGTGCCCCCAAAGTGCCCCCCGATCCCGAAGCGTCCCCATTGAATCGCAGGGATCCCATTGTGCCCCAAAGTGCCCCCAAATTGTCCCCATTGTGTCACAGGTGTCCCCACTGACTCACTGAGAGCATCCATCGTGTCCCAAAGAGCCCCAGTGTACCCCAAAAGCGCCCCCAAATGTCCCCTCCCTCACCCCAAAGAGCCCCCATTGAATCACAGAGATCCCGCTGTGCCCCAAAGTGCCCCAAAGTGTCCCCAAGTGTCCCCTTGACTCCCAAAGAGTTTCCATTGTGTCCCAAAGAACCCCAAACTGGCCCTGGGAGCCCCAAAGTGCCCCCAAATGTCCCCCACCCCCTCCCAAAGTGCACCATTGAACCAGAGACCCCACTGTGCCCCAAAGTGCCCCGGTGTCCCCGCTATGTCCCCAAGTGTCCCCACCGAATCACAGTGTTCCCGTCGTGTCCCAGAGAGCTCCAAACTGTCCCAAAGACAACCAGCGTGCCCCCAAAGTGTCCCCAAATGTCCCCTACGGCCCTGAAGTGTTCCAGAGTGCCTCCAAAGTGTCCCCAGATGTCCCCTGTCCCATCCCAAAGTGTCCCCATTGAATCACGGATGTCCCATTGTGGCCCAAAGCGCCCCACCGTGTCCCCACGACGCCCCACCGTGTCCTCAGGGACTCACAAAATGTCCCCAAACGTCCCCTACCCCATCCCCAACTGCCCCAAAGGGCCCCAGACCGTCCCAAAGAACACCTCTGTGTCCCCAGAGTGCCCTCAAATGTCCCCTACCCCGTTCCAAAGTGTCCCCACTGAGTCACAGAGTTCTTGTCGTGTCCCAAAATGCCAAAGACTGGTCTGAAGAGCCCCCATGTGTCCCATCATGTCCCCAAAGAGTCTCCAGCTGTCCCCTACAGCCCCAAAGAGCCCCGATTTGCCCCTAAAGTGCCCCCAAATGTCCCCTCCTCTGTTCCTAAAGTGTCCCCATTGAACCACAGAGTTCCCACTGGGACCCAATGTGCCCCAAAGTGTCCCCCGGTGTCCCCATACCCCACACCAAACCGTTCCCATTGAATCACAGAGATCCCATGGTGCCCCAAAGTGCCTCAGTGTCCCCGCTGTGTCCCCAAGTGCCCCCGTTGACTCACAAAGTGTCCCCACATGTCCCGCTCCCCATCCCAAAGTGTCCCCGTTGAATCACAGGGATCCCATGGTGCCCCAGAGGGCCCCAAAGTGTCCCCATGGCATCCCAAGCCACCCCCGTTATGTCCCAAAGTGTCCCCATGATGCCCCAAGGTGCCCCAGTTGTCCCCCAAACCGTCCTCACTGTGCCCTGTCCCCATGGGGTCCCAAAGCATTGCTGTGCTGTCCCCCTTATCCCCACGTCCCCACTGATGTCCCCATTGTTGTCCCAGTGTCCATATATCCCCACCAGTGTCCCCATGTCCCCACTGGAGTTCTAATGTCCTTGACGGTGTCCTCACTTCCCTGATGTTGTCCCCGTGTCCCCATGTCCCCACTGTTGTCCCCTTTTCCCCAGCGGTGTCCCCACTGATGTCCCTATGCCTCCGATGGTGTCTCTGTGTCCCTGACGGTGTCCCCACGTCCCCATTGATGTCCCCACCTCTCTGATGGTGTCCCCATGTCCCTGATGGTGTCTCTGTGTCCCCATCTTCCCCCTGGTGTCCCCATGTCACCAAACTGTCCTCATGTCCTTACAATCTCTTTATTGAGGAGCACCGCTCCCGGCCACGCATCTCCACACCCCGTCCTGGGTGTCCCCTCCCCACAGGGTCCATGTCACCGTCCCCAGCGGTGTCCCCATCCCTTGTGCCACCTTCAGGTGCTGTCACCCACAGTCTGATGCCCCTGAGTCCCAATGGTGTCCCCATGGTGTCCCCATGGTGTCTCCGTGGTGTCCCTTCGGTGTCCCCATGGCGTCCCCCACGGTGTCCTCATGGTGTCACATGGTGTCACATGGTGTCCCCATGATGTCCTCATGATGTCCGCATGGTGTCCTCATGGTGTCTTCATCATGTCCCCATGGTGTCCTCATGATGTTCTTGTGGTGTCCCCATCATGTCCCCACCATGTCCTCATGATGTCTCCGTGGTGTCTTCATTGTGTCCCCATGCTGTCCTCGCGGTGTCCCCACGGTGTCCTCGCGGTGTCCCTGTGTTGTCCCCATGTCACGCGCTACCCGTCAGGGAAGATGTGTCCGTACTGGTTGAGGATGAGCTCCACCACCTGGTTCTGGAACACCATGTGCACAGCCATGCTGCCCTCCTCGCTCGGCGCCCGCAGCAGCGTTGGGCCGAAGACGATGGCGACGCTCTGCACCGACATGCGGTTCTCCTCCTTGAACTCGACCACCCTGCGGCAGGACGAGGGACAGCGTCACCACTGGGCCCCGAAATGGGACCCCAGCCCCCGAAATGGGACCCCAGCCCCCTAAGTGGGACCCCAGCCCCCAAAATGGGACCCCAACCCCTGAAATGGGACCCCAGCCCCCAAAATGGGATCCCAGCCCCCTAAGTGGGACCCCAGCCCCCAAAATGGGACCCCAGCCCCCTAAGTGGGACCCCAACCCCTGAAATGGGACCCCATCCCCCTAAATGGGACCCCAGCCCCCTAAGTGGGACCCCAACCCCTGAAATGGGACCCCATCCCCCTAAATGGGACCCCAACCCCTGAAATGGGACCCCAGCCCCCAAAATGGGACCCCAGTCCCCTAAGTGGGACCCCAGCCCCGGAAATGGGACCCCAGCCCCCAAAATGGGACCCCAGCCCCCTAAGTGGGACCCCAACCCCTGAAATGGGACCCCAGCCCCCGAAATGGGACCCCAGCCCCCTAAGTGGGACCCCACCCGCGGGGCTCTGCAGGACCTCTCAATCCCCATCACAGTGGAGTTACGCAGACCCCCGAGGCCCCCATGGGGATCTGGAGGATCCTAAGACGGGTTCCTATGGAGATCCCCAAACCAGTCCCACTGGGATTCTGGAGGACCCCGAGACCAGATTCTATAGGGAACCCCAGAGCCTGGTTCTTATTGGGTTCTGGAGGACCCCCAAATCTGTTCCTGTGGGGGGCCCCAGCACCAGTCCCTATGGGGCTCTGGAGGACCCCAAGACCAGTTCCTGTGGATCCCCAAACCAGCTTCAATGGAAGTCTGGAGAACTCCAAGAGTGGTTCCTATTGGGAGCCCCCAAATCCCAGTCCTGTGGGACCCTCTAAAACCCATCCCTGTGGGGCTCTGCAAGAACCCAAGACTGGTTCCTATGGGGAATCCCAAAGCCAGTCCCTATGGGGCTCTGGAGGACCCCAAGATCTGTTCCTATGAGGAAGCCCAACACCGGTACCTGTGGGGCTCTGCAGGACCCCAAGGCCCATTCCTATGGAGATCCCCAAACCAGTCCCTAGTGGGGCCCTGGAGGACCCCGAGATTTGTTCCTGTATGAGGAACCCCAAGACCCATCCCTGTGAGGATGTGGGGAACACCCAGACCTGTTCCCGCGGGGAGCCCCACAGCCAGACCCCGTGTGGCTTTGCCTAAACCCAGAACCTGGTCCACCTGAGGTCGCAGGGGTCCCTGAAACCTGGCCTCTCCCTCCATGCCCCCCAAGCGTCTTCAGATTGGACCCAACCCCACGACGCGGCCCCGTCCCCCCTCCGCCTTGGTGGCCCCATGGCGGGCCACGCGGCGTCACCTGCAGAGGTGCCCAAAGAGGACCTCCATGGTGTCGTGGTTGGCGGGCGGCAGCGAGCGCACGAGGTCACGGATGCAGCGTCCCTTCAGCACCGGGTCCTGCATCTCTGCAAGGGGACGGGATGCGGTGTGGGGCGGTGATGCTGGAGGACGGGCCGCCCCCCGTGTCCCCGTCCCCGTCCCCATCCCTTACTGATGGCGGCGATGAACTTGTCAAAGTGCCCAAAGGGGACGAGCGGCTCCGGCAGCTCGCGGAAGAACAGCTTGAGGGCACCGGTGATGACGTGGACGTCTTCCCAGCGCCCGTCGTCCAGGTCCAGGTGCTCCTCTGCGGGGACACGGGGACACCTCGGACACGGGACACCCACCAGGTGGCATTTGGGGACACCCCTGGGACATGGGCACAGTACCGTGGTCCACTTTGTAGCGCAGCTTCTGGATGGTGGCCAGGTTGCCGCTGACCCGGTAGAGCCCGTCGATGTCCAGCCCTGAGGGGTGACAACTGCCGGTCATCCAGGTGGCGCTGCCACCAATGTGGTGACAGCGGGTGGCACTTTGAGCACAGATGTGTCAACGCATGGCCACAACCCAGCGGATTTTGGGGGGAAACCCAACGGGATTCCCTGACCTCAAAGCCGGGCTTTGCCTGGGGAGAACGCCACCCCCCACCCCGTGCCCCCAGGGCTGTCCCCACACGGTCATCCAGGTGGCACTGCGCAGTGACAGCCAGTGGCACTTTTAGCATGGCCACGGCGACACACAGCTCCAACCCGATGGATTTTGGGGGGAACCCCATGGGATTCCCTACTGTCAAAGCTGAGCTTACGCCAGCGAGAGTCACCACCCCACCCCGTGTCCCCACGTCCCCAGGGCTGTTCCCACATGGTCACTGGTGGCACCAGGGTGGGGACAGCCAGTGCCATCTCACAACTCCAACCCAATGGTTTTTTGGGAAGCCCCGATGGGATTCCTCATCAAACTTGGACTTTCCTGATTGAGAGAAGTGATGCCACCACCCCGCCCCCATGTCCCCACATCCCCACATCTCCATGTCCCCACATCTCCATGTCCCCACATCCCCACGTCCCCACATCCCCACATCCCCACATCCCCACGTCCCCACATCCCCACATCCCCACATCTCCATGTCCCCACATCCCCATGTCCCCACATCCCCATGTCCCCACATCTCCATGTCCCCACATCCCCATGTCCCCACATCTCCATGTCCCCACATCCCCATGTCCCCACATCCCCACGTCCCCACATCCCCACATCCCCACATCTCCATGTCCCCACGTCCCCATGTCCCCACATCCCCACGTCCCCACATCCCCACGTCCCCACATCTCCATGTCCCCACATCCCCACGTCCCCACATCTCCATGTCCCCACGTCCCCATGTCCCCACATTCCCATATCCCCATGTCTCCATGTTGCCACAATCCCATCCCCACATCCCCAAATCCTCGCATCCCCACGTCCCCACGTTGGCACCTCTCCTCTCCACGCTCTGGATGCACTGCTGGACAAACCGTGGCACCGTGCCGTGCTCCCGCTCACACAGCGCTTGCAGCGAGCACCCAAAAACCTGATCTGGGGGAAAAAAGGGGAGGTGGGCACGGGCGGGAGGCGACATCCTGGGGACACCCAGGGCACATCCCTACCTTTGATGTAGCCACGCTCACGCAGGGACTGCAGCGTCGGCCGCCGCTGGAGGAATTTGCGGAGCTTGTTGCGCACTTTGCTGGAATCGCTGTCGCCTGGGCTGGGTGCTGTGGGAGGGGGCAGGGTGAGCATCGCCCGCGGGGACGTCGGGGCGGCGCTCGCCCGCTGCCCTCCTCTCCTCACCGCCCAGCTTCTCCCGCGAGCCGAACTCCGTCCCGCTCTCGGCGTCCTCCTCGGTGGGGACATCGGAGCCCTGGGGGGCAGCGGGGTCAGTCGGAGGGGTTTGGGGACGCGCGGGGGGACGCGGTTGCGCGGCCGCCCCTCACCATCAGCACGATGCTGTCGGCGATGGCCCGGTGCCACGTGGTGACGATCTGCTCCGAGTCGTGCTGGATGAGGAACTCGGAGCCCTCCCGCGTCCTCAGCTGGGGGTGGGACGCTTGGGGTGAGGGCTGACCCCGTAGGGTGACCCACGTCCCCGCGCCGTCCCCCCGCTCACCTCCAGCACGTGCTTCTTGCTGGATTTCTCCTTGCTGGCCCAGGCGATGGCGGCTCCACGCAGCTCCACCGTGTGCTCCGGGGTGGTCAGGGTGGTGGGGTGCCGCTGTGTGTGGGGACGGGGAGTCACCCCAGGACGCCGCTTTGGGCTTTTCTCCACCCAAAATGGGGCCCTCGGGGGCAGCGCTGTCCCCACGACCGCAGTGGGACCCGTCTGTCCCCACCCCGTGGCAACGAGGGGACCCTGCAGTTGTGGGGGTCACCCGCATCTCCCTGTCCTGTGCCACCGTCTGTGGGTGACCCAAGGATCGCTGTCACCTTATGGGACAGCCCTGAACTGAGCCTGAGGGGTCTTTGGGGTGGGACTCTGCTGCTGTCAGCCCCGTCTGTGCTCCTGGCCGTCCGTGGGGGGCACGGCCCTTTTGGGCCTTATGGGGACAGGCTGTCCTGCCCCGTGTCCTGGCTCTGGATGCATTCCCCTTCACCAACTCCAACCCACTGATGCTGGAGACCCCAAGCCACCTCCCTGCTGTGGGGACAGCGGTGTCACCCTGTGCTGGCCCCATAAGCGCTGTGGGGTGTTGCAAGACCCCGGTGCAACTTCTGCATTCAGTGCTGGCTGTGGGCTGGGACAGGCATCGCTTCCTCCAACAGATGGTGCGTGTGACAGCAAGGCACGGGGCGCAGCACCCACATGCACCCACATGCACCCACACGGCACCTGCATGGCTTGGACACTCTGCCATGTCCCACACTGCCACCACGTGCAGCCCTGACCAAGGTCTGTCCTTGTGCCGTGGATCCCGACTCCACCCCACAGCTCCTGGCCTTACCCCAATGGTCCTGACCCACACCCCATAGGTTCTCACTGTCTCCTGTTCTGCTCTTGTCCTGTGGGTCCTGACTCCAACTCGACACATCCTGACCCCACACCATGGCTTTTCATCCTCTCCTACTGGGTGCCACACTTGTCCCATGGATTCTGATTCCACCCCCCGGCTCCTGGCCCCCTCCCATGGCTTCTGACTCCCCCCCATGTGTTTTGGCCCCCTCCCATGGTTCTCATCCTCTACCTTTGGGTTCTGCGCTTGTCCCATGGCTCCTGACCCCATCCCACCGGCCTTGGTCCCATCCTGTGGGTTCTTGCCCCCTCCTATTGGGGGCTGCCTTTATCTCATGGCTCCTGAGCCCATCCCGTGTGTTCCTGCCCTCTCCTGTTGGGTTCCTTCTTGTCCTTTGCATCCTGACCCCATCCCACGAGTCCTGGTCCCACCCCACGGCTCCTGGCCCCCTCCCATGGATTCCCTCCCTCTCCGCTCGGGTGCCGCCCCTCCTGCGGCCCCATGGCGCTCACCAGGGCACCCGCAGCCGAGTGCTTGGAGTCCTTGAAGAAGGTCAGGATTCCGCCCTCCAGCACCGTCCAGGAGGAGCTCCAGTTTTTCCTGGGGTCAGAGGGAGGTGGGGGTCACAGCGGGGGCGGCGCGGCCACCCTTGTCCCCTTTGGAGGGACGCGGGGACGCACTCACCGTATCCGCTTCCCTCTGTCCATCGTCTTGGTCCTGTTGAGCACCCCGGCCTTGTCAAGGCTTTTGAGCTGGAGAGGAAGGCGCAGCGTCAGCTCTGCCCCGGCCTGCAGAGCCCCCCAGATCTGCGTGCTCCCACGTCCCCACGCTGTCCCAGGATGCTCACCTTCTCCTCGCGGAGCCCTGGTGATGCCGGGTTGCCAGCTGGCCATGCGAGCAACCCGCTGTCCTGGCTGGAGCTGCTGCTGGCCCGCTGGTGGAGGCCACCTGCCAGGACCTGGGGACAGACGCCAGCCATCATCCTCATCCTCATCCCCATCCTCATCCTCATCCTCATCCACATCCTCATCCTTATCCTCATCCTCATCCTCATCCTTATCCTTATCCTCATCCTCATCCTCATCCTCATCCTCATCCTCATCCTCATCCTCATCCTTATCCTCATCCTCATCCTCATCCTTATCCTCATCCTCATCCCCATCCTCATCCCCATCCTCATCCTCATCCTCATCCCCATCCTCATCCCCATCCTCATCCTCATCCTCATCCTCATTCCCATCCTCATCCTCATCCCCATCCTCATCCTCATCCTCATCCTCATCCCCATCCTCATCCCCATCCCCATCCTCATCCTCATCCTCATCCCCATCCCCATCCTCATCCCCATCCTCATCCTCATCCTCATCCCCATCCTCATCCTCATCCTCATCCCCATCCTCATCATCATCCTCATCCTCATCCTCATCCTCATCCTCATCCTCATCCCCATCCTCATCCTCATCCTCATCCTCATCCCATCATCCTCATCCCCATCCCCATCCTCATCCTCATCCTCATCCTCATCCCCATCCTCATCCTCATCCTCATCCCCATCCTCATCCTCATCATCCTCATCCTCATCCTCATCCCCATCCTCATCCTCATCCCCATCCTCATCCTCATCCCATCCTCATCCCCATCCCCATCCTCATCCTCATCCTCATCCCCCTCCCCATCCTCATCCTCATCCTCATCCCCATCCCCATCCTCATCCCCATCCTCATCCTCATCCTCATCCCCATCCTCATCCCCATCCTCATCCCCATCCTCATCCTCATCCTCATCCTCCCCATCCTCATCCTCATCCTCATCCCCATCCCCATCCTCATCCCCATCCTCATCCTCATCCTCATCCATCCTCATCCTCATCCCCATCCTCATCCTCATCCTCATCCCCATCCCCATCCTCATCCTCATCCTCATCCTCATCCTCATCCTCATCCTCATCCCCATCCTCATCCCCATCCCCATCCTCATCCTCATCCCCATCCTCATCCTCATCCCCATCCTCATCCTCATCCTCATCCTCATCCCCATCCTCATCCTCATCCCCATCCTCATCCTCATCCTCATCCTCATCCTCATCCCATCCTCATCCTCATCCCCATCCTCATCCTCATCCTCATCCTCATCCCCATCCTCATCCTCATCCCCATCCTCATCCTCATCCTCATCCCCATCCTCATCCTCATCCCCATCCTCATCCTCATCCTCATCCTCATCCTCATCCTCATCCTCATCCCCATCCTCATCCTCATCCCCATCCTCATCCTCATCCTCATCCTCATCCCCATCCTCATCCTCATCCTCATCCCCATCCCCATCCTCATCCCCATCCTCATCCTCATCCTCATCCTCATCCTCATCCTCATCCTCATCCTCATCCTCATCCTCATCCTCATCCTCATCCCCATCCCCATCCTCATCCTCATCCTCATCCTCATCCTCATCCTCATCCTCATCCTCATCCTCATCCTCATCCCCATCCTCATCCTCATCCCCATCCTCATCCTCATCCCCATCCCCATCCTCATCCCCATCCCCATCCTCATCCTCATCCTCATCCCCATCCTCATCCTCATCCTCATCCCCATCCTCATCCCCATCCCCATCCTCATCCTCATCCTCATCCTCATCCTCATCCTCATCCCCATCCCCATCCTCATCCTCATCCCCATCCTCATCCTCATCCCCATCCCCATCCTCATCCCCATCCCCATCCTCATCCCCATCCCCATCCTCATCCCCATCCCCATCCTCATCCTCATCCTCATCCCCATCCTCATCCTCATCCTCATCCTCATCCTCATCCCCATCCCCATCCTCATCCCCATCCCCATCCTCATCCCCATCCTCATCCTCATCCCCATCCTCATCCTCATCCCCATCCCCATCCTCATCCCCATCCCCATCCTCATCCCCATCCTCATCCTCATCCTCATCCTCATCCTCATCCCCATCCCCATCCTCATCCCCATCCCCATCCTCATCCCCATCCTCATCCTCATCCCCATCCCCATCCTCATCCCCATCCCCATCCTCATCCTCATCCTCATCCCCATCCCCATCCTCATCCTCATCCTCATCCTCATCCCCATCCCCATCCTCATCCCCATCCCCATCCTCATCCCCATCCTCATCCTCATCCCCATCCTCATCCTCATCCCCATCCCCATCCTCATCCCCATCCCCATCCTCATCCCCATCCTCATCCTCATCCTCATCCTCATCCTCATCCTCATCCTCATCCTCATCCTCATCCTCATCCTCATCCTCATCCTCATCCTCATCCCCATCCTCATCCCCATCCTCATCCTCATCCTCATCCCCATCCTCATCCCCATCCTCATCCTCATCCCCATCCTCATCCTCATCCCCATCCCCATCCTCATCCCCATCCTCATCCCCATCCTCATCCCCATCCTCATCCCCATCCTCATCCCCATCCTCATCCCCATCCTCATCCTCATCCCCATCCCCATCCTCATCCTCATCCTCATCCCCATCCCCATCCCCATCCTCATCCTCATCCCCGTCCTCATCCTCATCCCCATCCCCATCCTCATCCCCATCCTCATCCCCATCCTCATCCCCATCCTCATCCCCATCCTCATCCCCATCCTCATCCTCATCCCCATCCCCATCCTCATCCCCATCCCCATCCTCATCCTCATCCCCATCCTCATCCTCATCCCCATCCTCATCCCCATCCCCATCCTCATCCTCATCCTCATCCCCATCCTCATCCTCATCCCCATCCTCATCCCCATCCCCATCCCCATCCCCATCCTCATCCCCATCCCCATCCTCATCCTCATCCTCATCCTCATCCTCATCCTCATCCTCATCCTCATCACCTTTCCTATCCCTATCCTTATTCCTGTCCCCATTTTCACCTCTATCCCAATCCCAATCTTCATCTTCATCCCTATCCCCCCCCACATCCCCATCCCAACCCCATCCTCATCTTCATCCCCATCCATTTTCACCCCATCCCATCATCACACCCATCCCTGCCCTTATTGCCGCCCCCATTTTCGTCCCCATCCGTCCTCATCCTCATCCCCATCCCTGTTGCCATCCCCATCCTCATCCTCACCTTCATCCATTTTCACCCCCCCATCCTTACTCCCATTCCCCATTTTCACCCCCAACTCCACCCCATCCTCATTCCGATTCTTGTCCCCATCCTCGCCCCCATCCCTGCTGCCATTCCGCCCTCATCCTTACCTTCATCTTCATCCCCCCCCTTTCCTCCCCCCCCCGACCCCATACCGTCTCGGTGCCGCGTGGCTCCCGCTCCCCAGGGGCTCCGTCCCACCGTGGGGACCCCGCCAGCTCCTGGTGCCACCGGGGGGGCGGGCAGGGAGCCGCCCCCCACCGGAAGGAGCCCGGGGGCGAGCCGTCCTCCTCGGGGCAGGGCTCCAGCTCGTCTGCAGACAGCTCGGGGTAATCGGCCTCGGGGGTGGGCGGCTGCGGGGCGGGCGGGAAGGTGACCAGGAGTTCCCATCCCTGCCCCACTGCGTCCCCGCCGTGTCCCCATCGTGTCCCCATTGCACCTTCATTGCGTCCCCAGTGTCCCCACGTTGTGTCCCCACTGTGTCCTCATCGTGTTCCCACTGTATCCGTATTAAATCCCCACTGTGTCCCCACTGCATCCCCACTGTGTCCCCACTGCATCCCCACTGTGTCCCCACTGCATCCCCGTTGTGTCCCCATTATGCCCCCACTGTGTCCCCCTCACATCCCCACCGTGTCCCCGGTTTGTCCCCATTGTGTTCCCACTGCATCCCTGCTTTGTCCCCATTGCATCCCCCACAACCTCCCCATCGCATCCCCACTGTGTTCCCACTTTGTCCCCATTTTGTCGTGTCCCCCCACTGTGTCGTGTGCCCACCTCATCTCCACTGTGCCCCCATCACATCCCCATTTATTCCTGCTGAGTCCCCATTGTGTCCCCACTGCATCCCCTTTGTGTCCCCATCATGTCCCCACTGTGTCACATCCCCATCCCCACCTCATCTCCACTGTGTCCCCACTGTCCCCCATCGCATCCCCATTGTCTTCCCTCTGAGTCCCCATCGTGTCCCCACTGCATCCCCACTGCATCCCCACTCTTCCCCCCCGTGTCCCCATCGCACCCCTGCTCCCCGCAGTCTCACCCTGTGCTCCATGGGGCTGTAGGGCGCCGTTCCCATCTCCGCATCCCAGTGCCCATCTCCCACGCTCTGTGGGTCCCACAGCCCCTCTCCAGTCGCCGAATCACAGCACAGCGCCGGCCTGCTCGGCTCCTCCTGGTGTCCCCACATGGGGGGGGAGGCGCCGGGACTCACGGCATCGACGTCCAGCTCCAAGGGCCGCTCCCACGTCGTCTCCCCGGTGCTGGGGTTGTAATAAAACAAAAGTCCCGACTCCGAGTCGCGGTGGGTCTCCCAGTCGGCGCTGTGGGGCGGGCAGGGGGGCAGCGGGGCCGGGCCGCATGAGGCGGCTTCCAGCTGCAGCTCCTGCAGGTTGAGGTAGATGTGGGCTGAGGGCTCCTCTGGTTCTCGGCGCTCCTGCGGGGACGTGGGGGCGTCAGCGAGGGGGATGGGGGTCCAGAGAGCAGCACCCCAACATCAGCACCCATCATCAGCACCCAACATCAGCACCTCAACATCAGCACACCAACATCAGCACCCCAACATCAGCACCCAACATCAGCACCCAACATCAGCACCCATCATCAGCACCCAACATCAGCACCCCAACATCAGCACCCAACATCAGCACCCCAACATCAGCACCCAACATCAGCACTCCAACATCAGCACCCTTCATCAGCACCCAACATCAGCACCCAACATCATCACCCATCATCAGCACCCAACATCAGCACCCATCATCAGCACCCCAACATCAGCACCCAACATCAGCACCCATCATCAGCACCCCATCATCAGCACCCAACATCAGCACCTCAACATCAGCACCCCAACATCAGCACCCCAACATCAGCACCCAACATCAGCACCCATCATCAGCACCCCAACATCAGCACCCAACATCAGCACCTCAACATCAGCACCCAACATCAGCACCCCATCATCAGCACCCCAACATCAGCACCCAACATCAGCACCCAACATCAGCACCCCAACATCAGCACCCAAACATCAGCACCCAACATCAGCACCCAACATCAGCACCCAACATCAGCACCCATCATCAGCACCCAACATCAGCACCCCAACATCAGCACCCAACATCAGCACTCCAACATCAGCACCCTTCATCAGCACCCAACATCAGCACCCAACATCATCACCCATCATCAGCACCCAACATCAGCACCCATCATCAGCACCCCAACATCAGCACCCAACATCAGCACCCAACATCAGCACCCAACATCAGCACTCCAACATCAGCACCCAACATCAGCACCCAACATCAGCACCCAACATGAGCACTCCAACATCAGCACCCAACATCAGCACTCCAACATCAGCACCCAACATCAGCACCCAACATCAGCACTCCAACATCAGCACCCCAACATCAGCACCCCAACATCAGCACCCAACATCAGCACCCCAACATCAGCACCCAACATCAGCACCCCAACATCAGCACCCCAACATCAGCACCCAACATCAGCACCCAACATCAGCACCCAACATCAGCACTCCAACATCAGCACCCAACATCAGCACCCAACATCAGCACCCAACATCAGCACCAAACATCAGGACCCATCATCAGCATCCAACATCAGCACCCCAACATCAGCACCCAACATCAGCACCCCAACATCAGCACCCCAACATCAGCACCCAACATCAGCACCCAACATCAGCACCCCAACATCAGCACCCAACATCAGCACCCCAACATCAGCACCCCAACATCAGCACCCATCATCAGCACCCAACATCAGCACCTCAACATCAGCACCCAACATCAGCACCCAACATCAGCACCCCAACATCAGCACCCAACATCAGCACCCAACATCAGCACCCCAACATCAGCACCCAACATCTGCAAACAACATCAGCACCCAACATCAGCACCCAACATCAGCACCCCAACATCAGCACCCCAACATCAGCACCCCAACATCAGCACCCCAACATCAGCACCCAACATCAGCACCCCAACATCAGCACCCCAACATCAGCACCCATCATCAGCACCCAACATCAGCACCTCAACATCAGCACCCAACATCAGCACCCAACATCAGCACCCAACATCAGCACCTCAACATCAGCACCCAACATCAGCACCCCAACATCAGCACCCAACATCTGCAAACAACATCAGCACCCAACATCAGCACCCAACATCAGCACCCCAACATCAGCACCCAACATCAGCACCTCAACATCAGCACTCCAACATCAGCACCCCAACATCAGCACCCCAACATCAGCACCCAACATCAGCACCCCAACATCAGCACCCAACATCAGCACCCCAACATCAGCACCCCAACATCAGCACCCAACATCAGCACCCAACATCAGCACCCAACATCAGCACTCCAACATCAGCACCCAACATCAGCACCCAACATCAGCACCCAACATCAGCACCCAACATCAGCACCTCAACATCAGCACCCAACATCAGCACCCAACATCAGCACCCAACATCAGCACCCAACATCAGCACCCAACATCAGAACCCAACATCAGCACCCAACATCAGCACCCAACATCAGCACCCAACATCAGCACCAATAATCAGAACCCAACATCAGCACCCAACATCAGCACCCAACATCAGCACCAATAATCAGAACCCAACATGAGCACCCAACATCAGCACCCAACATCAGCACCAATAATCAGAACCCAACATCAGCACCCAACATCAGCACCCATCATCAGCACCCATCATCAGCACGCAACATCAGCACCCAACATCAGAACCCCAACATCAGCAACCAACATCAGCACCCATCATCAGCACCCAACATCAGCACCTCAACATCAGCACCCCAACATCAGCACCCAACATCAGCACCCAACATCAGCACCCAACATCAGAACCCAACATCAGCACCCAACATCAGCACCAAACATCAGCACCCCAACATCAGCACCCAACATCAGCACCCAACATCAGCACCAAACATCAGCACCCCAACATCAGCACCCATCATCAGCACCCAACATCAGCACCCCAACATCAGCACCCAACATCAGCACCCCAACATCAGCACCCATCATCAGTACCCAACATCAGCACCCAACATCAGCACCCATCATCAGCACCCAACATCAGCACCCATCATCAGCACCCCAACATCAGCACCCAACATCAGCACCCAACATCAGCACCCAACATCAGCACCCATCATCAGCACCCCAACATCAGCACCCAACATCAGCACCCAACATCAGCACCCCAACATCAGCACCCAACATCAGCACCCAACATCAGCACCCCAACATCAGCACCCATCATCAGCACCCCAACATCAGCACCCAACATCAGCACCCAACATCAGCACCCCAACATCAGCACCCAACATCAGCACCCAACATCAGCACCCATCATCAGCACCCCAACATCAGCACCCCAACATCAGCACCCCAACATCAGCACCCAACATCAGCAGCTCAACATCAGCACCCATCATCAGCACCCAACATCAGCACCCAACATCAGCACCCAACATCAGCACCTCAACATCAGCACCCAACATCAGCACCCAACATCAGCACCCATCATCAGCACCTCAAAATCAGCACCCCAACATCAGCACCTCAACATCAGCACCCCAACATCAGCACCCAACATCAGCACCCCAACATCAGCACCCCAACATCAGCACCCAACATCAGCACCCAACATCAGCACCCCAACATCAGCACCCCAACATCAGCACCCCAACATCAGCACCCCAACATCAGCACCCATCATCAGCACCCAACATCAGCACCTCAACATCAGCACCCCAACATCAGCACCCAACATCAGCACCCAACATCAGCACCCGAACATCAGCACCCGAACATCAGCACCCAACATCAGCACCTCAACATCAGCACCCAACATCAGCACCTCAACATCAGCACCCAACATCAGCACCCCAACATCAGCACCCAACATCAGCACCCAACATCAGCACCCAACATCAGCACCCCAACATCAGCACCCCAACATCAGCACCCATCATCAGCACCCATCATCAGCACCCCAATATCAGCACCTCAACATCTGCACCCAACATCAGCACCCAACATCAGCACCCCAACATCAGCACCCCAACATCAGCACCCAACATCAGCACCCAACATCAGCACCCAACATCAGCACCCCAACATCAGCACCCAACATCAGCACCCATCATCAGCACCCCAACATCAGCACCTCAGCATCAGCACCCCAACATCAGCACCCATCATCAGCACCCAACATCAGCACCCAACATCAGCACCTCAACATCAGCACCCAACATCAGCACCTCAACATCAGCACCTCAACATCAGCACCCAACATCAGCACCCAACATCAGCACCTCAACATCAGCACCCAACATCAGCACCCAACATCAGCACCCAACATCAGCACCCATCATCAGCACCCATCATCAGCACCCCAACATCAGCACCCATCATCAGCACCCAACATCAGCACCCAACATCAGCACCTCAACATCAGCACCCCAACATCAGCACCCAACATCAGCACCCAACATCAGCACCTCAACATCAGCACCCAACATCAGCACCCAACATCAGCACCCCAACATCAGCACCCATCATCAGCACCCATCATCAGCACCCAACATCAGCACCCCAACATCAGCACCCAACATCAGCACCTCAACATCAGCACCCAAACTCATCAGCACCCAACGCAGACCCCTAACAAACCCCACTCCTGCACCCCGATTTCTGCACCCCAGTGTCTGCATTCCAGCTCAGCACCCCAACATCTGCACCCATCATTGGCCCCCCAACATCTCCCTCCTGCTCCTGACCCCCAAACATCAGCACCCAAAGGTCTGCACCCCAACAAACATCTGGTCCCATGTCTGCACCCCAATATCTGCACCCATCACATCGGCACCCCTTTCTGTGCCCCATCGCCGGCCCCCCCAACATCAGCACCCCAACATCGGCCCCTCAGCATCGCCCCCCATATCTGTGCCCCACGAGCTGCTCCCTAAAGTTTGCATCCAACCCATCTGCCTCAACCCCAGCACCCCAAACTCTGCCCCCCAACATCACCCCCCCAATATCTGCACCCCACCATCGACGCCCATCTCACTGGCATCCCATATGAATCCCAAATCTGCCCCCCGGCAAATTCCTGGCCCCACATCTGCACCCCAACATCTGCATCCCACCGTTGGCCCCCCAGCATCAGCCCCCCCAAATTGGCCCCCAATATCTTCACCCCAACCTCAGCATCCCAATATTGGCCCCCCCAAATCCCAACGCTGGAACCCCAATATTGGCCCCCCAACATCTGCATCCCACCATCAGCCTCCAACTCATCAGCGCCCCATACAGCCCCCCATAAACGTCTGGCCCCACATCTGCCCCCCAACATCCCTTTATGCTCCCCAATATCGGCCCCCCAATATCCGCATCCATCTCATCCAGCCCCAACAGCCGACCCACCCCATAGGAACCCCAACGCCTGCCCCCCAAATCTGCCCCCAACGCCTGCACTTTTGGAGCACTTTTGGAGCACTTTGGGATTCCTGGGACTTTGGGGTCACTTTGGGATCCCACCTCATCGACAACCCAACATCTGACTCCCCCCGGCCCCCTGCTCCCCCCTCGCAGCCCCCCCCGCCCTCCACTTCCTGCACCCCCAGCTCCCCACTCTGCATCCATCTGAGGCTGACGGCGCCGCCACCGCACCCCAAAATAAACGCCCATTTCCGCCCAGACGTGTGGGGCTGCCTATGGGGCTGCTTATGGGGCTGCCTATGGGGCTGCTTATGGGGCTGCCTATGGGGCTGCCTATGGGGCCGACCCACCCTGAGCCCCACACCGAGGATGGGACCCCTGGCTCCGTCCCCGCGCTCCGCGCACCCCAACTTTCGCCTCTTCCCCATTTTGCCCTGTTGCATCCGACAGCCTTCGAAGCTGCCCCACAGCTTCCTGTCCCCGCGTCCCCACGGGTGACAACACCCCACCGGGGGCAGAGGGGCCCCCCGCCCTCCTCCCGGCAGGGACACATCCCCATAGGGTGCGTGACCCCAAGCAGGAAGAGGCAGCCAACCCACAGTTACCCTTTGCTCTCCGCCTTTACGACCTGCGACGGCAATGGGGACAAAGTCTCCTCGCCGTGGCCCCACCGCCCCACGCTGCCCCACGCCGCCCCATAGCGAGCTGCCCCCATCCCCTGCCCACCCCATACCTCGCCCCGGTGCAGCGGCCGCCACTCACGGCTGTGGGATCGCTGCAGCATCCCGGCGCTTTGGGGTCGGGATGCTCCAATGGGATCCGTGGGGTTGGGGTGTCCCAGCGGGGACGCTGCGCTATGGGGAGCTCTATGGGGTCGGGGCGCTGGGTGGCCCCGCTGTGGCTCTGGGCGCGCCGTGTGCTTCCTGTTGGTGTTATGGGGCGGAAGAGCAGCGCTCCCCAGATGCGGAATTGCCTCCTGGGAGGGCTGTGGGGCGGGCAGAAGGGCTGCGCATGTGGGGCTGAGGCTGCGAAATGTCCCATAAGGGTTTCTCCCACCTGGGCGATGTCACCGGCCCGGCAGCGCTTGGGAAAGGCGAGGAATGCGGGGGGACGGCAACACCCCGCAGCTCTGCCCCATAGCACAGCGCAGCCCTACGGCACGGGGTGCGCAGCAGAAAAAACCCCACTGGCGAATCCCGAGGCGATGGGGCTGGGAGCGCGGGGCTGAGCCCAGGGACGCATGAATGGTGGTGTGGGGCTGAGATCGGGATTGGGGTCGGCGTTGGGTTTAGGGCTGGCATTGGGGTCCTGGTGCTGGCACGTGTCCCCCCCCCTTTAAGCGCAAGGTGATCCCAAAGAGGCGCTGGGCCGTGGGGAGGACGCGAGACCCCGCGGTGCTGCTGTGCCCCACAGGTGGGTCGACCCCGCTGTCGGACGCCCCATAGAGAACGGGATCAGGGAGCAGCCCCTCAGCCACCCCACGTAAGGGACCCCCCAGAAGGGCCCCTCCTTACCTACAGGTGTGGGTGAGCTCTGTGGGGTGGCACCCCCCGCTCCCCTCCCTCCCCAGGTGACACCCGCCCTACAAGGGAGGAGCTGCTGCGGTTCCCTGTTAACCCTTTTCTGCCTCTTTTTGCCCCATAACAGCGCCGGGATGGAGGGACCCCGACGGCCCCATTCTGCAGCGCCACAGGGGGATGAACACAGCGGCCGGCCCCACAGCCTGCCCCACTGCGCGACACTGCGGGGCGGCCCTGGGAGCCCCCCTGTGCCATGTGGGAGACGTCGGGATGATGGCAGTGAGGGACAGCACCGATCCTACAGCCCCACATCCTGCACACAGTGGGTGGCACTGCCTGTCCCCGCGTCCCCTCTTGGCACATCCGACCCCAAAATGTGGGGAGTCCCCGTCCCCATGTCCCCCTGTGCCCCCTGGGGATGGAGAGACGAAAAAGTGAAAGGGATGGGGACACAGAAACCCCAAAGGGATGGAGACACAAAAACCCCAAAGGGATGGGGACTGCAGGCCCTGGGGAGCCCTGTCCCTGTCCCACCCCATGGGATGGGGAACCGAAACCCACAGGATGGGGACACTGAACCTTGAGGACCCCCATCCCTGTCCCAGTGCCACCCTATGGGATGGGGACACCAGACCCTGGGGAGCCGCGTCCCCGTCCCATTCCACCCCCAGGCGAGGGGTACTGAAGACGCTCTGCCCCACGGAGCACCGGTCGCTGATGCCCCACACGAAGCCCAGTGTGGGGACACCTATGGGGTGTCGCATACCTGCACCTCCCGCTGTCTCCTGGAGCTCTCGCCGGGGCTGGGCTCCACTCGTAACGTGGGGAACCCATAGGATCCCACCTCGTCGGGGTACAGCGGCTGCGGGGCGGCCATGGGGGGCAGCTCCTTGACGTACTGAGCGGGGACGTAGAAGGGCCGCGCATCGCCGCTCCTCCGGACGTGCCACCAGTGCTCGTTGGTGCGCCCCAAAAGCACGTAGCGCTCATTGGGGTGGATGGAGACCACGGTGCCGTCCTTGGTGCGGTACTCAAAGCCGTATTCCACCAAGACGTAGACCTCCTCCGCCTCCATGGCGGCCCTATAGGGCACAGCGCCCCGTCCCGGCTCGCCCCGCGTTGGGGCCCCGTGGCCCAACCTATTTCCTCCTCCCCAGGAGGGAGGGATGGGGCGATGGCGGCCGACGGGATGCGGCCGGTTCCTGCGGCAGGAAGGGCCCAACCCAGCGGCCTCGGGGTCTGCGGGGAGGGGGCAGCCGGCCGTGGGGTCCTCGGTGCCGGTTCCGACCCTCTTGGTGCCCCATCACGGCTCCGGCTGTGGGGTGGAGCTGTGGGGCGGGGGACATCGATTGCGGGGTTTTCCCAGCGGGGTTTGTTTGCTTGTGGGTCCCTCGGCCTGCGGCTCTTGGGGTCTGCGGGACGGCGGATGTCGATCGCGAGGCTCCCCGGTGGGGTTTCCCCCCTTGGCGGGGGGTGATCACAGCCCCAGATGTGGGGTGGCGCTGTGGGGGGTGGGGGGAACATTGATCCCTAAGGTGCTCAATGGGGTTTGTTCCTTGCAGAGGTGCCAAAACGGCTCCAGGAACGGGGTGGTGCTGTGGGGTGGGCAGGAGCACCCAGCCCCACTGCTGCGATGGGAGAGGTGGGGGCACGCAGGCGCCGTGGGGCCACTCATCACCGAGGTCCCCAGTGGGGTTTTGTCCTCTCCTGGCGTCCCATCGCGGGGTGGTGCTGTGGGGCAGAGGACACCGATCCCGGGGGGCTGCAGTGGGGTCGGCCCTCTCCTGGGGTCCCATAGGGCTGCGGGCGGAGCTGTGGGGTGGCTGGATGGAGGCACCCCCACCCCACTGCTGGGGGAGGAGGGGGAGCGACATCGGCCCAAGGGGCTCCAATGGGGTTTGTCCCATCGTGGCCCCAAGAGTGGGGTGGTGGGCACCGATCCCGGGGGTCTCCAGTGGGGTTTGTCCCCTCCAGGGCTGGGTCCTGTTATGGTCCCAAGCGTGGGGTGACGCTATGGGGGAGATGGGGTCGCCCTCAGACCCACTGCTGGAGGGTTGGGGGGGAAGGCAGCCAAGGGTTCGTGGCACTGATCCTGGGGGTCCCCAGTGGGGTTTGTCCCCTGGTGGGATCCCATCACATCCTCCGGCGTGGAGTGGATCTATGGGGCGGGTGGGGGGACCCGCAGTCCCACTGCTGGGGAAGGAAAGGGGTTGGGGAAAGGCAGGCTGGAAGGGTGGGGGGCACTGAGCCCGGGGTCCCCAGTGGCGTCTGACCCTTCGTGGGGTCCCAAAAGGGTGCAGTGTGTGGGGTGGAGCTGTGGGGTGGGCGCCGACCCCCCTGCGAGTCGGGGAGGGGCGGCCGCAGAGAAAAACATCCAACAAACCTCCATCGTTTTCACAGTGACAGGAAAATAAAACTCTCTTTGCGGCCCCCGAAGGGCCGGGGGTTAAAAGGGAGGCAGAGCAGCTCTGCCCCCCAAGGCACGACGGCACCACGGCACCTCCAAAAAACCCCAAACCCACAAACGCCCCGAGCTCAGCCGTCGCACAGCCCTCGAGTCCGGGCCCCACTGACAGCAGCTGGGCCCCACGGCCGCCCCACTGCGCAGCCTGCGAGCCCCCCAGTGCCACCGGGGGGACGTTGGGACGATGGCAGCGGGGGACGGCAGGGATCCCAGTGGGTGGCATTGCACAGCCTGCGTCCCCTTGGCACATCTGACCCCAAAATGGGGGGAGTCCCTGCTCCCACGTCTCCCTGTGCCCCTCTGGGATGGAGAGACCAAAACCCCAAAGGGGGGGGGGGGCCAAAGAAACCCCAAAGGAGGGGGGACTGCAGGCCCTGGGGAGCCCCGTCCCCATATCCCCCAGGGATGGGGACACCAAAACCCGCCCAGCGCCGCCGCCTCCCCATCAGCGGGGTGGTGGCAGGGGATGGCTGCAGCCCCACAGCCCCGGCTCAGCCCCACAGCCCCCCCTGCTCATCCATCCCCCATTGGCTGTGGGGTCCTTTGGGTGCAGGCCCAGCCCCCAGTGCCACGCGCTGCCCGACAGCTCCTGGGCCGACGGCCAGTTGTGCACCGCGTGCTTTTGGGGCATCATCTGCCACCGCCTCTGGGATGGCTGCTGGCTCTACGGCATCGGCCCCGCGCCGCCTTCCTCCTCCTCCTCCTCCTCCTCCTCCTGCTGTTCCTGTCGGTAGCGCCGCCGCCGCTCGCAGCGCGGGCAGGCAGTGCTGCTGTCGAAGCATTCCCGATGGAAAACAGCTTTGCAGTCTTTGCATCTGGGAAACAAAACAAAACAAAAGAACACAGCGTGGGTTGGGCGCCCGCAGGGCTGGGTGGCTCCTCAGCCCCCTTTCCAGAGCGACCCCCCCAGCCCGGGCTGCCCCAGACCCCAACACAACGCCACAACGCCAGGAGGGCGAGCAGCCCGACAGCAGCGCTGCTGGCATCGCAGCCGCTCCGCAGGCCGCTGGCGAAGCCAACCTGGAGGTGGAATCCAGCTGGAAGGGGAAGATGATGTCGCTGCTGCTGCACATCTGGCAGATGAAGCCCCGCTGCGTGCACAGCTCACAGCTGTAGACGTGGTGCGACGCAAACTGGATCAGCGAGAGCAGGAAGGGCTCGAAGGCGCCGTCGGAGAGCTGCAGAGCACAGCTGGGCTCGCGACTCGCAGACAAAACGCCCCGCAGCCCCGTGTGGCCGCGTGGGGCCCAGGGCCGCGGTGGGCGGCTGCCACAGGGGCCAGCGATGTCGGCTGCAGGACGCACTGAGTGCTACTGGGGCCCAGCTCTGGAGCTGCAGCAGGGCTGGGTCGCGTGGGGGTGAAATGATTCCCCGGAGCTCCTGGAGCACGAGGTCCCTCCAACCCATCCCGTCTCAGCCCAACCCAATCCCACCCAAATCCCCCTCAACTCCACCCATCCCACTCCCATCCCAACCCCACTCATCCCATCCCCATCCCATCCCAACTAATCCCATCCTCACACCACTCAACCCACCCCAATCCAATCCGCCCCAACCCCATCCCACCTCAACACCATCCCAAAAAGTCCCAACCCAACCCCATCCCATCCCACCACCCATCCCAACCCAATCCCATCTCATCCCATTCCCACTCATCCCACTCCATCCCAACCCATCCCAATCCAACCCAACCTCATTCAACTCCATCCATCCCATCCCACCCCAACCCACCCCAACCAATCCCAACCCAACCCCATCCAACATCCCATCCCATTCCAACGCCACTCCATCTACCCCACTCCAATCCAACCCAACTCCATCCATCCCATCCCAACCCCAACCCACCTCAAACCAACCCCACCCCGACCCACTTTAATCCCAGCCAAACCAACCCCGTCCCACCCCCTTCCCAACCCATCCCAACCCACCCCATCCCATTTCAACTCACCCCATCCCACTCCAATCCAACCCCTCAACTCCACCCCCATCTCCATCTCATCCCAACCCCATCCCACCTCAACCCAATCCCGCCCCATCCTACCCCCTTCCCAACCCCACCCCATCCCATTTCAACTCACCCCATCCCATCCATTCCCACCCCACCCCACTCCCCCCCACCCCCATGATTTCAGCCCCTAAGCTGCGGTGACGACAGGAAGCCAAGCGAAGAGGAGCGGAGCGCAGTGAGACGCGCTGCTGGCGGAGGCCCCACGGGACGCAGCCCCTCCACCGAAGCACCTCCAGCACGGGCTGCTCACCTGCTGCAGGTCAGCCACGCTGTACTTGTGGGGGCACTCGAGGAGGTGGTTCCTGTGATCCAGGCTGCAAATAAGCACAGAGAGGAGCTCGGTGGGAGCTTCCCACGTCTTGGAGGGGCGAGGAGGAGCCCAGGGGATGAAGGCTCTGGGTGACTGCAGTCCTGACACGGCGCCAAGCGACGCATCGCAGATCCTGCCATTGAAAACTGTTTGGGAGCATTTCAAAAGAGGGAAAAGCAATCTCCCATCTGTTTGCCCAGGTGTTTCCTGTCCAGCCCCGGCCAGGAAAGCGCTTCCTGCGGCCCATCTCCACGCGCCGCCCCATGGACACACGGGGAGCTTCCTGCAGCAGATGGCAGGGAGGGGAAACCAGCCCGCGTCCCATGGAACGGCTGCCAGCGCTCAGAAACGGCGCGGTTGGGTGGGGGCAGCACAGGGGGCACAGCTTCCAACTGGAAGGGGAAACTGGGCTCGGATGTGGGGAGGGAGTCCTACGGTTCTGTGACCTGCGAGGTCTCTTCAAACCCTGTGCCCTACCTCCATGGCTCCGTGATCTCCGAGTCCCTTCCAACCCCACGATTCCATGGCTCTACCACCTTTAAGGTCCTTTCCAACCCAACCGTGCCACAACCCCATAATCCTGCAATCTTTAAGCTCCCTTCCGATCCAACCGTGCTGCGATTCCGTAATTCTGCAACCCCTGAGCTCCCTTTCAACCCCAGCACGGCAGCAACGGCGACAGACGGAGCAAAGGTGCCACCCAGCAGAAGGCAGCCGGGCTGCTCACCGTTTGCTCAGCTCCTTCAGGGCCCCGCTGCGGCACACGCTCAGGTAATCCCCCAACAGCTTCAGCTGCTCCCGGCTCCGCCGCACGCGCCCCATCCTCTCCACGTGGTCGTAGAGGCTCTCGTTGACCAACTTGAGATCGATCAGCGGCTGCTTACGGATCTGGGTGAGGAACTTCAGCGCCTGGCGGCAAATCTACGGCAGAGCGAGGGGGACGGTCACCCAGAGGGCCCTGCAGGGCCGCCCCCACACCGGCCCCATCCTCCTCACCCCTCTCTTGCTCAGGTCCCAGTTGTGGATGAGGCGTGAGGGGATGAGCGCCTCGTCGTCCCGGTGGCAGCTGTCGCAGTAGTAGAGGCCGGAGTAGGCACAGAGCTTGGGTTTGGCGAAGGAGAAGCCGATCTGCCTGGAGCAGCCTTTGGGGAACAGAGAACAGGAAGTCAGAGGGGAGCTGGGGGGGGATGTGGGGTGAGACGTGGGGCAGGAAAACCTGGGAAGGGGGTGGACATGGGAAGCACGTTCCAGTCGGTCAGAGCAGGACGGAGCAACCCTGTGCACCAGGCATCGCGACCATTCCTGAGCCCATCTCGGCTGTAACCCATAAATCGTTACGATGGCCTTTATTTAGATGACACCAATCCAATCCTACTCAGCCCAACCCAATCATTCCATGGTTCTATGATTCTGAAGGTCTCTCCCAACCCAACCCTACTCAACACAACCCAACCATTCCATCATTCTGTGCTCCTTAAGGTCCCTTCCAACCCAACCAGGCCGTGATTCCACGGTTCTGTGATCTTTGAGGCCCCTTCAACACAGCCATGCTGTGATTCCATGGCTCCACAACTCTTCAGGTCCTTTCCAACCCAACCCTACTTCACCCAACCCAACGATTCCACGGTTCTTCGATCTTTGAGGTCCCTTCCAACTATTTTTAATGGGTTCCCTTCTCCAAAACACCCAACACGGCGTCGGTGGGTCTGTGTCTGCCCCAGGAAGAGCCAAGGCCACCCCATCACCCCCATCCACTTCTTTGCAATCTGGAGTGCGCTGCCAACATTTTATGGAGCTCGGGTGTTGAATATCAAACAAAGAAGCCTATATTTCTTGTTCTACCCTGGCACACTGGGAAACCATTGCTGTCCTAACGGGCGTCAGGGCTGGAAGGCAGCAGACACCTAAGGAAAAGCAAAGCAAAGAAACAGGGAAGGAAGACGGGTCTGCTCAACTTGCTGCTTCCCTTTGTTGGTAGGTGGAAGGACACAGCCTGGGGGGAAGGCAGGGACCGAAAAATGGAAAATATGGAAAAAAAGATTAAGGTAGAACCTGCTGGAGGGGATGAGAAACACGAGTGAAGCAAGAGAAAAGGTGAAGCTTAATTATGTCAGCGAGGTACAGAACAAATTACAGCTCGCAGAGGTCAGTGGGTGTTGTGCTGGTAACCCAGGAGGCGTTGCTGGAAGGTCGCACGAAGCAGCCGGTCACACCCAGAGCTGCCTTACTGGAAAAACTGCCCTGCTCCACGGGTTTGCCTTGAGCCAGTCTTCCCTGTGGGCTGGGGGCACTGGACGCCCTCGATGGGGGTCCCTCAGCTCCACATGAGGTTGCTTAGAGCCAATCTTTTGCCTAAACCGCAAATCTCCTGGGCAGCAACCCAGCAGAGCGCGGTTTGATGCGCTGGGTGGGATGGGGACGGAGATTGGGGTGCTGGGGGATTCTCCCTGTGCCAAAGACACCACAAAATTTGGGGGTCGAAGCCCAGCAGAGGGGCTACGCCACAGCCTCGTTAACCTGAACGAACTCGACGCAGAGCTGGGTTCCTCACTGCAAACCGGCCCCATCTACCTGCGCAGATGAAGCTCTGCGAGTCCAACCCCTTCTCCACGGGGATGGCCACCAGGTACTGCAACAAGAAGCCGTTCTCCTTCACCATGCTCTTCAGCAGCACCTGGGAATGGCCGTCCAAGCTGCCCCCCAGGGTCAGTGCCTCCTCGGCTGCCTCCAGGTAGGAGCCCAGCACCGCTCGCACCAGCTCCCTCCACGCCGCGGCCTCCTGCGCGCTCTCGGCCTGCAGCTTCAGCACAGCTTTGGAGGTGATCACCTTGAAGAAGGAGGGCCCCCCCAGGCTGGTGTCGGGGAGGATGTCCTGGATCGTCTCTATGCCGTAACTGTTGCTTAAGATTTTGTCGTTGTTCCGCACTTTAAAGCACTTCAAGGTTTCCAACGAGAGGGAGAAGACAAAAGGGACCCACGTCTTATCTACGTCCGCGTACAGAACGGACTCTTTGATGGCATCCAGCTCAGGTTTGTGGGATAAAGTCCAGTCCAAGCCATTCCCAGGCGCTTCACACTGGAGCGGAGCTGCGGGCTCGCCGCCATCCCCCCCGTCCTCAGGGCACGCCAGCGTCTCCCACTCCTCCTCCTCCAGCTGCGGGCGGCACTTGCGCAGCGCCTCGCGGATCCGATCCAGCCAGTCCTCAGCCTCATCCCGGGAAGGAGCCCTCAAGCACAGCTTTTTCCCCAGGAACACCAGCTCGAAGCGTCCATCCGGATGCGTCAGCGCCAGCGACTCGCAGCGCAGCAGGGAGAAGCTCTCCACGCAGCTGCGATCCTCGTGGTCCAGGAAGAGTCGCAGCTCCAGCGGCGACAGCTCGCAGAAGAACTCCTTCCAGATGCCCATGGCTCCGCGCCGCTCCAGGCTGCCCAGCTTCAGCAGGCCCCGGAAAGGGTTGGAGAGACCTTGGGGGAAAAGGGGACGGCTCAGCGGGACCCCAGGTGGGGACGGAGGAGAACCAGGAGGCGGCTCACAGCGTGCAAGCACAGGCACCGAGGCTTCGGTGGAGCAGGGGATGGGGATCCTGATGGGAGATGGGAAGGGGATCCTGGTGGAATACGGGATGGGGAACAGATCCCAGTGGAATGGGAGACGGGGAGCAGGCCCTGGTGGAATATGGGATGGGGATCCCAGTGGAATATAGGATAGGGATCCTGGTGGAATATGGAAGGGGATCCCAGTGGATTAAGGGGAGCGCAGGAGTTTGCAGGACCCACTTGCTGGGCCCCGCCATGCTCCATATGCTCTTGGTATGGAGGCTAAGGATGAGAGGGAGGGTGTAAAGCAAATCTGTGCCGCATCCCGTTCCCTCTCGTGCCCCAGCAGTGCCCATGGGCTCAGCAGGGCCACAGGAGCACCACCTGTGGGGCTTTCAGCACTGCCAGCACCCAGCGATGTGCTGACCCCAAATGGGGACAGCTCTGATTCCCCACTGGTCCCACAGCGGGGCTCACGCACCCATCTGCCGGCGATGCACGACACTGAAACCCTTCTGCTCTCGCTCGGGGGACAGCCTGGGGCCCTGCGAGGACGGTGGGGACGACCTTTCCAAATCCAAAGCACTGAGCAGCCCTGAGGTCAGGCCCTCCCCGGCCCCATCTGGCACAAAGCCGTTGGCGTCAGCTGGGATTTCATCGCTCTCTCCTGCTGAAGGTCTGTAGAAATCGTCTTCCGAAATCCAGCTCTTCCTATTCTGTTACAAGAAAGATGCGACAGAAACCAACATCCATCAACCAACTCAAACACACACATCCACCGTGAGCCTGCGCACACAGCGCACAGCTTGGGCACATCCAGGCTGTGTCTGCAGAGCAGGGACACGAGAGGGGGGCACGATTTGGTGGGCATGGGGGCAAGGACCTGGGTGGATGGTTGGACTTGGAGATGTTGGAGGTCTTCTCCAGCCTGAATGATTCTACACGTGGGCACAGTTGGACGGGTTGGGGCTGGACTTGGAGATCTCGGAAGCCTTTTCCAACCTTAACGCCTCAATGAATGAGCGTGGTGGGATGGGTGCACCTCCAAGATCCCCAAGTCCAACCCCAACCTGTCCCTACCACAGAATCATTCAGGTTGGAAAAGGCCTCCAAGATCACCAAATCCAACCGCCTCTTCCATCCTGGATGATTCTCCAAGTGGGCACGGTGGGGACGCGCTGCGCTTGGACTTGGGGATCTCGGAGTCTTTTCCAACCTTCACAGTTCTGTGGTTCTGTTTGGGGACGTGGTTTAGCAGCTTGGTGGGGATGGGCTGATGGTTGGATATTCGAGGTCTTTTCCAATCTTACTGACTCTATGATTCCATCTTCCTGATAAGCCCGGCTCTCCTCTCCACACCACTTTCTGGTTTTGCCCTCCAACTGCTGAGGGGCTCCGCAGCGAAGGAGTGGTGGGATGTGAAAGCACACAAACACCCTCGGGTTGATTCTCTCCCCCTAAAGCACAGAGGGGCTCAGGAGGAGGAGTGCAGCCCTGCAGCACCCAAGTGCAATAACGTGGGCTCCCACCAGGGCCGACCCTTCTTTGCCTGCCAAGAGCATTTTATCCCAACCACAGACAAAACCACGGTGGGAATCGGCAGCGAAGAGCGGGAGGTGTGGGAAGGCCCCGTTTACCCCGGGCTGAGGAATGCAGGTTGCTCTGTGAGTCATGTCAGAGCAGGAGGGGGTTTCCTGTTGACACCGTATGTTATCCATAGATTAGTCAGGCTGGCCCCGAGCCAGGAGGAAGTGGAGGAGACAGGAGAGCTGGGAATGAGCCAAAGGAACCCAAGGGGGTGGGAAGTGCACCCCCAGCACGTGGGCACTCATGGCACTGCTCAGACCCACGGTGGCTCAGTGGGATCTGGGATGCTGGGAATGGATTTGGGCATTATTTACACCACAAGTGCTGCTGGCAGCTCTGGGGATGAGTGCTTCGAGCCCAGCAACGCCGCCACCCACTTCACCACTCTTCCCCATTCGATCAGGAAGGACACGAGGATCCTGTGCACTGTGAGCTGCGACACCTACCGGGCAGCCCGGCAGCGGGGAGCAGAGGAATTTGGCAGCAGGGCTGCGCGCCACGCGGCCTTCCTTCCCCCCATCCCCGTGCTGTGGGGTCGGGATGCTGTCCTCCTCCTGCGGAGCGCTGCAGGCCTCGGCTGGTGGTGGGGAAGGCGGCGGGTGGGCGTCCTCGGGGGGTGGTGGGGAGCAGCCCAGCACAGCAGGGATCGGCCGCTCCGATGGGGCACCAAGGCTCGGCTCAGCTCTCCTGAACTCGGAGAGCACCCTTCGAAGAGAAGCAGCATTGAGCATCGCTCTGCTGGAGGCACGTCAAGCAGAAAGAGGAGCGTGCAACCTCAGGGCAAAGACCTGCAAAGGATGCCTTTCCTAACGACTGAGGGGATTTTAATGAGCTAACAGGGTGAGCTAATGGGTCCCAGCTGCTGCCAAACAGCCGCGCTCTCGACAGCAGTTTGCAGGCGTTCCCATGGCCCCAGCTGAGCACAGCCCGCTCAGACCAACCCGGGGTCAGGCTGAGAACTGAGTCACGGGTTCTGCACCAGGATTATCGTCCCTGCCCAGCGCCACGAGCAGGTGACAGCGCTGTGAGCAACGGGAAGAGCAGAGCTCTAAGCCATGGGAAACAGCTGAGCAATTAGCAGCATCAGCTTCAAGTGCTCCAAAGCTCCTAATGAGCCTGGGCTGAGCTCCGGCCAAAACACGCTTAAAGAAACGGTCGCGCTGCTGCTTTTTGCCTTTCAGGCTGCTCCCAAGAGGAAAACTCATTAAACAGAGAGCGCCCGCAGGGAGAAAATGAGAGGTGAGGAGGGGGACTCACTCTTGCAGCGACCTGTCCAGGTCCTCGGCCGTGGCCGTGCCCACGTCGGAGTCGCAGGACAGCGGCTCATCGCCGCGCTCGGGGCTGCGGGCGCAGTGGGGCTGCACGCCGTCAGAGCCCAGGCTGGAGGACAGCTGCGACGAACCCGTGGTGTTCAGGCTCAGCGAGGACGACGTCCGCTTGGGTTTGTCGCCCGCTTTGCCGATGGGCAGCGCTGAGGGCTGGATTTCAATCTCATCGGAGCCTGAAGATTGGGAGATGGAGCCCAGGGATGCTTTTCTCTGAGGTTCGGCCGTCGGGGGCTCCAGCAGCTCGGCTGCAGGGCACAGCCCCGAGAGGGACAGCGGGGTGACGGTCCACTCGTTGAGCACTGCTGACTTGTAGGACAGCTGGAAGGTGAGGGACGACAGGCCCTGCAGGTAGCTCAGGAGGAACTCGCACTCCTCGGCGTCCAGGAGCAGCGCTGCGGGTTGGTAGAACTCGGGCAGGCGGGAGCGCTCGCGCAGCAGCAGCTTCAGGTAGCACTCCAGCAATCCGTCGTTCAGAGCCAGCCTCAGCCAGGCCCGGCAGCGGCCCACGTCCGTGGTGATGAAAAGGAGCTGTTCCAGCTCTGAGATGATGTTCCTGGGGGGAAGGGGAGAGAGAAAAACAGAGCGGGATGTGAGGGATGCGCTCCCACAGCGCTGCGTGACGGGGGCTGAGAGGCCGTGGTTTCCTATGGGCAAACATCAGCTCCTGAACTCCCCCTACACCAAACACATCAGGTTCAGCCACTCCTCAGGCCTCCTTCTGGCTGCAGGCATCTTCCCTGCTCCCGTGTGGGGAAGGGGGTGAAAAACCCATTGGTGTCACCCATCGGGGTCCACCGTGCATCTGATGCCACAGTAAGGCAGAAGGAACACAGAAACGCTGCGTGCTCCAACCACCCTCACTGCCCTCATTTCGGCTGCTTTTTCCCCAAATCCTGCCTGCCCCCAGCTCACTGCTGGGAAAAAGAGAACAGGTTTGCTGTCTTTGAGGGGCAGAGGAGAAACACCTTGGGAGGGCACAAAGCCACCCTGCACAGCACCGAAGCGCTCTCATCATCCGCTCCGTATTTGCTCATCAGCAGCTGATGGGGCCAGGGGGATCTCAGACCTCTCTGTATGCGATGCTGTTTGGGGGGGGACACCCCCAGGTGCACCACGCTCTCCTACGCACACCTTTCAGGACCCAACGCCCTCTGAGGTCGCACGGCTGGAGCCGAAGGGCGCAGAGCACAGGCAGCTCCCTGCCAGCCACCCGACCTCTCAGAGGGCACAGAAACGAGCGTGGCAACGCACCGGTGCGTGATGCTCTTCAGCAGGGCCCAGAAGACGGGCTGGGGGAGCAGCAGCCGGCCGCCTGCTTTCCTCCCTTTGCCCCCTGTCTCTGTCCTGATGTGCTTTGCCTTCAGCCCGTGCACAAAGACGGCCTCCAGGGCGCTGCACAGGGTGTTGGCGTTCCCGTCATCGCTGGTCACCACGGCGTCCGAGGAGACGTACTGCTTCTGCAGGGCCTTGATGGAGCTCACCAGCTGCTTCTTGATCAGCTGCGGCACGGGAGGCGCAGGGTTAGATTGTAGGGTCAGGAAAAAGGGCAGCGATGGGGACACCGAGCTGCAAGCACCTGGGATGCTGAGCTGCAAGCTAAGGGACACCGGGCTGCAAGCAATCAGGATGCTGGGCTGCAAGATTGGGGGACACTGGGCTGTAAGCAACTGGGAAGCTGAGCTTCGAGCAACTGGGACACTGGGCTGCAAACAACCAGGAAGCTGAGCTGCAATCTACGGCGGTTCTGGACTGCAAGCAACTGGGATATAGGGCTGCGAGATATGGGGAAGCCAAGCTGCAAGCAATGGGGGTGCTGGGCTGAAGGTCTGGGGATGCTGAGCTGCAAGCAACTGGGATGCAGGGCTGCAAGCTACAGAGATGCCAAGCTGCCAGCAACTGGGATGCAGGGCTGCAAGCTACAGGGATGCCAAGCTGCCACGCTCATCCAGAGGCTCTGTGCAGCTCCTGCCATCCGTGTGCCCTGCAGGTGCTGCTGGTGAGCAGTGCAGCTGACCCAGTCACGCTGGGGACTCGCTCTCTTGGCATCAGAGTCCACCTGTGTTTTGTAAATGAGCCACGGATGCCGAGTGCCCTTCCCACAGCTCAGGGTTTGGGGCTCATTGGGTTTCTGGGGTTTTAGAGTGCGCAGCAAAGCCTTTCCCAGCTGAATGTTTTCTTGCACTGAATCCTCAGCCCTGAATGTTTTGCCAGCACCCAAGCGAGGTTTGCAGCCGTAGCTGAAGGCCACGTGCCCAAACCCTGCAGCGCAGCCCCGTGCTCCCCAGCTGCCCCTGATCTGTCAGCCTTAATGCAGTCACAGAGTGCAAACAAAGCCGCGTGCCACGCGCTGCAGCAGGGCAGCGAGGCGCACACAGCGCTGCCGCACCCCCAGCAGTGGGGCTGAGCACCGTGCCCACATCCTGCGGGGTTTGTGCATCCCACCGCAGCAGCAGAGGGGTGCAAGAACCACCCGGGAGCGTCACCACGTCTCAGCAGTGCCTGGGGCCCCCGGTGCTGGAGGGCCGGGAGCACAGCTCACCTGGATGACTTCCTTGGGGTCATCGGCGTGGCTCGAATGCATCTCAGCTGCTGCTCCCGCCCGCGGTCACATGTCACCTGTGGGTCACACCGCGCTCACTCGCACACTTTGGAGCTCGCAGTGCAGTTTGCAGCGCTGCCCCGCTCCTGGCAGAACAGAAACCCCACAAAGCGTCTGGATTTTCCCCTGCTGAGCCCGGAGGTGTGGAAGCAAAGCAGCACAGCTGCCCCCAGCTCAGCTCCGTCTGCACTCATCTGCCTCCAGACCCACGGGCGGCTCCAGCAGCAGCCGCTGCCACAAAGCGCTGCTAAGGGCACAGAGCTGGGAGAGGAAACCTTCCCCCGCTGTGGGAGCGCTGCTGCGGCTTTGTGTGAAGTGGAGGCAGAGCCCAGCGGTGCTGGTAGGGCCGTGTGCTCCCACCCCATCGGCTCTCACTGCAGAGGGCAGCCGTGGAGGCGGCCCAAACCCTGAGCATCCCAAATCCCAAGTAAGAACACCAAACCCCAGGGAAGAACCTCAAATTCAAAGGAAGAACCCCCAAATCCCAGGCGACAACTCCAAGTCCCAAGGAAGAGCCTCAGATCCCAAGCGAGAACCCTAAATCCCAGGAAAGAACCCCAAGCCCCACAAAAGAACCCCAAATCCCGACCAACAACTCCAAATCCCAAGCAAGGCCTCCAAATCCTAAACAAGAACCCAAAATCCCATGAAAAAAAAACCCAAATCTCAAGCAGGAACCCCAAATCCAAAGGAAGAACCTCAAATCCCAAGCAAGAACCCCGAATCCCAGCCCGCTCAGCCCCGCGCAGCCCCCTGACGACCAACCCCACAACGGTCAGAGTTCAACAGCTGAGCTTATAGAAAAAGAAACCGCTTTCACCACGGCTCATCACGCGATTTCCCCCCGGCGTTGCAACACCGACCATGGGGCCACGAGGTGACAGCAGAGCCCCCGGCGCTGCCCACCCTGCTGCCCCCACTGAGCAGCACAGCAGCAGCTGAGCGGAGCCGGGGGTTGGTGTAGCATGGAGCTCAGCTCCCAGCAGCACAACCAGCCCGACCCGCCTGCTCAGCACCGCGAGCTCAGCCGCAGGCCGTGGGGCTGCTCCTCCCTGCGGGATGCAGCGCTGTGGAAGCCGCTGCCGCCTTCGCCCTGCCGCGCACACTGGTGGGGTGCGGGGTTGAACTCAGGGCTGAGGATCGGTGCTGCCTCCCTGCAGCCCCCACCCTGAGAGCGACGCAGAGCAAAACGGCTCGAGGTGACAAGAAATAAAACAGAAAGCGAGCGGCGCGGTTACCCAGCGAGGAAGCAGAGCTGTGTGCTCACAGCGGGTCTCTGGGTTGGGACGTCAGCTCCGTCCCGGAGCTCTGTGCTCTGAGTTACAAACAGCTCCCGGCCAGCAGCACATTGCAGGTGGAAAACACGAGCAGCGTGGGGCCGGTGAGTCAGGGCTGCAAAGGGAACGACTCATTTTCCAAGCACGAGCGCAGCGCTGCTCACCCCCCGCCCAGAGCTCTGCTGGGATGAAGGGCAGCGCAGGTGTGGGGCTGTGCCACACGTCCCCAGCCAGCTCACAGGTGTGGGACCTCAGCTCTGATCCCATCTGCTTCCCAACGCCGTCCTGTTCCCCACCAGAGCGACGCACTGATGTCAAACTGCTGCGGGGCTGAATTCCGCCCTACAACAGCCAGGTGTTATGAGCTGAGCCCTTGGTTGCAGGACGGCGTTCCTCAGGGCTGCGTCAGAGCGACGGGAGGCGACGGCCCTTCAGATCAGGGGCTGCTGCTGGGGAGGGCAGCACTGAGAGCACAGAGCGGAGCTCCTCATGGCTGCCCAGCACCCAGCAAGCCGTCAGCAGGGCAGGAAGAGCAGAATTCACCACAGCGAGGGAATGCGGCACAGCACAGCCTGGAACAACACCAGCCCCATTGGGGGCGCATGGGAGCTGTGGGGTGGGAGGCCAACACGGCCCCACCAGAGGGCACAGGGCCTATAGGGCATGAGGTCTGTATCAGCCTGGGGGCACACAGCCCATGGGGCACAGTACCTACAGCAGCCCCACTGCGGGCAATGGGTCCATAGGGCCTATAGCAGCCCCACTGCGGGCAATGGGTCCATAGGGCCTATAGCAGCCCCACTGTGAGCAATGGGTCCATAGGGCCTACAGCAGCCCCACTGCAGGCAATGGGTCCATAGGGCCTACAGCAGCCCCACTGTGAGCAATGGGTCCATAGGGCCTACAGCAGCCCCACTGCAGGCAATGGGTCCATAGGGCCTACAGCAGCCCCACTGCAGGCAATGGGTCCATAGGACCCACGTCAGCCCCACAGCCACCACAGGTCACGAGGCCTACAGCAGCCCCACCGGGCACAGCACGGTCCCGCAGCTCTCCTCCTGCCGGGCCCTCTGCCTCCAGGCCCCGTTCCGCGGCTCGGCCCGGCGGTGCTGAGGTTCGAGCAGCGCAGCCCCCAATCCCGGCCCGCTCCCCCCTCACGGCCCCGCCCGCCGCTGCCGCTCACCGCCTGCGCGACCCGGCCGGGAAACCCGGAAGTGGCGGCCGTGCGTCCCTCCTCCTCGTGACGTCATCACGCAAAGGGGGCGGTACCGAGAGGGGAGGAGGCCACGCCCGCCGCGCTGGAATGGAGGCGGGACCACGCGCTGAGTGACGTGCGGGGAACGCGCGTGATTGGGTGAGCGTGCAGGTGGGGGCGGGGCGGCAGGAGTGGGCGTACAGAGCTGGATGTGCACAGACACGTATGTACATACATACATAGGTGCACACATACATACACATACATACATACATACACATACATACACATACATACATACACACATACATACACATACATACACATACATACATACATACACACATACATACATACATACACATACATATATGCATACATACACACATGTACATACACACACACACACACACACAAACATACATAGGTACACACATACATACATGCACACACGTACATACACACACACACACATACATACATACACACACATACACACACACATACATCCCCATATGTGGGCACACAGACCCACACATGTGCAGACCAACATTTGTATCCATACGTGCACACACAGACCCACACACGTGCCCATGTGGGCACATTCACATCCACATATGTACCCATATGTGCACACACAGGCCCACACGTGTCTGTATGCACACATGGGCCCACATATGTGCCCATATGTCCACATACACAGACCCACACACTTACCAAGATGCAGACACACACACACACTGCCCTACACATGTACCCTACACAGGTACCCACGTGTGCACCCCTCATGTGCACCCCCCCAGGTCTGCACGCAGACACACACCCTGCACTGTGCAACCCCCCACAGCTGCACACCACGCACACCCATGCACTCACATGCACTCCCACCCTACAGCCTTTAATAGCAAACCCAGCGCTGCTGCAGCGGAGCATCCATCCCACTCAATAGCAGGGCACCCCATGCTGGGCTCTGTGCACCGCTGCGCTGCTCCCGGAGCCATTCAGGGCTCAGTGCCCCCATCCTGCTGGACCCTCCTGGGCCTCATGGGGTGGAGGTGCTGGGGCTGTGCTGCTCCTCGGGCATCCTGTGGGGATGAGGGGCAGCAGGAAATGGAGCACGTTTGCTCGTGGTGGTGCTGGGTGACAGACGTGGCCACCGTCCCATCTTACGTTGGCTTTGCCCTGTTGAACACCTCCTCCTCCTCCTCCTCCTCCTCAGGCTCTCGGTACAGCTGATAGATGGAGTTCCTCTGCAGGTCATCCAGGGGCATGTAGAGATCTCGGAGCCACTTGGGTTCGTCCTTCATGCGCTCTGCAAAGTGCAATCCCTGGGAAGCAGTGGGGAATGGGACGTGTCAGTGTGGGGCAGCTGTGGGGCAGCTGTGGGGCACGGCACATTGCCATCACCTGTGCCCCATCGTTCCTGCGCCATCGGTGCGGCAACAGCTTCTTCAAGAACCTGAAAAAAAGGGAGAGAAAGGATAAAAAGCGGAGGCTCAGGTTCAGCAGCCCATCATAAACAGGCCCAGAATGTGGGCAGACGCACTGGGTCAGTTTGGGGGGCAGGGGGTAATGAATTAATTACCGTCTCCACCGTGACTTGCTGGTGCTGTGGGGCTGGGAGGCAGCTGTGGGTTTGGGGCAGCAGACCTGGGGGTTGAGGAGAGAGGAGTCCCAACGTCAGGATGGGCCTCTCGTGTGCTGCAAAACGGGGCTGACATGTGGGCACGCGCTGCGCTCTGTGAGGGGAGCAGGGGCTGCTGCAATCAGTGCTGGGGCAGCGGCAGAGGAGAGCATGGCAGGAGGGGCTGTGGGGCTGAGAAGATGTGGGAGTGGAGCAATGTGGGGCCGGGGAGATGTGGGGCTTGGGGAGGCTGTGATGACAGCCCCAAAGGAGTTGGGAAAGGAAAGCTGCGAAGCGCAGCTGCAGATGGGGGACGGCCAACCGAGCTGTGCAGCGTGGATGCCGGCCCCACATCCCCCACGATGCCCACGGATGCTATAGGGAGGACAGATGTGCACTGTGCCCCCCATGCTAAGCTGCGATGAGCGCCATGCCCACCTCGATGAGACAAATGGCTGCGATGTAAGTGGTGATGATGAGAGACACCGACAGCGCCAAGAGGACCCTCCTGCTGGAGCTGTGCGCTGCCGTGCTCTGGGGCAGAAAGAGCAAATCACAGAGAGAAAGCAGCCCTCCCCACTGCCACCCCCATAGGATCCCATTTCCACCCCCACAGGATCCCATTTCCACCCCGACAGGATCCCATTTCCACCCCCACAGGATCCCACTGGCTCTGCCCTACCTCCCCACTCCGGTTCCTGCTCTCTGTGCCAACGGAGCTGTTCCCCCATTGCACTGGGCATTGCACCGTGGGTCTCTGCCTGCCCAGCAGCCCCACCAGCTGCCCCGTCTGTGCCAGCAGCTTGGTGCAGGAGGGCTGCAGGTGGGGCACTCGGCAGTCCTTCCTCACAGCTCGTGCCACGCGGGCGATGAAACCCCGCAGGGCTCCGTTGGGGACCAGCGAGCGCAGGCTGCGCTCCACTTCTCTTTCAAAGAGGTCTCCTTCCATTGCTGCATCCTCATCCTCCGAGCTGCCTGCGCCGCTGGGCTCCGTGGGGACATGGGCTCCTTCCTTTGCTTCCAGGACCTTGTGTGCCGCAGGTCTTGGCAGCTGTGAGGCGGTGCTTTGCTGCTCCTCTTTCAGCTCTGTTGCTGGGAAATGGAGTTTTCTCCCCCCATTCCCACTCTCCCGGCCCTTACGCAGAGCGCTGTGCAGCTCCTGCCTGCGTGGGTGCTGAGGGGAGCGGGGGCTCATTCTGGAGATGTGATTCTTGGAGTTCCTGAGGACCCCGTCAGCACTGTGAGGGCTCAGGAGAACATTAAGTGTTACGGTTTCTTTGTCTCCAAGTGAAGAATTGCTGGGGTTGAGGCGCAGCACCGCGCCGCGTTGTGCAGCTCTCCTCAGTTCTGCTCGCATCTCTGCTGGGGATTCCTCGTGAGCTGCAGCACCAGAACAAACACAATCAGGGCAGAGCGGATCTTGGGGTGAGGCAGAGTCCAGGAGAGCACTGATGCACAGGGAACGCGCTGAGCCTGCAGTGGGGAGCATCTCCCAGCCCCGCACTGAGGCTGCACACGCAGCCAGCTCTCTGTCGGTGCCGGCACCGAGCGCCGTGGTGGGGAGCATTACAGATGATGGAGGCGTTGGGGCCTTTCTGCTGTGCAGCTGATGGGAAATGGGACACGTGAGGATGCCCTGGCCATGCAGTGAGGTTTGCTCGTCCTCATCCCGCTAACAGATGAGTTACCCAGTAGGGCTGCAGCAAGCCATGCTGTGGTGGCACTGGGAAGGTCTGGGGGAATGTGTGGGGTTTGTGAGCAGGCCGTGCTTCCCCTGCTTGGGAACGGCACCGGGCCACACGGTTTCCTTGGCTGAGTGCTCTGTGTGTGTTGGAGGCCGGTGTGTTTGCTCTGCCCTGCAAGGCACTTTTCCTCCAGATAGCCCCGGCAGCAGATGGGTGCAATTGTGTGTTTCCAGCCCTTGTTTTTGTTTCCAAGCATTGTTCTCCAAAAGGAGGATTTTGTGCCCCTGGCTCGGGGGATGCGTTCAGACCTCCCAGCTCTCATAGGAGCCACGTGGGTGCAATTAAAGGCTTTGCAGGGACAGAGCTCCTCAAGATGCTTTGGGATTGCCTGGGAGGGAACTCACACGGCACAGCCACACGACAGCATCTCCCAAAGCCGGGGGAGATCAGGGAGATGAGGAGCCCGCCGATGTGGTGCTGGGGGCCTACCGCAGTGCGGGCCGCTGGCACACAGCTCCTGGTGGAAGCGGACGCTCCTGCACAGAGCCTTGGCAGCACGGCGCTCCTGGCAGAGGCAGCAGGCGGCAGCTCGGGGCAGTTTGCTGCAGAGAAAGGGGAGAAAAGCTCCGTTTCTCGATGTGCGTCAGCTGAGGCTGCAGGCCATCTCAGCGTGACGGGGATCGCTCTGCAAAACTTCCCCCCGAAACCCACGCAGACAGAGCTGCTCTCCAGGTTTCTCGGTGAGATTCCACATGCTTTTGTTTTACCTTTGAGAGCGGAACCAATCCCAAAACGCAACGTGAAACAGAAGCGAGCCACTGCCTTAAAACTTCCCTTTGAAAAACCGAAACAGTGAAATTCCGACTGCCAGCAGACGAGTCTGGGGGTCCTCAGTAAGAAATGCTGCACTTTAGGCTTGTGGGGCGGGGGCATTCCGATGTAGGGGTGAGCTGTGCTCTCCCCAGCACAGCACGTATTTCAGCAGCGCATTCTGCTGGCAGCCTGGCCTCTGTGTACTCACAGCGTCTCCAAACGGGCCGTGGTCAGGAGGAGTTTCAGCACTGACAGCTGTGACACCCGCGTTGCTCCCAGGTCACTGCGAGGGTTGGGGAAAGCAGATGGAATTTGCAAGGCACGTTTATGGGAAAGAGCCCAAATCCTGGTGCTGCTCCCAGGGGATCCGCTTCTAATTAAATACTGCTAATTAAATAGAAGTTGTTCATAACCTCAGTGCTTTCAGGTGCTCCCAACCATGGGACGGAAGCAGAAGCGTTTCCCCACCTCCTCCCCCGCCTCATTTGTGTCCCAGCTCTTTGGCTGCTTTGCAGATGGGTCTGTGCTGCAGACAGCCCAAAAGTCGTCCTTTGATCTGCTGGGAGAAGTGATTTCCCACCTCAGGAGGGAGAGAATTAAGCATTAACCCACTCAAAACGAGTCGATGCTCACAGAGAGCTGACAGCTGGCAGCTGGAAGAACGACGCGTCATCGATCACAGACAGCGGGTTGTGGCTCAGGATCCTGCAAAACAACAACAAATCAAAGTGAATTTCCACTGGGTCCCTGCCAAGCCTCTCCGTGATCCATTGCT